GTTTATCTCACGTAATATGTAGCACGAGAGAGATATGCCTACGTCTTGCGTAATCTGCTTCTCTCCCGCTTCTTTCATTGTACTTTAGACTTAAATATGAATATTTAAGGTAGTCGAAATTTTTCCATGAAAAATTGAATGAAAATGGAAGCAGTAAAAATTCTATTTACGTAAGTTTAAGTTTTATTTTATATTGTAAAGGTAGGATACGAGGAATACGCAGTATCTTATCGTTGAAAAATAAAAAATAGTCGTTAATAAGTGGTGTTCGTGACAAGGTAATATAGTTATGAAGATATATATACGTTGGTACACGTATATACGTGAAAATTATCGAGTTTCCTTGCGATCACGTGTGCACTTCCTCATTGCGATACTAGCTACTGGGAATCATAGTATGACCTAAGCATTCGGAGATGTTTGCGAGTCATCGTAGATCTGACGTTGAGCTACGAGTGGGACACACCACACCTAAAGCATTCAACATTAAAGAGAGAAAATGCACATGTAAAAGAGGAGCAGAGAAAATCACGAAAGGTTGAGTCAGAGTGGGGAAAATCGAACTATCGAGCCGGTAGTTGCCAACTTTGGATCTTCTTCGGTCATGCGCACTGCGAAACAACGGTGTGCGTAGCCAGAGTGGCGAATATGATACTTGTGAAATTGTAAATAACGATAATTCAATTAGAAACGCTGTAAAATAACAACTGCAACATCGAATCATCGAATATCTTTATATTTCACGATATAAATTAATCAACTGTCAAGGACTTTTTTTCTCCAAACATACCGTCGCCTATTTTAATTACAAATTTCAAATTTTGACTCGTCGCTCCAAAAAACCGACTCTTGAAAAACTCAATTGGCTTCTTTAAATTTTCAGTGGCGAATTTTAACCATTTCGGTGAATTCTTCTTATAAATTAAAAATTTAATAAAACGACATACACGGTGATCAAAACCCTCTTTTTATAAACATTTCCTCGTTTGAAATGGAAAAGTAATATAAATTTTACTTTCTAGTTATAATTAGAAGATTGCATTCTACTTTGCAATCAGTATGATTACCGGTGACGCAGCGTGATTTCGCGCTTTCTTCCTGTTATTGGCATCCATTCAGCAAAAACCCCTCTCTTCGATAGAATCACATATTATTTTAACTCCAGTGTTATATAGTTTGAGGACTTTTGTAATCGAAGATAAGGAACATCTTCTTTGAATAGATCGTTCTTGCCTTCTTATCATGCTCGACAAAATATTGGAAGTTATTGTTTCAGACTTGGTTTTAGACACCGATAGAAGTACCATAAGTTCAAAAAATGTGCAAGAATAAATCTTACAGGAGACAACTACTAAAAATGATGAACTGTACGATCGTTAACTTACTTTTCGACGATGAAATGTGCTTCTTTAACATTATTGATACATACAACAAATTGCTTGCATTAAATATCAATAGATGAATGGGAAAAATTTTAATGAGAGACTCTAGAGGCTAAAATAAAACGAAAATCAAGAATATCAATTTCTTGACTGAGGCTTCGTTAAAAAGTTATTAAAAAGTTAAATTAAAAAATTTTAAATCATTCTGAAAAAATTATTTATGGTTGCGGGGGTCAATTACAATCAATTTTTGTCAATAGACAAAGTCCTGAAATCCTACTCACTTTCGAGAAAAAAATTCGAGTATGTATGAAATTTGTTGACAAAAAAAAAATTTTCAAATCGTTCTAAAAAAATTATTTTCGGTTGCAGGGGTGGATTGCAATCATTTTTGGTCAATAGACAAAGCCCTGAAATCCTACCCACTTTCGAGAAAAAAATTCTAGAAGGTGTGGAAATTTTTCGACGGAAAAGAAACATTTGAAATCGTTCTAAAAAAATTATTTTCAGTTGCAGGGATGGATTACAATCATTTTTGGTCAATAGATCATATCTATAAACTGTCACATTGCTTTCTAATGATAAGATTTCGGGGATATGTTTTTTTACATTTACAGGTTCTCTAAAGTCTCGATGGACTAAAATTTGTCGTTTCCTTTTAATTTTCATAGGAAAGGTCATTTCAAGGACATGTAATGCACATATCTGGGCATATCTTTACATCAACTGCACGCTGCAATAAAAAAGATTATACAATTATACGCGATAAATATCGATAACCTTGAAAACTTTATTATACCCCCACAAGGGGTTGGAGGAAACATTTAGATTGCCTTATGTAGGTGAACCACACTATATACACACAAGCATATAATGTTATGACTACCTTGTATAAATGTATTTTGTATTCTTTTATACTCTCGCAACAAATATTGACATTCTACAATTTTTTCTGCAAAATAAAGTTTTTATTCTTTATTATATGAGACTGACGTTCTGTTTCAACAGATATTTCAACATCTTTCCCTTCTTTATTCATTTTCTAACAGTTTAAACAAAACTATCTAGTATAATCAAACAGGGATCACATACTACCCGTTTTACTCGATATTAGTCCTATACTGAGACGAATCCCAGTGCGCATGACTGAAAAATACGCTAACACTGGCAACTATGCTATCGACCAATGGTGGACATTCGTGGGAATTTTCCCTCGTGGGATTCCATTTTGCGCATGCGTACGTTGACGTCACAACTACCTGTCGTCCGCTACCATAGTTGTATCTTAAGCGTAAGAGGAGGTGCATGTAAGGGGCCTGTTGGGAATTCCCTCATTTTTAGTTTTAAGTCGATTAAAACATATGAAATTAATTTGATTTAAAGGTATTCTATTAATATTGATAAAGTATATGTCTCCAGTATATAATATTATATATTTTATGTATCTGTGTGTTTCACGTTCATTTTTACGTGCAACATTTTTGTTCGAATACTGGCAAGGTTTTCTACAGTTTTCCTTACCCCAGCAACAAATGTTGGTATTCATGTAATAAATCGGCTGCACACGTAAATAAAACTAAATAAATAATAAATTGTTTTCCACTTTTTACTGTACATTTATGCTGTTTTCTTTCATAAAAACTTGTCTCTTTCCCTGTAACTTCAACAAATTGAACGGGGTTAATACCACTCGATATGTGGTTCGAAAAAAAACCCTTTTCACAGAGTTCCAACCCGGTATCTCTACTACAGGGCTAATTACGGGGTGGAAATCATTTTTTGGTTTATCCTTAGTATCTCTGTATATATGTACTAATGTACATATTCAAGAATTGTTTCGGAATTTTTGGATGTAGATTCGATTTTTAAAAAATTCGAAAATATTTTAACCGGCGATTTTTTGTCGAAGTTACCAAGTGACCACGTTTGTTTTTATACAGTATAAAGCTCTCAAACGAATTACTAGTCTCTAATTTTTTCAGATTTTTCGAAGAGGTCTAACGTAGTCAAAAAAATAAAAAATGATTAAGAAATGGTGGAATGCTTTATATTGTTTTAATTGCTTACACGACCATGTTCATATTTTTACAGCTATAGCGTAACATTATGACTATTATTTCGTAGTTTTTTCAGATTTTTTGGAAAAGTGTTTTTGGAAAAATTGTTAAAGAATTATCAATTAATGTTTCCTAATTTTTCGTACGGAATAGAGCCGCACATGCTTCTAAAATAGATATAATTCAAATATATTTGTTTATAGGTACTTAGTTAACTATATTTAGTTCCAAATACGTGTGGTACCGGAACTCCTGTTGATTAGAACCGCCACGGCGCGGCGCGATGCGCTGATCATTTTGGTAAAGCATCCGCGACATTGCCAACATTTTGTCTGAATCTGAACAATATTTTTTAAATATTCCTTCGATTAAAATAAATGATCTAAACAAAATCAATGATTGACTTTTCACCCTCAAATAATTTACTCGGTATTTCTGCAGGTTATATTATTTTTGAAGTATATCTGGCATGCGATAGATAATAAATTATCACAGCTATATGGGAGGAGCATCCAATTGTCCTGTTATCACTTGCACATTCGCAAAAACATCGTCTAATTCCCTAGTAGCCCGTTGGATTTGATGTAGTATATGTAACACTTGTACAGTTTTTTTATTAATGTGTCGTGATTGGACTTTGAACTGAACTATATTTTCGTTTTGTTTTGGATAACAAAGATTTCTCATCCCAATCTTCCTGTTTATCAGTACATGATATTGTTCAGATTCAGACAAAATGTTGGCAATGTCGCGGATGCTTTACCAAAATAATCAGCGCATCGCGCCGCGCCGTGGCGGTTCTAATCAACAGGAGTTCCGGTACCACACGTATTTGGAACTAAATATAGTTAACTAAGTACCTATAAACAAATATATTTTACTTATATCTATATTAGAAACATGTGCGGCTGTATTCCGTATAAAAAATTGGGAAACATGAATTAATAATTCTTTAACAATTTTTTCGAAAAATCTGAAAAAATTACGAACATAGTCACGTAAGTAATTAAAGCAATATAAAGCTTTTTCACCATTTCTTAATCATTTTTTATTTTTTTGACTACGTTAGACCCCTTCGAAAAATCTGAAAAAATTAGGAATTAGTAATTCGTTTGAGACATTTATACTGTATAAAAACAAACGTGGTCACTTGATAACTTCAACAAAAAATCGCCGGTTAAAATATTTTCGAATTTTTTAAAAATCGAATCTACATCCAAAAATTCTGAAAAAATTCTCGAGTATGTACATCAGTACATGTACACCGGGATACTAAGGATAAACCAAAAAATGATTTTCACCCCGTAATTAACCCTGTAGTAGAGATACCGGAATGAAACTCTGTGAAAAGGGTTTTTTTCTCGAACCACATATCGAGTGGTATTAACCCCGTTCAATTTGGTTTGGGGGCACTTTTACCATGCTTATTCGGCTAGACCCTTTTGTTCCTGAATGTGATCCAACGGTACCCTAAATTCTAGTTATGTGTATACGGTAGTGACCATGAGTTCCAGTGCGCATGACCAAAATTCCCACGAATGTCCATCACTGCTATCGACATCGACTACCGAAGGAAGGATCGCGTTTGCCACCATTAACTTAGTCCAGCTCACTCAGTCGTTAATAAAGTCTCAGAGCGATTGTTGCGACGTTCCTTGTGTTTGTACCTAGATAAATTTTATTCGCAAGAGGAATAAAAATGGCTGTCTATGTTGACGATGCTGTAAGTAACTAGAATTATTTTTAAATCTTATTTTTCGTATTCGTATAAACATTTTATACACTGTGTATATAAGCTACATGAGATTCGTCCACATTGGGAGTAACCATACTATACTAATTTTGGAAAGTAAAATGAATCGATGTTAGAATTCGATCATAGCGCGGTTCGTTCTATTATACTTTCTGTATAACCGGTTGACCTTGTAAGACTTTATGCTCGTCCGCGCAATGTCGTAAGAAATTTTTCTTGTATTACGATGGAATGGTTTTTTTAGAACGTGTGTAATCGCAATTGCGGTTACAAGTTGTACCGGCCGCGCAGCGCCGCGGAAAATAGCGCAACAATCATTTTTAAGTATAGCGTTCGTGTAGCATTACGACAACAATAAACAATTCCAATTAATGCTTGCTTAGTTTGAAGCGATACTTTTTATTCCCGATTTTAGTGTATTGAATTATCAAAGATAATGAAAAATGTAAATGTATTAATTTTAGCGGACGTGCAATTTACTCTACCGTATTGATATAAACTGCCCGTAACCAACGATGGATGCATACACATAATACCCAATAATTAAATGTCACTGTACCATTTATTAATTTTAAATCGCATGGTTGATCGTTAAGCCTTTAGTATGAAAGTCGTTAGAGAAACTATTTCTTTTCGTTTTTATTCATGTTTTAAATCGTACGTTTTTAATTTTGATATTATTTTTTAAAATAAAATAATAATTAATCTTATATAGATTCTAATGTTCTACAATTGATATTAGTATAGTAAATTATTCGGTATAAGTTGTCTGTACATTTTATGACTGTATTTAGAACGCAGATTTAAATTTTACTTTTTAGTGACAAACAAGTGTCTTATCATGGTTAGCTATCTCTATCTATCGGCAACATTAGCGTGATAGAATATCAGTGTACCAGGTACACATGCACATGTAGTAAAAAAAAAATGTTTTATGAATAAAATTACATGTTATTGCAGAATTTATATTATTTCTTCTACATTAAAATATAGAAAATAACCATTAATTACATTTACAGACCACTCTGGAGAGCGAGCTTACGAAGGCTGGAGATAAGTTAGTTGTACTTGATTTCTTTGCCTTGTGGTGTAATCCTTGCAAGGCCATTGCACCTAAGATTACTGAATTGTTAAAGGTCAGATGACTTTCTTTACGTAAAAAAAGTTCCATTAGGACACGGAGTATTTTTTATTAAGTAATATGTTCTCTTCAACAGGAAATACCAGATATTGTATTTTTGAAAATAGACGTAGACGAAGCTCATGAAATTGCACAGCAATACCAAATCACCAGTATGCCCACCTTTGTATTTATTAAGAATGGTAAAGTGGTATGTATCATTTTAAACTAATATACATTTCGGAAAGACAGAAAGCAATAGTTAAGAATTAATATTTTATATTTGTTTCAGCTGGAAACATTCTCCGGTGCAAATTATGATAAACTGAAAAGCCTAGTTCTAAAACACAAATGAACAATCGATTTGAATATTCTTATTTTTAAGCAGAATTGTTTACTAATTGGTACTAATCAATACAGACTACAACAAAAGCCTTGTGATCGCTAAAGACAATGTTATGCGTTAATTGTAAGAAAAATTTAAGACAGAATTTTTTGTTAATACATTGTCAGTTTCATTATACATATTTTATTGCAAAATAAAATGTAATCAGCTTACAAACATTTATGTACAATATAATTATTTCCATATTATTATGTTTTAGTTAATATATAAAATAGGATATGAAAGTTCATAGTTCAAAATTAAATTTACTTACATGAATATGTATAATTAATTCATTATGTCCCCTATATGGCAATACCATTAAAGATGCTGAATATTTACATAGTTATTATGCACCCACTGATAAAGAGGACTCTGGTTGTTTTTGTATCTTTAATAATAATGAACATGATCCAGTACCAGATTTACATGGTTGGCCTAGCATTAATCGACTAGAGGGAGACACTAAATTATCTCGTTTTCCTGAAAACAAAAGATATATATTTCAAGATTAATTCGACAATTATCATTTTTCCATAAAACATTTTACAGATTAATTTCTAATTTTCTACCTTGCAATGTAGCATGTTTTAAGAAATTAAGAGAACTTTCGAAGCTCATTTGCTGCAAAGGAGAAGCAGAGTCTTCCATTCCTTTACGACTTAGGGGTTGAAATCTGCCGTCGAAAGTCATATAATCCGCAATTAATAACAAATGGCGGGTATCAACTGTAATACCATACATTTTGAACACATCTTTGACTTCTTTTACAATTACTCTATTAGCAGCTTCAATTCCGTATGTTTGAGAAATACCATAAATGTCGTTAGAATATAACTTATTTAAATTTAATAATTTGTCGTATTTAAACATTTCCTATATTATAAAAGAAAATAATTAATAAAAATTGATAAAATATGAAATTTTAACTAATATTATACTTTCACTTACTATTATATTTATGCCATCAGTTTTGAGAACAGTGTCTCCATTATTGTTTTGAAATGTAAAAGCACGTTTTATACACGGTACCTCTGATAATACAACTTTATTTGCCACATTCCTAATTATTGTCGGTAAATCCAATTTTATCATTTGAAGTGGTAACTGAAAAATAAAAATTATAATGAGACGAATTATGGAAACGCGATCGAAGCTTCTTGATGTTTTCCGATAAGAAGAGAGTAAGATTCGTGCTCGATCAATGATCAAAAGTAGTATTACTAAGAATGAATTCTGCTTATCTAAAAGATTAGTAATCGCCAAAAAATTTTAATTATTATTTTGATTAACTTTTTTAGAACTTACCCAAAATGTTAATTTGCACCATGAGTATTTATCTTCATCGTAGTCATATTCCACTCCATGAACATACATGTTTGTAACATCGTTTCTTCTTTGCTTATAATATATTTCACTTGAGCCGCACACCAATTTGTCTTTATCAATGTCTTCATCTTCGTCTTCATCTTCTTGTTGTTCTCTATTTATTACTTTTTCATTGTCATTTTCTGTAATATCATCTTCTTTTTCGTTTATATCATCTATTTCCTCTTCTTCGGGATCTTCATATTCCTGATTTTCTTTGTGGCGAGAAATTGATCGTGTTAAAGTTGCATCTGCATCTTCTGCTGTTTCATCTTCATCTGAAGATTCATGCAATTCTCCTAAGTTTGCTCGTGGTGTCAATGCAGATTTTATCCCTTCGCTTGGCTCAGCCTCATCTAATAAAGCATCATCTTCGTACATGGATTTCCTTTCTTCTTCAACATGTAATAAGGCACCAGTTACTTTTGCAACTTTTTTAATTTCCTTAAACATTTCCTTGAAAAATACTTCTTCTGTCTTTTTCAGTACATGATGTGGCTGTATACAAAATTCTCCTTTATACAATTTATGTGGAAGATAATTAACAGTCATAGTATATACCAATCGTCTGTTTGGCACAAGTTCTATTTGTCTGTTTATTGTAACACTGTTTAAAACATTTGATAATATACATTTGGTTAATTTTAATCTCAGTTTGTTTGCACGTTTTGTTATATTATTTATATCTTTATGAAATGGTATTTCCATGCTGGGTGTTTTAATATTTTTGGATGCCATCATGAGTATTTCACGTAACCTAGGTATACCTAACGTGACGTTCATCTCTCCACGGCCAGCAAAATGAAAAGTATTTAAAGTCATTTGAGTCGATGGTTCTCCTATTGACTGTGCTGCTAATAACCCTATTGGTTCACCAGGTGGACAAACACTTTTCATTACTTTCATGGACAAAAGATCTCTCAAATTACTTTTTTTTATTAAAGAAGTTTTAGATTTATTAGCAATATATCCATCTATTAAACTTTCTAATCGCTCTGAAAGTACACCAAAATTTATGTCTTGTCTGTATTTTGACATTACTGGATCAGGGCACTTGATACATTGGGCATAAATAAATTTTCTATTTTCCTCTGTAGTTCTTAACCATTTTCTCATAAGCGAAAGTGCAGCTTTACTTCTTCCACTATTTTCGTCGATTTTTACATATTTCGAACTCTTAATATTCATATCTTCTGTAGAAAATTTCATAAATGGACTAATTCTCCTTTTCTGTAAAGCATTTCCGTTTTTATTTATCCATTTTTTTATTTTTTTCGTTAGTTTCGAAATTTGTTCTGCATCTATATCTTCTTTCAGATTTTTAACCACCTCTTCATTAACAATAGCATTCCTATTATCTATTAAAAAGTTAATTTGTTCTTTTGTTAAAAATCTTGAACTTGGTATATCAAGCCCGTCTTCCCCATAATAAATTTGTACTAAACTGCCATCTGAATCTCGTACCGTTGAATCGTAATTAATAACTAATCCTTCAAGATGTTTAATAAGACAACGTTGTAAATATCCTGACCTACTGGTCTTTACAGCAGTATCAATAAGACCTTCACGACCAGCCATACAGTGGAAGAAAAATTCTTGAGGCTTAATGCCTGTCATGAATCGACCATCGATAAAACCGCCAGCTCTCGGTGTTGGATCATACGCAAGAAAGCTTGGAAGACTTTTTCCACTAATCATTAAAGGTGGCCTCTTTCCTTCCAACTCAATTTGACCAAGCAAACAAGATATTTGCATAGTATTTACAGTAGAACCTTTTGCACCTGATTGAACCATTAATTGCAAATTATTATCTGGAAATTTTTTTAATAGACCAGCTGGTAAACATGTTTTATTTATGTCATTAGTGTAAACGTCTAACGCAGTTTTGTATTTTCGATCAACTTGCGCGCGAAATTTAGAATTACTCCAAAAAGATTCTTCCATTTTAGCTGTAACTACATCCATTGACGTGTCATCGGGTAATTCTAGTACTGATCTTTGGATATCTCCCCCAATTTTTCTGCAGTTGGAAATAATTTCTTTACGTTTAACATCTGCTTTTTTCAACAATAAGATATCTTCGATGCCAAGCGTAAATCCATTTCTTTGTAAAAAAGATTGAAATAATTTACCAAAGGCACTTAATATTTTTGTAGAGCATGTTCCACCATATAATTCAAAAATACAATGTATAAGACCAAACGGAGTAGCGCCATAATGTGTTTTATCAAGTACACCGCATAATAATTCCCCGTTTCGTATAATAACTTCGGCTTCTGACATTGTTTTAGGATCTGAAAATTCAGTACCGCATTTCCAACGCCGTGCCTTCGCAACTTGCCATTCTTTTGCATTAATCTTAGCACTTGATGTTAAATTGATACGTGCTTGATTCAATGGAATAATATTAATGATAACGGTGGATATGATTTGTTTACCAGACCACAATGGTATTGGTTTTATAATACTAGGAGGAACAAGAATTATATTTTCTTGTATCGTAGACAAAGCAGCATAGACTAATTGCATATAATCTTTGCGTGAAAAAAACATTCCCCTTGTCGTTAAACGGACACCAGAAATTACATGATCTTGAATAAGACCACTTAATGGAGTACCATCTTTAGGTACAAGATACTGTTTGGATACGTTAGCTATATTGTATCCTTCGCTTCTAGCAAGTTCATTTTGGGGAAAATGTGCGTTCATTTCGTCACCATCAAAGTCTGCGTTATAAGCTTTGCAATTAGCATAATGAAGACGTAATGTTTTTTCTCCTTTCAAAATACGTGCTTTGTGAGCCATTATACTAGGCTTATGCAATGTTGGTTGACGATTCAATAATAAGACGTCTCCATTTTGTAAATGTCTGTGTATAATTTTAATACCTTTAAAAAATTTATTTGCTTTATCGCTTGTTGTTAAAAGACGTTTCGCAACGGCTTCTCGTTGGACAGCGCTATCAGAGGAAATACGTTGTACGCTTCCATCTTCGTGCTCGACCAGTACAGCACCTGGATGAACATCGGGACCATTCAAAACCAATTGTCTTAAATGCACAACATTCCAAGGTGTAACAGGTACTGGATACGTTAATTTTAGGGCAAAAGTTTCGGGAATGCCAATTTCATCTATGTTCAAATTAGGGTCAGGTGTAATAACCGAACGAGCTGCAAAGTTTACTCTTTTACCCATCATATGCATTCTAATCACACCTTCTTTTTTTTCTATAACTTGTTTCAATCCTTGACAGTTTACAGAATCTGCCGTTTTATTCATATCACGATCCATTAAATGATCTACATTTATTTGTAAACTTTGCCAACCATTGTGTAATTTTTCAATCGCTGTACTACCTTTTATTTGTTCAAAGACTACCTTACCCTCTTCTGGTAATTGATTTGTATCTCCATCTTGAATCGTCTGAATAATATTTCTCAGAACAAGACAGTCTTGAATAATACTTTTGTACACTTGAGATTGTGGATGTTCGATCATTTGGCCATTAACAAAATTAACTGGCCTAACTATAGGTGGCAAAACTGGTATTATTTCGAAAAAAAATATATCAGTCGGATATTCAATGTCTACCATTCCAAAGCAAGGAATAATTATTTTGAGAAAATCTTTTTCATTTTGCCAAAGGTTTCTGAGATAATCCTTAGACTGATCTGGCATTATCATAATCGTTTCTAATTTATGAATAACTCCACGTGAATGTTCCTTTTCAGCAGCTGTATTGGGTACTTTAGTAGTCATAATTTTATTCTTTAATGTTGAGAGTTTCGGTATGGGTTGTTGACAATATACACAAATTTTTGGCGTTGTATATTGTTTGAGAATATTTTCTACATATGTATGCCACTGCATGTTGATATTTTTTGTATTCAATTGAATTTCATTGCATTGCATAAATGACTGATTAAATCTTGATTGATTAATAAGATTCTCTGTATAATTATCAATAACATTTTGAACACATTGCAAATCAACTTCGAAAGGGCTGCTCGAATTTGAAACAACAGTCATTACTTCTTGTTCCAATCCTTCTAATTCGCTAAGCAATCCTTGCTGAAGTAATTTCAATTTTGCGGACAACAATAACTTTACATAAGCTGGAATTTGCAAAACAAAGCAGTTCAAGCACGTTAATTTAATCAACATGCTTAATGCTTTATGAAACAATGGATTTACAACTGGTACAGGTAATTCTATGTGTCCAAAGTGTCCTGAACATTTGAATACATTGCACCCACATGTTCCACACGGATCTGAACTTTCTATCAGAGGGCCTAATTTACAGAATAAATGATGTATCTTAATAAATTATTTATTTATTTCTTTGTGTACATGAAAATACATATACAGTAAAACCTTGCTTAATACACAGAATTTGTTCTTAAAATAAAACAGTGCTTATTATACTAAATTATAAATCAGCATGTTAAAATTATTAGATAATACAAATTTAAAGCAAACCTCGAAATACAAGTAAATGTAACACACAATTACAATTACATGTATTTAATAACCAAATGCTTGTATTTTGCACAAAGTACAAGAAGTGTATTAAGAAAAGTATTAATGTATGGAATATAATATTTTCATGCCACAACATTATCAATAATAATTATTATACAGGGTGTCTCAGCCGATTTTGACATCTTGATTTCCTCGACATAGGTCAGTACTTTTTTCTAAAGAATGTCTAGCTGCATCATTTGATGCATAAAAAAGTACCTCGTTCCATTTAAATAAACAAAGTTAACCTTCATATATCCTTGGCACATCCATCTACGAAAAAACTAATAACACAAGAGTATGCCCCATTCGATACCATTTAAGTTCCCTATAAAACATTTTTCGCTACGTGCCAGAATACTGAGGAAATCAAGATGTCAAAATCGGCCGAGACACCCTGTATATTCTCATCTTGACTACGCCATATAGTAACAGCGTATTTGTTACCTAGCTTGTCATATCGAAAGGGTTAATCATTTATTTAATTTATTTACCTAATGCTGGATCGTATAATCCCCCTTTCAATGGATGCCCTAATATATTAAATGATAAAGGTGTTCGTATCTTAGTAACACTTAAATTTCTTATATCATTTGCAGTGAACATAGAAAACATTAGACATTTTGGGTCTAAATGCTTTGGAGTTAAACGTGACGCACGATATTTATTCTGTATCATTTTGGCGGTCTTCTCAGTTTTACAGATTTCTAAAAAAAAAAATAAGCATTTGTAATTTTAACAAACACACATTACATCCTACAGAACAATATATTTTGTAACAATGGGAAACGAATGCTTTATTTATACCTGTAATATATTTTCTTCAAATAAAACAATATATGCAACTTTCATGAGAAAATTATTTTACAAAAATCGCATTAATGGCATCTTACATTTTGAAAATAAATTTTACCCGTCAATTATAAACTATTTAGGTTATAGAATATCCGGCACATGGACCACATGGTACAATACATCCTCATATTATCACTGATATTATATATGTAGATTGTATAGTAGTATGCCACCACACTGTCACTGACCGTCAATGATGGCTTTCGTGGGATTCCTTTCTGCGCATGCGTAAGCGACGTCACAGCTAAGTACCTGTTGTCCGCTACCATAGATGTATCTTAAACGCAAGAGGAGGTGCATGTGTTGCGTCGCAGACCCTCGAGCGTCCCGTCGCGACGCAATAAAATACGTAGGGTAGGCCCAAGTGTTAGGGCCCAACCACTTGCTCGCCTGTTCATTAGGCAGTTTTCGTCGCCTGGGCAAGTGGTACCCTCAAGGCCAGACGTCGGCTAGGTGGTTGGAGGCGCCGCTCGACCACCCATATTTCCCACATGTTTTCACTTACCCTGTTGTCCTCTTAACCGACTTTCCTTTTCCAGAACAGCCCTATGCATACCTCCACTCCTTTTCCTAGGTCCCAGCCTACATTTTTCCCAACTAGCCAATCCTGATAAACCACTCCCAATTTTCTATTCCGACTCCGGCGTCTCCACCCACCAAAATTAGGTATATAAGGTAGCCCGCGAGCTACGACCGAGGGCACTCTAAAAAATCCGAAAGAGATTACTTCTAAATTCCGAAGATCAGTAAGATCCAAACAACCATTGTCAAAGTTCGCCGCCGTGGACTTCAATCGCACTTCACGCAATAAATAATTTTAAAAACCAACCAGCTTATACTTCTTCGTCGTGAGCCAACCATACCAGTGTTGTCGCGACGTTCACGACAGCATGTAAGGGGTCTGTTGGAAATACCAACATTTTCAGTTTTAAGTCGATTAAAACATATGAAATTAATTTGATTTAAATGTATCCTTCTGGAAGGCTTTAATTTTGGAATTCGTAATGGTTTTAATGAGCCATTGGTTCGATGGTCATAGATGGTCAACAATATAGTTGACATCAAGAACAGCAATCCACAAGGAAATGCCAAAAAAGCCGGGACCAATGAAATACATTCACTATTGTAGGAGTATAGTCATTTGAAAATTGGACCATTTTTATGGGGTTTTTATGTTCATATCCCTCCTTAAAGATGACGAAAGAGTGGAGAGAGTAGCGTCAGCCATCCTAACCATACGTTTGATGTCCCAACAAATTATTTCGCGAAAAATTAAAATTTACATAAACTAATAGGCCCTTCATTATTCATATGCTAACAACAACAGAATTGTAAAATTTAAGCTTCAAATGGATTATTGGGGCCGCTACGGCCCTCTGAAGTTTAAACTACTAATTGTTTAATACATGTCAATGTAGTTATTTGAAAATTTATGGAATTCTCCATTAGTTCATTATTTTTTTAAATGCTTCAAGGGAAAGTTGATTTCCATTTTCCAATTTGGTATAAATCAACATTAAGTAAAATAATTCAGTTGAGATTGGAAGTCCATGTAAGGGCTAAAAGAAAAATTTAAACGATACAATATAGAAGGAAAACTTTTAATTGTAATTTTTAAAATTTAAAACTGTATTTTATAATGATAAACCATTAAAACCATTACTCTACATATTTTGAATCAATCGTACAACGGATTAAATCATTAATTGGTTAAAAATCAACATTAACTGGTTAATTAAAATTCCAGAAAATCTTGTATACTTTATTGAGTAAAATAACTTACATTAGAATAAAATAAGTTTATTGTATATTTTTTCTAAATTTCGTGTCCAACTTTCTGCTTCAGATTAAACTATACCAACCAGTTAATAAATATTTACTACAAAAACAATTTGATTACAATTTTGGATCCGGTTTGAAAAACTTTTCCCAAGGAAAGTAATTCAAGCCAAAATTAAAATCAATACTATTGTCTCTAAATGGTAACAATTTATCCTCTATTTTTTTCGATTCACCTAAAAATATGACATAATTGTTATACTTGTAACAATAATTTCCTATTGTTCCATTTTTAAATCTATTATAATTTACTTACTGCTGTCGATATCGACAATATTTTCTGTTTTAGTTTCTACACCATATTTATCTTTTTTGGTGATAACAGTGTACATTTTGTCACCCTTTTGATGTGAAATAATTGTTTCTTCGTTCCCTTCATTGTCTCTGATTACTTGCTTCTGTTCTATTGTTCCATCCGGTCTGTGGATGAAACGTTTACTTATGGATTTTCCAAAAATACGTTGTTTTGGAAACATAGCCTCAGGTTGTCCCTCTTTACTATATTGACTCCAAATGTTGGAAAAATTGTCCATCGTGACCCTATTTTGATTAGAAGAAAGCTTACTTTTGTGTTAATATAATTTGCAATAATTTTTATTATTTATTTGGATTCTTACTCTTTATCCAAATCTGTGTCCAGTTTTGGTTGTAATTGATTTACATTTTCCGACGATTTTAACATTTTGTCGCGTAAGTTTTCTTGTTGAGAATTTTCAAATGGAAATGTATCAATAAATGTATTTTGACCTGGAACTATTTTAGAATAGTTTTTTTTTCTATGTATTAACACATTCAGTGGCTTGGTGGTCACTAGTGATGGACAACTTTCTTAGAATTTTAAAATCATTTGCTTAATATTCACAAAATTTTGAATAAGATTACTATCATTAGAAATGTTATAAAAGAACATACTATTGAATTATCAACAATTTTGAATTTTCACACTAATTTAACACATTTAGCGCCATGGTAGTCACCAGTGACCAGAAACTTCCTATAAATTTTAAAATCGTTTGTCTAATACATCATCATTCAGTTATAGAAAATTTCTAACATCCACATTCTAATTAAAATAAATTTCAAAGATATTTTTAGAAATGGGAAACTGAAATTGACTCAATTTGATTTCACTTCTATAAAATACGAAAACATTAACAAATCTGAAAGAATACTTGGAAAATCACAGCCCAATATCAACTATAAATTTAGATTCATTGTATTTATATATATGAGAAAATAAAAATGTACCTTGACTGCCAAATTCAAACATGAAATTCTTTAATATTTCATTTATTTGGGATTCAAAATAACGTGTAATTTCTAGCGGTTCACTAAAAATATGAAAATGATTTCTTTTCCGGGAGTGCCTGTAAAACAAACAAATTTATATCATAGAATTATTAATCTATTCTTTATTGTAACACAAAGTAAGATGCACTTTGCAAAAAAAATATAGAACTGTACAACTGTTTCCATATAATTATGTAAGAGTAATTTCTTATTTCATCATACTATGCAAACTATTTGTTATTATCATTGTCAAAACTCTATACAATTAATATTATTATCATTAGTGTAAAATGTATAAATTACCTGAAATCGTCGACATCATCGTCATCTTCGTCATTTTGCCAAATTGGATTCCTGAAACTGTCCCTGTCATAATTGTCTCAGTGGTTAGAAAACTTGAAACATTTACTAATTTAAATTTCGATAAAAAATAATGGAGAAATGAAAAATGATAGAAAGTATAAAATTTTCGAACCGTCAAAACAAAGGTTTATTTGGTATTATTAAATGCAATGCACGGTTTAGAGGTTGTTTTGATTAATTACAGTATTTAATGATGAACTTTACCAATCGTTTCTGGGTTCTTCAGAACTTTTCCCAGAAAATATATCGTGGAAGAAATTCCAAAACGGCATTGTTTGCACGCAATACTAATCGTGATGACAGAATGATCGAAATTACGTCGTGTGTATTTTCACAAATTTATGAACTACATGTAGATAATAATTACTAGTACTGGGTCTCAGTGTGGCCAGATTTGACATAACTGACAATGAGTGTACCGACAACGACACTAGTAACGACGAATTTCCTGTAGATCCTTGACCCCGCAAAATGAGAAAAACCCCATAAAAATGGTCCAATCTTCAAACAGCCATAATTCCTACAATAGTGAATATATTTCAATGAAACTTTTTTCTGAAGTAGAGCTCATAGGTACCTACAAAAAAGTATTGGCCAACGTTTTTGTAGGGCGTCAAACAATATTATTAAAAATGAAAAACGAATTTTTAAGAAAAATCGACAGGTGCCTAAATTTTTCAGCAAAAAAAAAATTTCAAATCGTTCTAAAAAAATTATTTTCAGTTGCGGGAGTCAATTTCAATCATTTTTGGTCAATATATATACCCCCGAAATACTACGCACTTTTGAGAAAAAAATTCGAGAATGGTTTGAAATTTTTCAACAAAATTAAAAAATTTCAAACCATTCTGAAAAAATTATTTTCGGTTGCAGGGGTCGATTACAATCATTTTTGGTCATTACACATTCCCCCGAAATTTTGGGCATTTCGGAGAAAAAAATTCAGTACGGGCGGAACTTTAAACGTTAATAATTTCTTAACGAAGCTTCCATCAACAAATTGGTATTCTTGTATTTTTCCCAATTTTGTCCTCCAGAAGTAGTGCAAGCCTACAGTGCTTCATTAAAATCAAAGTTAGAACGGCTACTACCATAATGGATGTGCGCGCAAGATGTAAATCATCAAAATCTGCAAAACTGTAGGAGGCAATTTTAAAAAATCGCATACCAATGGATCTGGAATAAAATGCTCGTCATTTTTTGTCATTATGAAAATTTCAATAAAATGAAAAATTAAGTTAATAAATTTTTTTTTGTTATAAACAAATTGTATTTTTTTAAATTTTTTAACACCATGTTATTGTACATAAGAAACCATCAACCTCGCCCATTAACAATTTTTTTGTATGTCTTTCCGTTTTCGAGATAGCCGTTTCGAGCCAAAACTTCAAGGGGTGGTTTCATCCCTTAAACTCGAGTTACCGCAGTTAAAAAAAAATACGTGTCGATTATTTTTGGCTGCTTTATAAGTGTACAAAGTTTCATCAAAATCGAAGCCGGACCGTTCGCGATGGTTCCTTGTAAGTTTAGAGTGTATCGATGTTTAAAGATCGATAGATTGATATTTTTAAATCGTTTCATTATTGTGAAAATTCAAGGAAATCAAAATTTGAGGATAAAATTTACACACAAAGACAATATTGTAATTACATGAAATGTTCTCAGATTTATTTTTTCTTCCAGAATTATGTAAAGACGAGTATTGTAATAACACTTAAAAAAAGCATGGCAAGGAATCGATGTTTTATGTATTCTTTATTGTAAAAATAACTGCGAGATTTGATTTTTTATTAACATTTTAATCCTAGAATCTATTTAACATAATAATTTAAATTGATATATTTATTATTATTTTTAATGTTCTCATACTTATTAATTAATTAATCACATTACAGTGTAAAACATAGTACTATTCGACAATTTGGTAATTACAAATTACTTTATAGGATTCTTAATCATCGTAATGTTACAATTTCACAAATATTAGGATTCTGCCATTAGTAAATAATATTGTAACTGTAATTTCAATTTAAAGATCACTTTTTCCATTTTGTGAAAATGTAAGTTAAATTTGTAATATTAATAGCTTTGCCACCAGTTTTAAACAGTGAAATACGAATTCCTCTATGATTTGATAATTTCAAATTATTTTAGACAGCATTCCTAATCAAAATAGCATTATAATTTCACAAATATCGAAATTCTTCCAAAATAATATTGTGATAATTTAATTTAATTTTGATTTTTCTATTACAAAGCTGTTTTATGACTGTTCATACCCAATGGTATAGCTTGTAATTCAGTTTTCATGCAGAGGAATTCTCCACAGACGCACATTATACTCAAAGACACAATATTCAAGCACCACCAGCTGAAGGTAGAAGGGAAACTTGTGTTGTACATCCAACAGCACAACAAATGTATCAAATGAGCCGTACATGCAAAATCCATACACTGTTTTGTCCTTTGCACCAACCACCACAGAGCAAACGCGCCAATTAAGGCATTTATAATAAAGACAATTATAGTAAGTTGTCCGGCAAAGTCCCGAACATGTATTTCCTTATAATGAAACGCATAATCCAAGGATTTGGTTGATCCCAGTAACGAAGCAATGATCCAAATCCATAAACCCAGGCAGAAGTACATGACAGTTTGGACTGCTATTATTTGTGATATTATCAGAATGGGATCCCATATTGTTTTGCGAAACTGTCCAGATATACTGTTCATAGCTTCTTTAGTTTTTAGAATTTTACATCCACTTATTGAGAAGAGAATTTTATAGTTTTCTTTGCTTCGTTTTTTATTGTCATTTTGGTTCTTTAAATCTGAAAACTATGATATTCCATTAAGAAAAATCTAATTTTGAATACACAAATGACATTCAATAAACTTGGCTGCAATTTTTAGATTTGGAAAAAGGGAAGCATTGAATTTTCTGGGGAAACAGGGGAAGTTATTGATCGAAATATAAAAGACAAAAGAATTTTTGGAAAGTTGGTTTGGTTGAACTTGGATTATAGGTTAGAATTTCTGAAAGTTAATTTAACAGAATTTAGATTATAGGCTAGAAAAAATAACTCAGAACATCAAAGAAATTTACCTTTCACAAAATGAAATTCCAAAAAATTTGTCTGCGATATTGAAATGCGAAAAATACATAAGTTCCTACGAAGTTGATTTAGTAAAATTCAGATTATAGGTTAGAAAAGGAGTTACTAAGTTTCGATCAGGAAACATCGATGTGCATCGATGTATCGACAGAATATATCGTCGTTATATTAAAGCTTTGGTAATAATTTCTAGAAATACTTTTATATAATCAATTATATTTGATTATGATAAGAAAATATTCTTCCATTTGTTAAAAGAACTCATAACAATTTTCATAATGAAAGAATTCACTAAAACGAATCTTCGATGATTTCGACTTTCGATGTATCGTCAGTAAAAATCGATAGTTCTCAAAACATCGATACATCGTGTCGCCAATAAGTATACTATGGCTAGAATGTATCAGTGTACGTAGTACATACTATGTACTGGTGTAGTAGTAGTGCTGGTACATACTATTATCTCAAATTGTGCAGCCCGTCGCATTTTAAGGTTATTGAAAGAACTATTATATTTTTTAAATAATTACAATCATGAGTGATTCAGAATATTTAGATGACACCGAACAAATTATATCGGAATCTCATTCTAAACTCCTCGAAGCCGTATCACAACTTGACAAAAACCAAAGGTAAATAAGGTTATAGCGCATAACCTAAATTGTATTACCTGTTTTCCAGTATAGTTATCAAAATGTTTACTTTTTAGTACAAGTTAATCTTTAAATTTTTTGTTTGTTTTTAAATTTATATAAGGAGAATATAATCTGTTAAATAAAGAATTATTATTAGCATTAAAATGTTTAAGAAAAAACGCTTTTATTGGATACATAATATTGTACACCTTTTTGTGTACTTTTCGTAATTCTTCTAGATTTGTGTAAATAAAATATATTACTATTCGATTACATTTATGGAAGTTAACTTGTTAAAATTACTTATTTATGTAAAAATCTCTTTGCATACTGTCTTTTTCTGTCTGAGCATAAAATGCTTTGTTAAAACTTATTGAAATCTTTCAAAAATGACGTTTCTCAGAACTACATATTGTATTCCAAATGATATTCAATTTAGCAAATATTTCTGTTAGAGTAAAGAAAGCAGAGAGGAGCGAACCTACTTTGGAAGTTTCCGAATTTCATTTGGTAAAGAGTGGAATATCTGACAGAGATGCAGTTTACATGAATGATTTGTCAAAAGCATTGGGCAGAAAGGGTCACCATCATGATATTACCAAAAATATAAAATTCGCCAGGAATAAATCAAATATTCTGAGAAAACCATTGGAAAAACCAGTTGCAGAAAGGGTAAAACTTTATTTCAGATTATATTTTTCTATATCAAATTGTAAATTGACTTCCTATAAATATTAGAAACATAGTGTGTATAAATTTTGTTTCAGATAAAAAGGATTGTTGGTTTTGAGAATGCAAAGAAAGAACTGAACAAATGGAACGCTATAATAAGCAAAAACAGAGTGGCAGGGTCCCTTCAGTTTCCCATGAATCAATCGTCTATGAGATTAGAGCCATCCAAACAATTTGTCAAGAGATTCAGGCTTAGATCGGAGTTGGAGGAAAAACTGGCTGCTTTGGAGCCACAGAAAGAGAATATTGAAGAGAAAGTCGATGAATTTTCCACAACAATGCAGGAAATTGTTGCAAAGAGGCAAGAAGCTGCCAAAATCAGAGCACAACAAGTTAGTATTAAACAAAGAAAGAATATTGTTACATATGGTATTGAATTTTGTTCGTTTTCAGTCTTACAAGGAATCGAAGTCTCGTCGTGAAAGGAAAATCAAGAGCAAAAAATTTCATCGTTATCAAAAAAAGAAAAGGATTAAGGTGCAATTGAAAGAGTTTGAGGAATTGCAGAAAACTGATCCTGAAGCTGCGTTAGAGAAGCTAGAACAACTGGATAAGAGCAGGGCTGAGGAACGAATGTCATTGAGGCACAAGAGTACTGGGAAATGGGCGAAATCAAAACAAATTAGGGCGAAATACGATAAAGACGTAAGTGAATAATGAAAGTATTCCAACACTTAAATTCATGACTTTCAATCTATTCAATTTGAATGAGAATAGAGAAGAAGTTCCAAGATAGTGTTAGTAAAATTAGAAAATGATTCAAACCTGTATGATATTTTTTGCTACAAGTACCACGTTATTTCCTAATGGGTAAAGAAAGCATTCGAATGCAAAAATTACAGATACCTGAAGTCAAAATCGGTTCAATAATCCAAAAAGTTCGGGTACCCAAAATCGAAATCTAGTCAAAAACCAGAAAAGTTTGATAGCCAATATTGAAATCATTGGGTATCTACAATCACAAATTGAGTCAGGAATTGGGACAGAAACTCGAAATCCAAATTGGATCAAGAATTTAAAAATTGAAATCGGGCTGTGAACTCAAAAATGTTGTGTACTCGAAATTCAAATTGAGTTGGAAACTCAAAAATTGAAGTCGAGCCAAAAACATTATAATTAATATATTTCTATAAATATTACTTAAAATTATTTCCTTTAATTAAAAAAACCTATATAATTTTAATTTAATCTAATATTACACTATTAATTTATTTCACGATAATAATAATTCTTTATTTAATGAAATGATTCCCTTCCGTATATATTTTAAAAAAAGTAAAAAATTTAAAGATGGATTAATATGAGAATTAATTTGCTTCAAAAAAGTGATATATATGGCGAAAAGAAATCAAATTATTTATAAAATATTTTATTTTTATCATTATTAGACTCGACAAGAACTCGCACAACAATTATCGGTTAGTCGAGAATTGACGCTAAAGTTTAAAAAACCAGATGATTGTGAACCCGATGAGGATGACAATACTCCTTCCATGCAGTCTGTTTCTCACGATCCAGAAAATCCATGGACATCTACTAATAAATCCGAAACGGAAATAGACGAGTTTGTTAAAAATTATCGTAAATATTGGGACGAACAAAATAATCGATCCGAAAATCATAGACTCGACGTAAGCAAAACCGATAAAAACGAAAATGATATCAGCCAAGTAAACGTTTCAATGGAAAATATAAATAATCATGCTACTTTAGAAGGTACGTTTAGTAAGGCTATTAGTACAATTAGTAAAAGTTATAAATCTCGTTAGTAAAATTCCGTTTCTTTCACAGATGAAGGTACTAATTGTACAAAATCATCAGAATCGAATAGCTCAGATAACGAAATAATGAAAAAAAAACCATCGACAGATGATAAGAAATTGAACAAAGAGTCCAAATTATTAAAGCAAGATTTAAACAAAGTCACAGCCACTTCCGTTTGGAACGTAGAATCCGTCGAAAATTTACCTAAACCTTCGACGTTGAACATTTTAAATATCGAAGAAGTGAACAATATATTTGATGACATGGAAGAAAATATGAAAGACAAAGTTAAATTGAAACTCCAACAATTTACAGAAAGTTACAATAAAAAATCAAAGAAATATGAAACAAAAACGAATTCTAAGAGCGAGGAAGGGAATTTTGACGGGCTGGAAATGCCATTAAAAAATCCGAAACCAATTATAGATTCATCTTTGCATGAAACCATAGACAAAAATGGTTCAATGAAAGAAATAAATAGTGAATTGAAAATTGTAGAAGATGGAAGTAGTTTGGTAGTAAATAAGCCAAGCGAAATAGATCCAAATAAGTATATAAACGTGAAACCTAAGAGATTGAATACTGGATTGTCAGAAATCGATGCAAAAGGTGGTGATGTTTTAGACGATAGTGAAAACGACGACGACAACCATAATATAATTAGCGAAGCATTTGCCGATGATGATGTAATCGAAGAATTTCGAAAAGAAAAGCAAGATGAGGTACTTATAAAATGTTTATGTTATTAATAAATTATTAATTTAATTTAGCAATATTAAAAATCATTTGTGCATAGGTGGAGAAGTTCCAACCTAAGGATATCGATTTAACTATACCAGGATGGGGAAATTGGTATGGGAAAAATTTTAAAGTATCAAAGCAGAAAAAAAAACGTTTCATTTTGAAGTTTCCTAAAGATTTGCCAAGAAAAGATGAAAATAAAGGGGATGTTATAATATTGGAAGAAAATAATAAAAAATTGAAAGAACACCAAGTAAACGAATTGCCATTTCCATTTACCAGTGTCAAAGACTATGAAGCCAGTTTGAGAATGCCGATTGGAAGAAATTTTGTACCTGAAATTTCTCACAGGAAGTTAATCGAACCTATTGTTAAAACTAGTATGGGGAAAGTTATTGAACCGATGGATGAAAATGTTTTATTGAAACAAGAAGATAAAAGTCGAAATTTTATTCATAAGAAAAGAAGTAAAGTAATTAAAAAGAAAAGAATAAAATAGGCCTTGACATCAAATTGTGAAACATTGAAATAAGTGCAAAAATAAAAAAACATAATATTGAAATTTTTATAAATGACTTGTAATATAATATTTCGATACTTAATTTCGTAATCTTTTGTTCAATAAACCTCGTTGACTAGAAAATATTTATTTTCTGGCAAAGTATATTGATTTGTAATTATGTTTATAATCTATCAAAATGTTTCGTGAATTTAATTCCACCCCGAAAAATTAAGAAAATTAATTTCCCTATAATGTATGCAGTTATAATTTGTATATGTATCAAACTTAATTAACAATTTAGTAAAAAAGTTTTAAATCATAAATTATATTATAAGAACGATTGCAAGAATTTTGATTCTAATACCATTGGCTGTTATACGCATGCGTAAATTATAATTTATATATGCATTAAAATTCGTTGAAAACAATATTTAAAATTAACTATTTGTTTGACAGAATTTTCGAAATTTATTATTTATTTTTATAAGAATTTTAATTCAAATATAATCGGTTACACTGTGCGTGCATAAATTATTATTTATATATAGATGAAAATCCGTTGGAAATAGTATTATTCGACAGAATTTTTGCAATTATATCAACGTAAAAGATTTTATATTATTAATTCTTTTCTAAGCACGATTGCAAGGATCCTCTTCAAATACGATCATTTATCTTGCGCCTGCGCGTCAGGTAATCTGCGATTGGCTAAAAGATGAATTTCCATCCCAACGTAGTTGGAGAAAGACGTTACACGGGTGCACGAAACAAGGACAGAACTCCCATATTGCGCACGCGAGAGATTAGAGGGAGAAGAACAGAACCACCCGCCGTATGATTGCTCGCTCGCTTGTTCTCAGTAGTAAAGCAAAGTTCTGTGCGTAGAGTGGTTTGTCGTACCGTTGATTTCATTAAAAAATTTACACGAATTCGGAAATTTCTTGTGCATCAACGTGAACAAAATTTTCCGCCTTCAGAAGATGGCAACCACAAAAGACGACGTCGCCGACAGCGTGCAATTTTTCGAAGGCGTGGAGAAGCTGCTGGAGATTTGGTTCACGAGCAACAGCAGCGTAAACAGAAAGCAGGGCGATCTCAGGCAGATTCCCCAGTAAGTCGAAACCCCTATCGAAACCTAACCAACACGATATACCGAAATCCAATTCTCGAAACTTGGAACGTTCTTTTCCAAATTTTAATAGAAAAACATTAGAATTCGCGATTCTTTGGTCAAAATTAATAAACTGTCTATACATTGAAGGTTAGTGTGAGGATATAAATATTGAGAATTTAGAGATGACACGAAAGATCGGTGTTTATGTTTATCGCCCGGCACATTTCGATATAATGTTCCACGGCAGTAATCGTTAGTGTGCCTAACACACAGTCGGGAATCGGTACAGTGTGTCACGTGCTTTGACTTTTATCGCGAACCTAAGCTTTGCAACTTTTAATTTTTGAAAAGAATCGAAGTAGTTTCGAGAAGTTTATCAAGGAATGAGTTTAGTTGGGCGATTGAATCGCAACGCGACGAGTATGTGCGTGTTTTTTGGCCAAGATCGATGCGCCCACCTTCTCGTTCCCAGTAATACCGACCGTTCTACTGTTGATATCTATATGCTTTATCGCCTTATTTTACAGTCAATATAAATAGAAGCTTTGGCCGCCGATCTTACATTTTTCATAACTTTATTATCGTTCCAAACTTTGGGAATATCGATTATTGCCAATACAAACATTTATTTCAGTTTTAAATTCAAGATTATTGTTAAATTTCGATTTTGGGGGACCTGAAAACTTTGGTTTCACTTTTTTATTAGAAATGGACAATTAATTATGATAATGAATAATTTAGATTTAATTTCAAGTTTATTCGTCTTAAAAGGCAATATATGTATATTCAAATAGTAAATTATTTTACAAATTTGATATTAGTGAATGTATCCAAACCTAACCCAGAAATAACCGATCATAATTGGGCCAGATTTGAACAACTTTAGTGTGTTGAATATGGTTAATGCCTGTTCTTGCTGAAATAACCACAAACTTCCTTATCGATCAAATTTCATGCCGATAAAAATTAGTATTTTTTAGATCTACTTTGTCAAATTCTACTCCAGAATGTTTAAAAAAAAACATAGCTTTTAGTTCCGTAAAATGAAGTTCATACTTTAATAACTTATTGTAAGCATTGTTATAATTCGGTTCGAAAAACTGGCACTACCAGTTGGTAAAAGCAGATATCTGTAATTCAGTCTCCGTCGATAATTAGAAATTTGTTTAAAATCATGATTCCTTCGAGAAAGGACTGTGTAATAATTGGGTAAACACGACATTAATTTTTTTTAATTTAGTTAATTCATCATATAAATTGACTAAATTACTTGTGAATACTTTTTTTTTATAATGATTTAGATATTTTCGTTATGGTTTTGGTTTTTCTGTGTTTTGTTTTTATTTTATTTTCTACTTTTTTTTATCTGTTTGTTAAAATATTTACTGGCAATCAATGTTTGTTTATATTGTTGGTAGCACTGTGTGTTCTATTGTATTTATCTCGAACATTGTGCATTTGGGCGAGTATAAAGTTTTTTATAATTAGACGAATCAAATGATTGACAGAATTTGGCAAACGTGCTTCTGACGCGGCCGCTATTTTGTATTCACTTCCTACATAATTTTCAAGTTTATAAATATTTTATAAACGATGTGTGCTTTTGTTTGTAATCTCCCGCACATAAATTGCGGTCGATATCGAAATCGTTTAGGAAATTGCGTACGAATGGGTCTATTTATGTACGTTTCATCGATTCGCTATCAATTAACTAATTAATTAATTAAAAAAAGGAACGTTTAAAATATTGTGGATAACGAAGTATCGATTTTAATACGAACCTGGGCGTTTTGAGAAATTTTCAAAATATATTATTTTAAAATTATTTTTCAGAGTTATTTAACAAATAATCTATTTCGAAATAACGCTATTATTTCAAATGAATTAATGTATTTCCAATTCATCATTTATTCGCCATTTCTAAAAAATTAATTATTTGTTAATTGGATTTGACGAAAATAATTCGTTTCTTAATAAAGTTCTGTTAAAAGCTAAAACAAATTTTTCCTACGATATGTTCTTTATTTATGCGTATATTATTACAATTAGATATTAACATATTAATGCTATATTATTATTAGTGTTAGTAACACTATTACAAACTTATTACAATTATTCAAAGCCTTTGTTGAACGCTAGAAATAAATGTTATTTCCTGAAAATAAGCAGTAAATTCCTCAAATTTACTATTAATTGATTAAGCAAAGAACCTAAAGATCAATTGAAATGCATGATTTATGAAATATCAATTCACATTATTTCACGTGATTATTTTAAATAAGTTTTACTTTCAGTTCTGGATTTAATTTTATGTTGTGTGAGACATATAAAAGATAAAATGAAGACACGTGCATAGCGCATGGCTTTTTATTCTGATTATCGGTCGAAAGTTTCCTAGAAAAATAGAGAAATAGTCACGAGTATTAAGATATCACGAATAGAATGAAATAGATAATGAAAACAGTATGACAAATTTCTTAAATGATTAGAAATATTAGTCAGGCTATCGCTCTCCCAGCTGAGCTATTTCGGCTGGTGATTAGAAATATTAGTCAAAATTTGGATACCTAATTTTTTAAAATTTATATTCAGGCTGTTTGAAGATGAAAAATTTAATTTTAACAAAAATGTTTAAAAGTTTATGTTAACTTTGTTCGAGAAAGAAAAATTTAATTTTCCAAAATCGAATCAAAATTTGTGTCAAAAAACGTTGATATAGTTTATGTATTATTAAATGGAAATTTGAACGGATCGTAATTTATTAATGTACCGATTTGTTAAACTTTTATATCTCAGAAGATTTTTCCCCCACGAGTTCATTAAAAATTATTTTCCCCGATTTTTATTACAAAATCGTTCAACGTTTTAACGAACTTAGGTTTTCGTTACAGGATAACATAACTCCTTGTGTTAGCGTTTACGCAACGGTTTTTAAATCTTTTAATTAGTCCAAGTTTGATTATTATTTATAATTGTTATTTCTTATAAATTATTAAAATCGTTTAGCTTATAAAATTTATTCTTATCAGAAATAATTTAACAATTTTTATCATTTATATGGTAAACGAATAAAAAAATTACAATTAAAAAAATTTCCTCGATTTTGGAAAATTTTTGAAAAAAAATAATATATCGTAAAGTAAAGATACTCTAAACTAAACGCGAATAAGTAACAAAAGTATTTGTTTGTGCCAGATAATAATTGCTAAATTTATTTTAACAAAAGATACGAAAATTACAAGATTCATTATACATACAATTTACAAGAAGAATATAATATATGTATAATAATATTAACACTTATTCTAAACAATATCTACATTATTGTTCCAGACGGAAATGGCAGTCCTTGTTGAAGATTGTTCGTTGCGAGATAATCAGCATTTGTCAGACCGAGCAAGTGGACGCTTATGTTCTCAGGTAAATAATATTTACATAAATTTTTTATCATAATCCAATAAACATTGTTCATTAAACATCTGTCACGATTTATTTGATTTTAATTGGCAGATATAGGCAGTTAGAGGATCCACTGTATGATCGCCAGAATTGATTCATTATTAGACCATTACACATTGCTATGACTGTGAAGTTTCGTGGAAATAAATATTTGTATGGAAAGTTAGGGGCTTGGTATACAAAATATTATTTAAAATGTATTTGAATTTAATTAATTTATATGGAACATACGATGCAATATTATTTAACATTAATATATTACTTAAATTTAAAAGCAATTAATTATTAAAAATTACAATATTTATTCTATATAAATATAAAGCTATTAGACCTCATGCTCTAATTATAGAAATGAAATTGAATTATATTACAAGCATTTTACTTCCGCGACATTTTAAAAGCGTTTGTAGACAGAGTCGAGTACAAATACTATTTTAATTAATATTTGATTTCAGATCGTACATGTACTTGCGAGAATAAAATACTTTATTTTATTGGGAAGAAGTTTTTTCAAAATAGTATTCAAAATTGAAGATTCGCATAGTTGGGCTTTATCCTCGCCTAATATTGTCTAAATCCAAAGCTAAAAATAATATTACAGTAGAAGCCAAGTAAACGTCTTTTAATAACCTTCATTCTTTCATAACCTTGAATTCGTTATTATCAAAAGAAATCTTTATTCGAATGTTTTTTTAACTAAGGAAATAGATTAAATTCTTTAATGTGAATTCGAAATGTTTCTCTGCGCAAATGTATAGTTAATGCTAATAAACGATGAATATTTAGAATTTAGTGTATAGAATGTAAAAAGCAAGATAGCAAACTGCGAGCGAAATTTTCTCAGAACACAGGGAGCGTCGTTTGTCTGAATGCGGTGTGTGAGTGTGTGGGGGGTCAGTCGGTCAACGATCGTGCGTGCGATACCACTTTGTATCTTTCGTTAAATATACATTATACATTTGTCATTTTTATATTTTATATCAAATAAACCTGTTGTTATTGAATGCACTTTCCCTCGAAGAACAACTACATATTATATCGACGGTTTAAATTACAGTCGAAATTAATATCTCAAACTCTAAATCTTGTTTGATATTTAAACATTATGAAATTATTTTTTTAAATATTTTTCCTTATTTAAAAATTTAGAATAGTCGAAGATACGTATGAATTATTTAACGTTAGACAAATTAAAATTGTATCAAAACGGTATTAAATACTTAAACTAACAACAATTTAAAATGCACAATATTTACTTTTATTTATAAAACATTTCGATCATTCTTAAAAAAATAATGTTTTCTAAAATTGATGATTCATATATAAAATCAGTAATTTAGTAGATATAATTTAAAAAAAGACGAATTTTAAGATAAGATATTAAAATGTATATACATATATATATGTATAATAATAGTATAAAGAGAAATAAATTTTTTGTAATTTTTATTTTTCAGCGAAAGCAGTATGTTCCTATCAAAGCGTAGGCTAATTCTAAAAACGTGTGGTACAACCACACCTCTTCAGTGTTTGGAGCCACTTTTAGAGTTGGTGAAAGAGTACACTGGCTTTGAGGAAGTAGAGGTAATCGATTAGTTTTAATATCATTAAAACTCCATGGAGTAAATTCATACAAAAAATTGTGTTTTATTTTAACATACTTTAATCCATTACATTTGAATTAAATAAATTAAGCTTTATATTTTAAAAATCAGGAGCCACATCATTTTTTCCCCCTATTATTTCCTATTTTAGTATACATAGATAAATGGAAAAGCTGCTTAATTGTGAAGAATAAAAACTATTGTTTAGAGTCTGTAAGATTTCACTAATTTTTCTTTTCCAAACCTAGAAGGAAGCGTAATTAGTCGAAAGTTTTCTTATTCTAATGAAGTTTCATCATTTTGGTCCACAAAAATTGTCGTTTACTGCGACCAATTAGAAGTCGAAAGTGGTCGACTATATAACTTGACCTAGTGAATGAATAAGTGTCTGTATATAGGGTAGTTCTATAATACAGGGTACTTGCCTGTTTATTGATCTCTTTTACCCATTACACAAAATCTACAATCTTTTCAAGTCTTCATAAAAAGTTTCATCAAAATCTTTTCCCATTTGTTTCAGAATGTGTTTTATTCCCGGAAAAATTACAAAAAGCCAGAGTTACAGATATCTCCCCATCAAGCATTCGAGGAAGAAGTAGCTCTGCTGAATACATTCTTCCCAGGTAATTAAATATTCCCCTGTGTCTAAACAATTTTTCAAACAAACCTAAATCTTCTAAATTAACGACTTTTATTTTTTTTCTAGACGGTGCAGCTTATTGTTTAGGATCCGTGGAGACAGACTGTTGGTACTTGTACACTCTGAACAGAGAGAAATCGGTGGACGAGCCATCGGAGCCGGATCAGACGCTGGAAATCCTCATGACGCATTTGGATCCAGAAGTAATGGCCGTTTTCACAAGAGACGTTTGCTCGTCTGCTGATGAAGCCACCCAGAAATCTGGAATCGACAAATTAATCCCAAACATGATCATCGACGATTTTCTATTCGAGCCCTGTGGATATTCCATGAATGGAGTCTCGAAAAATGTAAGATTCTGTAATTTTCCAATGGAAACTATAGAACCTTCGATTTATGGAACACCCTCTAGATCGACACACTTTAAATTGTTATAATTTTTCAATTATCAAGATTAGGATATATCGTCAGAATCAGAATTATAGAGTCCCGTTTAAAAAAGGATGCAGTTGCATTTTTTAAACATATCGATGCAGAAAAATAAATGAAATTATTTTTAATTTGTGCATCATGAAATACCATTTCATTTTGCCTTATTTTTTTGTATCTCTATCACTTTCAGAGATATAGCTTGCCCAAGTTGTGCCGAATCTTCCTTTTAATTCCATTTAAATCGAAAGTTTTATTCTTCCCATTGTAAGAGCCTCTTTATTTTCCTCGCAAAATTAATTAATTATATTAATATTCTACAGGGAAACTACATGACCATCCACATAACGCCAGAATCAGAATTCTCGTACGTGTCGTTCGAGAGCAACATTCCAGAAACTTCCTACGAGGAAATAATACGACGAGTTCTGAATACTTTCAAACCAAAGAAGTTCGTCGTAACCATATTCGCCAATAAAGAGTCGATAGCCGCCAGTTGTCCCCGCGATTTGGAGCAAACCGACTGTTTAAAATGTTCTGGTGATTGGCTTCGAACGGACGTTCAGTATTGCCGTTTCAAAAACTACGATCTGACCTGCGCGTTTTATTCGAGGTTCCCGAGCTGAGGGTTCAAGGACGCTTCGTTCGAACCTAATCGCCTAGGGACTAACGAAGCGCTCCCAAATACTCCCATACTCTCCCAAAACTCCTCCAAATCGACCTATGCGACAATAGAAACTAAAAAACTCGAGCAGACTCTGAAAGGAATCCCAAAATCCGAGTACCAGAAGTTTAAAGAAAATGTTGAACCTCGATGTTTGAACCAGAATGCGAATTTTAAGGAAAATTGTAACGATTGCGGGACTATAATTGATTCCCAGGGAGATTGTAACGATTCGGAAATTATAATCGGTTTCAAAAGAGATTCTAATTCATATTCTACGAATCAGAATGTATCTTTTAAGGAATATTGTAACGATCCTCCAATTGTAATTGATTTAAAGAGAAATTGTAACGATTCCGAAAGTATAATTGATTCTAAGAAATATTTCAACTCATTTTCCATGAATCAGGTCGCTTGTTCTCAGAAAAATTGTAATGATTGTCCAATTATAATCGACTCTAAAAGAGATTCTAATTCTTATTTCACGAAATCCACTAATCAGGACCCGGGTTCTAAAAAAAACTGTAACGATTGTCCAATTGTAATTGACTCTAAGAGAGATTCTAACTCAAGTTCGGGAAGATCGACGCCATCGTCGATAAAAATTAACAGAAAATCGTCACCCAGGTCGACGAATTCATCGAATTCCGCGTCAAACGTTTCTTTGACCGTGAATAAGTGGAACACGGCGGAAATTCGCATAACTTGCAACCCTCTGGCGACGCCGTACCCTTATTCTACACCCCATCGGAGCATAAAAAGCGAAAACGTAGCGGAAACAACCGAAGACGAGCCAAAGACTCGAAGTTGCGGCAGCTTTTTGCCGATTTTGTCGTTAATACCACAAACGGTGATCAGCTTTCAGTATTTGAGCCCGAAAATGAAATTCTCTTGGTGGAGGAATAAAATATCGTGAAGGTACGCTTGAAGGATCGTCACGAAGGATTCAAGAGACGATCTTTGGGTAGAGTGATCCGAGAATGGTTTGTTTCGGGTAAAGATCTATTTGGAAAAATTTCTTTTACCTTGTAGTTCAAGAACCACCCCAATCTTCGATCAATTAGAGAGGTATCGGGATAATCGAGTCTAATTTAACCGTTTTATTACTACAAGTAGGGTTATAACGAGAGAACGCATGCTAGGTAGATACAAAAAAAAACGTATTTGTAGTTCCTTTCACACGCTATTGGAAAAAGTTTACGTTTAGCACGACGTAAATGTTTTTAATCCTGTATGAAGGATAATGTGTATATTGTAAATTACGATTGTGTCAGGGAATTAGTCCAGTGTTTCCCCCGGACCTTTTTGAGTTAATGATATAAGTTTAGAGATGGTTAGGATTCCCAGACGCACTGCGGTTGCGAGGATGAACGTATTCACGCGCGTTGCGCGTCATTGTTTATTTAAAAAAATATCCGTTAAGCGTAGAAATATTTATAATATTCGACAGACTTTGATATCTTCGAAATTGTTCGATGATATCGGAAAACGTTTCGAACGAAAGTTGAATGCTTTTCGGGGTCACGTGATCTAATGAAAGCGAATTTTCCTAAATGGACAAGCAGAGGGTATGCGAAGTTCAACTTCGTTTTCTTAAATGAAATCATGGGGAAAATTTTAATGGGAGATTCTAGAGGCCAAAATAAGACGAAAATCAACAATATCAATTTGTTGATCGAGGCTTCGTTAAAAAGTTATTAACGTTTAAAGTTCCATACCGATCGAAACATTTTTCGACGAAAAAAAAAATTTCAACTCGTTCTGGAAAAATTATTTTCGGTTGCGGGGGTCAATTACAATCATTTTTGGTCATTATACATACCCCCGAAATTCTATCCACTTTCGAGAAAAAAAATCAGGTATGTGCCTAAATTTTTCGATGAAAAAAAAAATTTCAAATCGTTCTAGAAAAATTATTTTCGGTTGCGGGGGTCAATTACAATCATTTTTGGTGAATAGACATAACCGCGAAATCCTGCGCATTTTCGAGAAAAAAATTCAGTACGGGCGGAACTTTAAACGTTAATAACTTTTTAACGAAGCCACCATCAACAAATTGGTATTCTTGATTTTCGTCTTATTTTGGCTACTACCGGGCAAAAACTTATTAGTTTAAAAGATATTTCAATTTTAATAATATACTTGTAATGGCATCGCCCCAAATATTAAAATTAAAATATCTTTTAAACTAATGTTTTCCCGGCATGAGTGGCTCAGTACTTTTATGTAAAGAATGACGAGTTGCACCGAATGATACATTAAAAGGTTTATACCAGGGTGTTCGGTCACCTTGGAGAAAAATTTTAATGGGTGATTCTGGAGGACAAAATAAGACGAAAATCAGGAATACCGATTTGTTGCTCGAGGCTTCGTTAAAAAGTTATTAACGTTTAAAGTCGCGCCTGTAGAACGGTAATCTGCGCACACGACAGTGGTTCTCACTCATTTGTTCGTAGATTGCCGTCCTACAGACGGAAGTTTAGACGTTAATAACATTTTAACGAAGCCTCCATCAACAAATTGGTATTCTTGATTTTCGTCTTATTTTGGCCTCTAAAATTTCTCGTTAGAATTTTTCTGTGATTCTATTTAAGGAAAACAAAATTGGCCTTGATACATCCTCCTCGTATCCGCTTAGGAAAAATTTACTTGCATCAGGTTTTTCAGTATCGTCAACGGTTTCGAAGATATTTTAATCGTAATGTTGAATTTTCCTCACAACGCAACAGTGTGTCGCGACACATCGGTTGGGAAACACTGCTCTAGTCTATGAAGTCATTTTTTTTTTTCCTAAACATTGTTAATTTACGAGTAGAACGAAACGAGTACCTTTTTCCTTCCAACGGAGAATCCCCTTGCAATTTTGTCTACTTAGAGGAAATAAACGGTAGAAATTCATGATAAATAAATGATAACCATACAAAAAAAAAAATACAGTATGGATTTGAGAAGACACGTCGGTCGTATTGTGAATTCTATTGGATTACAACTTGAATATAATTTACGTATTGGTATGATATATTTGAGGAACAATTATATGTTCTTTTCGGGCCGGGGCGAAAATAATTTCAGGCGTTTGAGCTTCAGAGACGAAAAGTTTAAATGGAAAACCTGGGAATAAAACAATCGAGACGCGTCATATTTATGTTATAATTAAATTTAAACTTTTTGAGACCCGTTTCAACTTTGAGTGTCTGAAGCGAAAACCGGATCCCGAAAAATTTTGGGTTTTTTTTTTTTACAATACAATTGGTTCTTTCCTTAGTTATTTTTATATGCTACCGATTGTAATAATAGAATACGATGATACCTTCAAGTCTTGAAGTTTAAAACACGAAATTTTTCAGAAAAATTTGTGGGACCTGAATCTATTTTCAGATATTCGAAACCTGAAATTTTTTTAGCCCTGGCCCACTCGAGTTCGTTATTCGTACTGTCGGATACCCGAAATACAAACCCAAATTAATTCCAATGCGAAATAACTTCTCTATGTGATATTATTAAAACTACGAAGAAAACTAATTCTCCAGTTGTTGTTGTTATGCTGTTAAGAAGTATAGATTTAATCCTTTATAAAACCTCTTGTTGACTTTCTTGTTAAACATAATATAAATTCGTTTTATGTAAATGGAAGATGCATTAAATTAGTTTAAGGTACTATATGATTAACTGGAAAAATCATTCCTATCATGCGTGCGTGTAAAAAAATGTGTTACCTACGATGCGATGCGTATATGACAAGTCAAATTTCCTCTAAACATTGTATTTCTCTGTGAGAAATAATGTCGTTTATTATAATTTATATCTATTAAAAAGGATCCATATTGCTAACAAAAATAAGAAAATAAATTTAAAACATATTTCCTTCAGTTTTTTTTTTTTTTCCTTCAGAAGTATCAATTTCTGTTTTCGGTTTTTTATTATTCTCGATTTACTTTTCCCTTCGATAATTTCCATTTGTAAACAAAATTCAGTTAAGAACTTGTATTTAGTTCCATTCGATGATTATACCTAATCTTTTTATATTTGTTGAGTAATAAATATTTTTTACCAATATTTCTATTCGATTGTTTTATTTCTTTGACGTTTCCATATTATTGTTATTGTTTTTCGTAATCTAATTTTATAATGTATAATCCAATTCGCTATTTAATTTTATGATCTATTTTGAATGGATGTTTTCCAATCTTGTTTTTGTAAGAAACGAGGATAAGAAAGACAGAGAGACAATAAGAAACGTAATTTACTTACAGATTTTGTTTCTTTTACTTACATAAGATTTCACTCTTTATAATAATGAAGATTCGTCGTTTAAATAACAAATAATAAAGCAAATAACGATTTTTAACAATTAATAATATTACTTTATTATACTGTGATTATTTTGTGATTTCTTCTTGTCACAGACATTTATTTACTTTGTATATAATTAATAAAGAAACAAAAACTTTTATTTTATTCAATAGTGGACAAGCTGCACTACACAGTTATTATTAACATAAGTACATAAAAACGTAATGGCCGGTAGGTAACTATTCCTCATAGTCTCATTAAGTGCTTTGTGAAACTATATTATCCTTTTGCTGTATTATAGATTATTGTTGCATGTAAAGTAACTTAATTTCTCTGTATTATACCCATTAAATAAAGATTATATTTAGTCAATTATATTTAACGCGTTGTATTTATTCAATTATAAAAATTAACAATTTTAATCGATGACTGTAACAGTATTTAACATTAAACAATTTTTTTAATTACCAACGACGAAATATGTATTCTTTATGCGAGCAATTGAATCTAGTCTTTATTATGATCCCAATTATGAAAACGAAAGTTAAATTAACATTTTGTTTCTAGATTTTCTAAAACACAAAAATGGAGGCGGAAATTTTTAATATCTAAAAATGTTATCATTTTTACCGATTTTTCTGTTTTATCACAAATGAAGTATATGTAGACAGTGATAGTACATACATATTGTATCAAGTATCCTATATTATATATTTATATGTTCTATATCCATATATTTTATTTTCTACATTTTATTTTTGTTAATAAATTGTATTCCTGTATCGTTCGTTGTTTTTAAATTATGTAATATTACTTTTATCGGTTCATATGCAGGTATAATTCGATTATCCGGCATATTTGATTATTCGACACTGCCTCGATCCTGAACATGCCGGATAATCGGAATTCTATTGGTCAATTAATATTATCCCAAGGATAAAATGACACAAATCGATTAAATGATATTGTCAGTCTTGGTGAAATGAATTCCACTAATTGTTGCATTAAATCTTGATAATAATCCGCGTTGTGTGTTCCTTTCTATTGTTTTTCGACTTTCCGTTCGCGATTCGTGCATTTCCGCGTCGAACTTGATTCGAATTTTATTTAAAGCTGTAAAAGAAAGCAGAATTAGAATGGAACAGTAAAATGAAAAGATATCGAATATCTTTCAAGTGTTTTCTTTTTTTTTTTTATACAGGTTTTGCACTCCTTTATCTTACGCGGCCAGTCGACACTTGAAGAATTTTATTTAAAATTTTTATTTCCGAATAATAACTTCACGTAGGATTTTAGAAAACTTGATTTGCAAAAAGGGTTAATTTAGAGAGTAAAACCTGCATCACCTTTTTCCAAATCCATTTCGTCCATTTCGCCGTTGTTGATTTTATATAGTTCGTTTCTGAAGCTTTTCGTAATTTTTTCTCGTACGTAATTGGCCTCTATTTCCTGTTTAGTGCGCGGCACTCTGAATCGAATACAGCAACAAAGTCCAACGAGCACGCTAAGCAAAATGGAGAGGATTATTCCGGCTAATTGCCAAACACGAAATCCAGGCAACGCTTCGTCCTCCAACCATTCTTCGACTCCGCCTTCGACGCAATCTCCGGGACGTATGGCTACTTCGTTGGGAGAGCATGGTGAAAAAGACGACGAGGACAAAATTGACGTGATGGTGGTTGTTGCTTCGTTCATCTTCTTCTAAATTTGGTAACTCAAATTTCTTAGGTATTTTTTATGAATGAATAAATTGTTGACGAATCATACAAATATTTGATAGAATCTTACAATATTAACTTTTACATGGGCACATTTAATGATCGCTAAGAAGCTATTAAAGCTGCATGTGCATATGTTACAGTGAAACACCGAAATCTGGAGAATGTCGACTTTCACCGGTGAATGTCAACATTCACATAGTCGCTTAGTGTATGTCCGAAATATTTGCTAAACACCCTTATTTCTGACTTACACCGGTAAATGTTGACATTCACCATGCACTAATGGTGAGTGTTGAACATGTTGGAGATTTATATTTTCTTCTCCGTAATTCAGACGCTATAAAACGTCACAAGGGTGACGTAACTTTTTCGCCTCTCTTTCTGAAAGGATCTAACCCAGACCTAACCCAGACCTAACCCAGACCTAACCCAGACCTAACCCAGACTTAATTCAGACTTATTCCAGACCTAACCCAGACCAATTCATCGCTGATAACGGGGTTTAGGTCTGGGTTAGATCTGAGTTAGGTCTGGGTTAGGTCTGGATTAGATCTGGATTAGATCTGGGTTAGGTCTGGATTAGATCTGGATTCGATCTGGGTTAGGTCTGGATTAGATCTGGATTAGATCTGGGTTAGGTCTGGATTAGATCTGGGTTATGTCTGGATTAGATCTGGGTTAGGTCTGGGTTAGGTCTGGGTTAGGTCTCATTTACACTGTTGTTGTATTTTGTAATTTCCAAGTGTATGATTTGGTTTGGACTCGAAAAAATGTCGAATGGGATTTGACGAACAATGCTTTTAAGTGTTTTATTTGACCTGTTAAAATAAGTGTTTTATTTACACTGTTGTTGTATTTTGTAATTTCCAAGTGTATGATATCTGTTTGGTTTGGACTTGACGAAGGTGCTCCTCACACTCGACATAGGAGTGCAAAGGGTTAAGATAATTTGGATTATTAACTAATCCAGACCTAACCCAGACCTAAACCAGACTTAACCCAGATCTAATTCAGATCTAATCCAGACCTAACCCAGAGCTAACTCAGATCTAATCCAGACCTAACCCAGAGCTAACTCAGATCTAATCCAGACCTAACCCAGACCTAACTCAGATCTAATCCAGACCTAACCCAGACCTAACCCAGATCTAGGGTCTGGGTTAGGTCTGGATTATGTCTCGGTTAGGTCTGGGTTAGGTCTGGGTTAGGTCTAGCTTAGGTCTAGCTTAGGTTTGGGTTAGGTCTGGGTTAGATCTGAATTAGATCTGGGTTAGGTCTGGGTTAGATCTGAATTAGATCTGGGTTAGGTCTGGATTAGATCTGAGTTAGATCTGGGTTAGGTCTGGGTTAGGTCTGGGTTAGGTCTGGGTTAGATCCTTTCAGAAAGAGAGGCGAAAAAGTTACGTCACCCTTGTGACGTTTTATAGCGACTGAATTACGGAGAAGAAAATATAAATCTCCAACATGTTCAACACTCACCATTAGTGCATGGTGAATGTCAACATTTACCGGTGTAAGTCAGAAATAAGGGTGTTTAGCAAATATTTCGGACATACACTAAGCGACTATGTGAATGTTGACATTCACCGGTGAAAGTCGACATTCTCCAGATTTCGGTGTTTCACTTTAACACGTATACAATATTAAATCAACAACGAAATATATCTTTATTTTTCTTCTTCTTTTTTTTCAAACTTCATCGACATATATTCGTGACACTTTTCCGATTAAAATGACACCAAATACGATATACAATTTAAATCCTATTTACTAACGCAATAAGCGATCAAAGGCATGCATCGAAACATAGGCGATGTTTACGAGGGCCTATACAGAATCAGTATTTCATTCTGCGACCTCTACCGAGAGAGGATACCGATTTCGTACAGGCTACCGTAAACATCGTCTGTGTTTCGCTGCAGCCGACCCGAAGCGAAAGAAACGATATCAAATTCGGCGATGCTCGAGCGCCTCAGTCCTTCTTTGTCATATGCTCGCTGTTCTTTTCTACACTCGCCGCCTCCAGCAGGCATCAACAAAATATCAAGAACCGTTTCTCGTCCACGGCGTTGAGCCCCGAAAGCGTCGCTTCTATAGAAAAAATATTGTACTTACGTATCGTTAAACATGCGTCGAGGACGAAAATTTCACTTAATATAGAAAAAAACGGTAGCGTTATACAGGGTGAGGCGTTTAAAACAGGCCAACTAAATAACTTGCCTACTTTTGCACGATGGGAAAAAAAATTTATTGACCAATCTTGCTTAGCTCCGTGGGAAGAATATTATGGTACACAAAAGACTTCCCTTAATGTCATATTTTTTTAAAATATCAGTTATCGAAATTTTTTAAAATTAGAACTGCATATTTTTATGATCGTGACGTAATTGACATCAACAAAAATATTACACCGATGAAGATATAGTATCATTTAAAAATAATATTGGTGAACTTAGAATCTCAAATAGTATGACCTTGATTAAAATTGTTTTTATTCTTCTAGATATTTACCCCTTCCAAACGAACATTTTAAGCAGAACTCCATATTTTTATCGTTTACTCCAAGACGAATATATCGATTGCTACGATTTGACCTTCAAATGACTTTAAATATAGGAAATGTAGATCATGTCACGTATCGTTAGATTCATCTTGACCTCCACTATAACATTACAGCGATAAAAATGTATAGTTTTGTTTAAAAAAACCTCGATAATCTTGATATCTCGAAAAATATCACCTCAATAAAATTTTTTTTGGTCATAATATTCGCATCTTATAACCAAATGAGATTGGTTGGACAAATTGTTTCGTACCATGAAAAGTACTAGGTTTAATCGCCACAACCTGTGTGATAGTCGAAAGAACACTTCAAACTGAAGATCTAAAAGTCTTCCAACTGTCTCTGGTGTCTGTTTTAAACGAAAGGGTGTGGTTATTAATGAATTCTCGTATCAGACACTCCCCAGTTTGCACCTAGATTCGATTTTCCAGCCATAGTAAGTACGTATTGATAATAGCAATTCCTACATTATCTCTACAAATACATGCTTCTAATTAATACAGACACGGAGGTTTTGCAATTTTATCACTTATTATGTAGAATTAATACTTTTATTATTTTACAATAATTATACCGGTAATAATAGAGTATAGACAATAGAAATAATTTATAAAAAAAAAAATACATATATATATATATCGGTGTAATTATTTTTTATAAAATTCATAAAATTATTCAAAATATTCATATTTTTCGTTGAACAATTGTGGTATAATAAAAAAACAGGTTTATATAGAATTTGATCACGGGGATCGGTTATTGTTATCTTTTTATTTTATTTACTAAGTAAATAAAATTTGTAATTTAAATAAATTTTCATTTAACGCATAAACTCTTATTTTAAAAAATATTTTTAATAGTAAAATTAACCAACTAAAAATAAATTCAAATAAATTTTTAGTCAATTTCTTATGTGTTATATAGAATTATGTTATCGTTTTTTTACATAAAGGAATAGTGAAATAAATTTGTTTTCGTGAACTCTATGTGTTAAGAACTTTAATTATAAAATGACTTTTTAACCGTGCGCATTGTTGCTGCGTACAATAACGTTTTTAATATGTTTACAGCAATTATAGACTCTTCTAAAGAACATTGTACTGTTCCGAGACAATTTCTGATAAAACTCGAACATTCAAAATTCTCGACTCGTTCGCCGAGTTAGAATTTTTCATTACAAAGAATATTTCTTGCTAGAAAATCAAAAAGTTTCCAGCAAAATTGATAAGATAAACGGGAGTTTCGTTTATCATTTATCGAAAAACGATATTAGGAATAGAACCTTCCTTTTTAGTCTTTCATTCCTTCCTGATGAATGTTCGACCCCTGAAAAATGGAAAAAAAATATTGAAACTACTAACTACGTTATTATTTCAGGATTTGTAGAATATTATTTTTGGAAAAAGACATACGTGATGGTTTTCTTTTCAGTATTTTTCGACTGAGATCTGGCCCGATTTATTACTTTTAGAAAGTCTGTAGTTTTGGTACGCATTCTTGAGTGAATATACACCTTACTGCATTTGATATGATAGTGCAGGTAATTTCTAAACATGTGAATTAGGTCGATCGTATTGTCGCGGGCTTCTCTATTTGTGTGACGTGGAAATAGAACTGTAAAAGACAATTCATTTATGAGTAAGGAACTTTGCAGGTGTTTGATGTTAAATATGATATTTTTTCGGCTTTACGGGTGCCCGACAATTTTAGAGATTCAATTATAACAGAATGTCGAATTTATGCGCTCCGATATGCTACACTCGGATATGCGAATTTAGAGATATACTGATACGCGAAATTTCGGGTAATATGTTTACCAAACGTAATATATCCAATACAGTCGCCAATGGCGGCCTCAGAGTCTTGCAATTCCAACGGTGGCTCGCGATGATTGAATAAAACCTGTGGAGCCGTGTGACTTGCTCGTCTGCCCTCCTTCAATTCTTGTAAAAATAATTTCCCGATCACCATATCATCCTCGTCTTTGAATATCGTACTAAACACCACCGTTACTCTGTCACTTTTCGCTTCTACATACCTAAACACAAGAATGGTATTAGAAAGCCTTTGATTTTTGACCGAGTATTAGATGACGTTTATTCAATAATCAAAACCTAATTTTTACTTTTATAAAACCCTTGAACTCCAAATGTAATAAATTATACACACTTTTCCATTATGGTTTGGAAAACTTGTCCAACTTACATGGTTTCTTCGTCCCTATATTGAATCACTGCCCGCTTTTGCAGCTGTGTCCCTGGTGAATCATAATACTCCTCTTGAAAATCGAAGTACTTTTCAAAAACACTGGCAAAACAATGTCTTTTTAAAAGCGCAATATTTTTAACCAATCCCTCCCAATCTTCTGGTAGATTTTCCAAATCCAACAATACTGAAACATTGAAACCTGAAAAGAATCATTGATTTGAACAAACACTGTAATTAAAATATATTTTCTACAAATAAAATGGGCGAAACCATTTACCATTCTCTGGTGCAATAAGATAAGATCCATATTTGCGTATAAGCAATTCGTCAGCTCCGTGTTCTTGCAATTGTTTGTAAAATTTTAGCAGAATGCTTATCTGGAAAGTGTCAAGCACCAAATACAGACTTCATTGTTGCCAAAAATTTAATTGTTCATAAGAAATACTATGCAATTTGTGAAATTCTTGTCATACTTACCCTGATTTTTGACTTATCACCACTCAGGTTCGAAATGTGAAACAGAACTCCATCAAAGTCAGCCACAACAACGTCTGTTGGTTCTGGTTTGTGCCTGAAGAAACAGAAAATATAGAAAATATGAAAAACATAACCTATCTTAAACTAAGATAATGCTAAAAAAACTTGATATTTATTGTAAATTGAACAATATTTGTATAAAGTAGATAATGTTTACATAAATTTAGTAACAATTTCTCGCAATATTATAAATAATACAGTTTAATTGCGGGAAAAGTGTTTAATATAAATGTTAATTAGTATAGTATTTTCATAATAATTAGTCAAAATTCTATATTATAAACAATACATTTTAACATTACAATTAGAATTAAATTAGATAGCATTATGATATTGACAACTAAATAAAAATATTGCAATTATAATATTACAATTAAAATTAATAATATGTTTTAAATTGCAAAAATTGTTTTATATTAAAATACTTTAATTTGGGAACGAATGTTGATATAAATGTTAATTTAAAAAACCGATTTATTGGAACTTTGTTGTATACAAATGCAAATTTTAATATTTCGAAGTGGACTCCGCCCTAAATAAATCTGATTCGTTTGTGATTCATTGAAAAACAGGTTTTTTTTTTAATGAAAATTACTTACCCCGACAAAGCATTTTTAACTTTGTTAGTTAAGGTTTCTTCAAGTATCCTGTTGTGTATCTCTAACAAAATCATTATTGCGTTTTATATTAATTAATTAAAATATTTTAAGATAGTAATTACTAACTATCTACCGAGGTTTTTCAACTGTATACACGATTCTGACTAATTTCTAATCTTTCCTTTTCGAAGTTAGAACTGACTTCAGTCCCAGTCAGTGTGGCCAGATTTGGCATAATTGAGTGCATTGAGGGCGACACTAGTAACGACGAATTTTCTATAGCACCTAGTGAAGTGACGGGGAAAACAGACACATTCTACTTCATGGGCTCTGCGTATGTGGATTCAGCACTTTGCACAACTTCGGGGAATCGAGAAAAAAGGCGAGTGTGAGCCTTTCCTTTTCGCTCTTGCAACAGTTAAAATCTAATCTTATGACAATCGGCATACGATTTCGAGTCTCGACCATCCGAGCATTTTTACTTTCCCACTTCTTGCAAGAAGAATCGATTCTTGAATCAATTCTAAATTGAAACGATTAGAATCGATGCAGCATGAAATCGAACTCTGCAGAATCGATCTATTGAAAATCGATTTATGAAATCGTTCAAGATACCACTTCAGTCAGTGTACTACCTATTACTATCGAAATATTAATGGGTTATCGTGACTTAAACTTCGAAATTGTTACATCAAATTTGCATATTTAAGATATGACAAATAAAACAATTAATAATTAACAAAGTGTGCATTTGCATTTTTACAAAAGTCGTTAGATAAAATAAAAAATATATTTTTTAAATAAATTCGAAACTAGCAAAATGATGACTTAAATTACCCCTAATGTCGTATGATCTACATCATGTTCAATTTGAAACAAAATTAAATGCGATCATTTAATTTTTGTAATCCGATAAATGAAACAGAATCTTTAACAATTAATATAAAAATGTCTAATTTAAGGAATAGTCCTCAAACTAAATGAATAGTCTGTAATACTTCTTTTAAAGTTAATAATAATTTTTCTTTTCTTACTTGTATCGTTTGAATGTTTTTAAAATGTAGATTTAAAATGTAATGTGATTTTACTTTCAGATAAGAAGATTGCATGTCAGTGTGTTACATACAAACATCTTTAATCCCACGACAAGCGCACCTTTTTTCGGATTCCGTACACGCGGCATTGATACTATAAAATTTTAACTTTTGGATCAAATAGGAAAATGAGGAATAGAAAAAGTTCCGAAGTCGATCCGATCACAAGAAAATAAGTTTTTGGCAAAACACTAAGTCGCGAAACTAAGTCGTATTGGTACTCTGTACATAAGTGCGCCTACCGGACGGTTAAACTTACTAGCAATGTGATTTTCATCCAATATTTCATAACAAAACCATAATTTGAAACTTCCATGCAGAATAGTTAATTGCAACCATTTCTAGACATTCTAATTTTGTTTTTTTTATTACTGAATTGGTGATTTACGAACTTTAACGTCAAGGGAGGAGAGAAACAACAAAATTTATTTCTTCAACCACGTGTCACGTGTTAATTTAACCTTCCTTTTCAAATGGCTTTTACCTAGTTTGAATCTTATTAAGCCCCCGGGCCCATAACCTGTTGAGGTTAACGAATAAAAGTAATAACCAGGAAGCTAAAAAGAAACAAACAAATATATTTAATAATTAAGTATAAAAAAAAGAAATAGTTTTATCGCTCACGTAACTTTACAGCCACCACAGTGCGACATAGTTTAATCAGAATGGTTTAAGCCGCAGAATGCGGTTGATCGGTTCTCGTAAAGTTAATATTGTCTGTAAAGTTATTTATTTATTTGAATTAATCATTCATAAAATGATTCAATTTGGAACAAATCGTGATTAATCGTTCGAAAATGTATAAACATTTCGTAAATTTAGTTACAATACGCATTTCCATACACGATATTCCCTTCATGCCAAAGCAAATAATTATGCAGAGTTCAATAAGGTTATGTTCGTTCTGTAACTTCTATCATAGAAAAGTTACAAAATGTAAGATTGCTAATATTATTATTACTTTAACTATTATTTAAAATTCTTTAATCATTCAGTAGTTATTACTTATTTAAAATTAAAATATTACTAGTGTTATTTCAATTATTATATATATTTCTATTATAGTGTTATTTTCTATAATTTTCATTTGACTTGTTATTTACGTGTTTTTTAATTTACAATAGATATGTTTAAATGTAATTAGTCGCATAATGAATTTTTACAGTCCTATAATATTGTACAATATTTTATCTTTCATACTATTTTATATTTTCCACTATTGATTACCTTGTTCCCATGATATTATTGTATTTAAATTCAACTAATTTCTTTTAAAAGTATCCCCAGTGATGTATTATCAAATTTGTAACAACACAATGACAACAAATGTCTTGAGTGAAATACCAGTAAAAAAGAAAGTAAAACAAAGAACGAAGAAATGTACAGAGTTAATACAAGGTACAGATTTCATTAATATTTTTAAAATTTTAATATTTTTTTCAATTTAAATTTCTATCATTTCAGTGTTGAATCAAAGAACAACCAATCGGAAGGCCACGGTGCAAAAGCTGGAGGCTTCAGACATAGCCATGCTTGTCAATCAACCAAATGTTGTAGATAAATCGCATAAATCTGAGAATACAAAAAGTTTTTGTAAAAATGACTTTGATCCAAGTGCAGTAAGTACTCAATAATTTTTCTATTTCTTATGAGTAGCAATTACAAAACTAGCAACATTACAAACATTTGTTGGAACCAATTTAGATTCAATAATGAATATACATTAATAATTATGGTTTTAATAATTGTTCTAGCTCCTTTTATGCAAGAAATAATTATTTAATTAGTATGAAAATTAAAATCTTTTTCTATAGCTCGATTTGACTTTGGTGGCTTTAATTTCTTTTGTTCTCTACTGTAAATTTGTTCTGTATCATTAACGAGAGTGTCTAATCTTGCGATACCTAGGTTAGAAACATGTTTTTTATTCAGAGCAATTACATTTCTGTGTTAGCTTTATAAAACCTTGGATAGAAAAGAGATTTATTTGAGATTTGGAAATGTAATTTTTGATTGAAGTATGATTGTGATTATATAAATACGTGTACAATTACAGGTAAACGAAACAGGAACATTGACAAACACAAACAGAAAACTGAAAAAATTTAATAAGGAGAAGAATACTGGTGATGGGAAAAAAGTAGCACAGACGGTAGTAGATGAAAATATGGTTAAATTGAAAACGTAAGTACGATAAGAATATGGTGGTTTTTAAATACAAAAAGTGTTAATGCAAAGCATTAGAAAGTTAAAAAGAGTTGGGGGAAATACTATGTTCATCAAATCTCTGTCAATATTATTAACTATTTATTAATTAATTATAGACTAATTTTGCAATTGCTACGAATAGTTTGAAATTTCTATGGATTGATAACCTTTACACAACTGAATTATTGCACAGGAACAAAGCATCAGATAAAAAGAAGAAATCGGACCAAACTGTCAATAAGTATATGACAGAACAGTATATCCAGACCCTATTAGTGTACATGCAGGTGTATTTGAGCTGTGGACTGTTGAAGAGAACAAACAAGACGTTGATGCTATACAGAAAACACATGCAAGGCAGATTACAACATTGTGACAAATGTATCGAGCTTTATAACGTCGTTTTGGAAGCTTACGCCTCCAAAGGGAACTTCGTTAAAGTAATGGAGCTCTACAAAGTGATAAAGATGGATTCTGTCAAGCCAACGCCACAAACTTACGTTTTTATATTGGATACATTGGGAAAAATAAAAATGGGGGAAAAACAAATAGGTAATTCTCATTGTTGAAAATAATATTATGTTTAAAAATGAAAATAAACAAGTTCATTTTTTCTTTTACACAGCTCTGTTGAATCAATTGAGACGAGAAATGTTTATTAATAATATATCATTTAATCAGATATTTAATAATTCGTATTTCAAGCACGGTCAAAGAAAGACGATTTTGGAATTAATTAGACAAATTTTGCCAAACTTTAAACTACCTGATGTAAAATTGAATGTGGAATATACGCATAATGTTTTGAATAAAACTATTATGCAGAATAATTATCAAAGTCCAGCGGTGGGGATCATTACGATGGAGGAGTTGAAAGATTGTTTGAAAGCGCAAATGCAAAATGAAGCGGAAACTGAAGTGCAAGTTGAAAGCATCGTCAAACATTGTGAAAACCCTTCTGTTAATAGATATGTACGGTACCGCTAAATTCTTTCAAACGTTTATAGAATAAGTAGCGATTCTTCGTATTTGTAATTTCTAAAGTCTTCTTTTCGATTGAGATAATAATTTGAATTTGTTCAAACATATATAGAATAAGTAAAACTTTTCTTTTTAGTTAATATTTGCAAGTTCGATTGGATAATTGGTGTTTATTTAAACATGTATCAAATTAATTAATTTGTATTGTAGTTTTTAAAGATATTCTTTTTAGTTAAAATTCACGAGTTGGATTGACTAATTGGAGTTTGTGTTCTAAATTAGAGGCAGAAAGTGATCGGAATGGAAAATTATTGGAAAGAGACAGCATTGACTGTTTTTGAAAGGAATTTGAAGTGTTTGAAAGAAAAAGAATGCCAATCCCATAATACTTTGATGGTTTTGCATCCATTTTTGGAAGTTTTGGATACTAAACACTATATACATGCTATCATGAGAGAAATTAGGCATATTGCACAGGGTTCTGAGAATTATAGCACGCCTCTAAAGTTATTGTACATCAATTTGGGAAACCATATTCATAAGAAGTACGAGGTATGTATTTTTATATTTTTTTTTTTTAGAATTTTCTATGTAAAAGTAATCATTTGCTTCAAAATATTCAATTTCAAAAATATTTTTTAATAAATTTAAGGAATATTATATGTATAGAAAACCGATGTGTAAAATTTCACTCTTATTCAATTTACAATTGTACATCAAATATTGTAAATATAAAAAAAATTTGGAAGCCAAAAGTTTGAATTGGATTTCGCAATTGTTTCACATTTATACATATGTTTGGAAACTGTTCTATTTGAAATTAATTTACGAAAAACAATTCTTCATCTATAATTTGTACGTATTGTTTAATTACTATTTTTCACGATGATAACTTCTAGATGCAAGTAAAAGAACAGACTGGAGTACTGGACAAAATAGTAAGTGTCTACCAAAAGTACCTAGAATGGTATTTACATCCGGAATGCTTTCCAAAATTAAAAAATCTCAACAATCGTACCGTGTGGAAGTACTTGGAACTTGAGGAAGAGAAACACGGAACATCTATAAACACCGTCAGTATAAATTGGCCATTAGAGGTGGTAACGGATGTTGGAAAATTTTTGTACAATATTATTTTGAACGATATAATACTTAAACCCGATATGTTGAAAGGCCAAGACGTTAAAGGATCGATTCCTGCTTTTTACACGCTATTCAGAAATAAAGGAAACTATTTAATGGAACAGGTTTGTAAATTAAGAAATGTTATTTTAAAATTATTCTTTTGGATCGACTAATGGTACGTGAGACATGTTTTTTATAATTTAGAACATTAATTACAGATTAAACCCCATCCTTTTGTGTCGAAATTGTACAAAGAGGCGCAAATTGAAATCCTGACGTTCAATTCAATTTTTCTGCCTTCTCGTTGCCCATCGCGCCCTTGGACTTCGATTGACTGCGGAGGTTTTCTTTTGACAAGAACGGATTTTGTACGAATTACAGACCAAACAGTGAGCTTGTATTTTTAATTAAGCTAGGTTCGAAGAAAACGGTACAGTTTGGAAAATTTTTTAATAATAGTTTGGGTAGTATTAGTAGTATTAATAGTTTAGATGGTGGATTTTATAGAGGAAAATAATTTTTATGGTAGATTTTGAAAGGTAGAACAATTTATATGAAGCCAAATAACACTTAAGATTGTAATATTAGGTGAGAAAAATGTTTTAACCATACAAATGTTTAATTTCCAGAATGTTTCTTGGAACAATCTTCAAAAGACACCATTGAAACAGTTATATCCAATATTCGACTCGTTAAATCAGCTCAGTTCAATTCCTTGGGTTATTAACTCCGCTATACTTGACATAGTCATAAAAGTAATAATCATTTATTTTTCGATTATTAATAATACATTGAAAAAATTATATAGTAAACGATGTATTTTTTTTATCGTTTAGGTATTCCAGGATGGTGGCTCTGTGGGATTATGTATTCCACAATCAACTTCTAAGTTAAGTCCTCCACCAACTATTAACAAGGATGCAACTCCCGATGAGAAACGAAGCACAGCGATAGCAATGGCCAAATATAAGCAAAAGAGGTATGAAATGTATTCGCTGTGGTGTGATTCGCTCTACAGGCTTTCGTTAGCCAATTATGTGAGTTTCTAATTTATTTATATAGAAATTACTAAATTGGGATGTTTTCAAATTTAATTCTGGGTCATTGTGAAACCATAAAAGTTTATTTGAATCGCAATTTTCTATATTTATTGTTTTTTTGTTGTTGTTTTAAGTTGAGAGACAAGGTATTCTGGCTCCCGCACAATTTGGACTTCAGAGGACGAGTTTATCCAGTTCCTCCACATTTGAATCATTTGACCGCCGATTTAGGTCGTTCTTTACTCCTATTTGGGAAACCGAAACCATTAGGTAGGAATGGATTGGATTGGTTGAAATTGCATGCAATTAACTTGACGAATATGAAAAAGGGATCCTCTATGGAGGAAAGATTGAAGTTTGCGGATGAAAATATAGAAAATATTCTGGACAGTGCTGAAAAACCTCTGACGGTGAGTTTATGGTCTCTGTGGAGAGGAAAGCAAGTTATACTAGAAGTTAAAATTATTTTTCTAGGAATAGTGTTTCTTTTCTCCCATTTTATACAACCTTTTTAAGTTGTAATTAGGAAATTTCTAAAGTCGAGAAAATTGTCTGGTTGGTGATATTATAAGTATGATATTATTAAAATATTGAAATTGAAATATCTTCGAAACCGTTGACGGTGTTAAAAAGTGTTTCGGTTAAAAATTGAATGGTTTCAGGCAATACATAACTAGATGCGAGTAACTTTTTTCTAAATAGACGTGTAGAGTACATACAAAAGTCAACTTTGTTTTCCTAAACGGAATTATATATTTTTTAATACATCATTAGGTGCAATTCTGAACCATTTATGGCAAAAAATCATGTTACAAATTGTATAAGTTTTCAAGTTACAAACGTTCCAGTTCTCTACTTAATCCGTTTCTTTATTAAACCCTATTCAAACCCAATTTAAGTTCTACCTAATCCTCAAACTTTTCTGGTCAATACTAATCCAATACTTCTCTTTCTCTAACCATAATCATCCAAAATAAAAATTTCACCTAAAATTCTAACCACTTACAATTCTACCAGGGTAAAATGTGGTGGACCCAATCAGAAGAGCCCTGGCAAACCTTGGCAACATGCATGGAGATATCAAATGCCCTAAAATCACCAAACATCGAGGAATACCAAAGCAAATTCCCAGTGCATCAAGATGGAAGTTGTAACGGTTTGCAACACTATGCAGCTTTGGGTAGAGACAAAATAGGTGCAGAAAGCGTTAATCTGTATCCATTCAAGGCTCCAAACGACGTTTACTCAGCAGTGGCTGCAATAGTAAGCTACAAACAAACTCAAAATCAAACAAAAACAAATTCTTCTCAAACAAAGCTCTTAAACCGATATTTAGGTTGAGAAAGAACGAGTGAAGGATGCTGAAAACGGAATTAAAATTGCTAAAGTTTTAGAAAAATTTGTTAAAAGAAAGGTAATTAAACAAACCGTGATGACATCGGTTTATGGAGTAACAAAATATGGCGCTAAATATCAAATTGCTAAACAGTTGAAAGGTAAACGTTTAATTTTCCAATTTTGTAAATGTGTATTATATTGAAAATTTAAAACTTTCCATTTGTATAACTTAATTGTTTTCAACGATAAAAAAGAAGATGAAATTGTCGAGAAGGTGCACCCTTATCGATTTTTATGAAATTAAAATACGCCTGTCGCTCAATTTACGCGAGGTATCCGTTCCACGTGGATTTGTTTTACGTGAATGAAAATTGCTTAACTAGAGTCTCTAAATACAATAGAAAAAATATTGAAAATAAAAGCTAGTATAAGTGTTGGGAATACATATTCATTTACATATTAGAACCGAAAATAAGACGAAAATCAAGAATACCAATTAGTTGATGGAGGCTTCATTACAAAGTTATTAACGTTTCCAATACACAATGTTGTGAACAAAAATCACCCACACGCGATTATACACGCCCCACGATTGTCCACAAATAATCCTTTCAGGCACTAACCACTATGCAATTAAATAAACACGCACCGCGATTATGTTATTCGTGAATGTCTATGTGTACGTGCATCACGGTTCTCCCAAGTTACTTACGAATAGAACTGTTATTAATTATTCAAATACATTTATATGTATTTTCCTTTTCATTGTATAATATAGGGCGATCGATTTTACGTTTGGACTTATACACAAAAATAGTTTGGACGGTATTCAAAACTTGAATGAAGTGTAAACAGCCAAACAAGTTATAAAAATTTTTTTAAACTACAATATCAACGTGCCTGGTTTCCTACTATATTGTCACTATATTTAGTTAAATGTACTTGAAATTCAGCAATATTGCCATAAAATGATTTTGTTATAAGTAGCGACATAGAGGTCATGAGAAATGAGGTCGACGTTTTTAAATGAAAGAAAATAGTCTTTTGTTTATATTCTGATAGGGCGTTTCGAGTCGAATACAAATTCAGTAATTTAGATGAATTCTAACTTTCATTTGTTGCACAAGTTATTCTTTAATTGTTTATGGGTTTGTTTAGATATTGAAAACTTTCCTGAAGAATATGTGTGGGCTGGAAGTATCTATATGTATTTAACGGAGAAAACATTTTATACTCTTAGAACTATGTTCACAAGTGCCAGAGAAATTCAAGATTGGTTTACGAAATGTGCAAGAATTATTTCCATCGTTTGTTGTGAAAATGTAGATGGATCGAATGGATTACTCCGTTGGGATTCCCTGTGGCACAACCTTACAGTAAATACCAGATATTCAGGAAGAAATACATATAATGAAACTAAACCGTTAGTATGTTTTTATTAATCTGTAGAATTAATTGCAAAAAATGTTGGAAATTGTTTTTTGAATTATTAAAATAAATTAAAGACTTGGTTTTGTATTTTAGAGATGAAATTGTAATTTAGAAGAAGAATTTGGTTAGAAAATCATTTTGTTAAATATTTTAAATGCATTTAAGCTTATTTAAGCGAATTTTTAATGTTTAATGGACTTAAACATGTTGTTTCTTTGTTTTAGAACAGAAATTCTACTTCAGAAAAAGCATCTGAGTAGAAAATTATCTTATAGAGTATTTAGAACGGTCGTAGGCTTATTTAAAAACGTAATTTGATATTTTATGGACCTAAAAATGTTGTTTTTGTATTTCAGAAAATGAATTCTACTTTGGAAAAAGATATGCCATTAAATCTAAGTAGAAAATTGTTTTGTTTAACATTTTGAAATGCTTATAAACTTGTTTACAAACATTCTTTTAATATTTTATTAATCTGAATAAAATTTAAGAGTTTTTCAATTATTTATATATTTTCTTCAAAAACTATGACAGGATAAAGGTCTTTAAAGTATAAAAATAAAATTTATTCATAGTGAAATTTTAAATTATTCTATAAAATTGACAACACTTTGTGAATCTTTCTTTAGAAATTTATTTTTCCAAAATTGCAATTTTGAGAAAATGTTATATTATAATTTGAGATGGTCTATATTTTCGTGGCACGGCGGATTTAGAAGGGATTCCCTTCCTCCTACTCACGGAAGAAGAGGGAAGAAGTATTATTATTATTATGATTTATGATTTCAGTAAACCGGATGCTGTGAAACAGAGGAACGCATTTGCACCTAATTTCATACATTCTCTTGATTCTACACACATGATGCTCACTAGTTTATATTGCGACAGAGCTGATGTCACTTTCGTTTCTGTACACGATTGTTTTTGGACTCATGCTTGCACCGTGGACCATGGCCCGTGGGGACCGTGGACAGTATGAATAAAGTTAGTAGAATTCGAAGTAACCAAATTCGAGTTTTTCAATTATTTTTATTATTATATTTAATAAACGAGTTAAATCGTCTCGAAACATAAGTGCATACTTGTTTTATAATTTCAATTGACACAAATTAATACAAACTTAAATTTATTTTTAATTTATGAAATTGAGATTTTAAAAAATAGGTATGACGATTTTCCGAAGATTTTCCAATTCAAAACTACTGATGTTTTCTATTTTGGGAATATCCTGTGGACATTCAGTGGAATATATTATGATTAAGCATTTCTAATGTTAAGTGACCGTTGTTAAAGAAATTGTAAATATTAAGATTCATTTATTTTAAGTGTTTTACAGATTAGGAATACTGTAAAATGGCAAATACTCCTCCGAATATCGAATATCGAATATATCTATTAATCATGTTGTACTTTGAAAAAGTATAAAGAATATCCCTAAAACAGAAATAACTAGTCAACTTGGGTTGAAAAATCTTCGGAAAAGTGTCGTAATTATGTTGTGATCTTGAAATTTTTGATTTGAAAAATAGATTTGTGTCCTTGTTTCTAATAAAAAAAATTTGAAATTTTTCAGAACACTAATCTAATTTTGATAAAATTGAGTTTGTAATTTTTATAGATTTGCAGAGAACAATTTGTTGCTCTCCATACTGAACCGATCCTCGAGGATTTGGCAAAGTTTTTCGTTAAACATTACAGACCAATTTACACGTAAGCAATATTTACGGAATTATTTAAATTGTTTTAATTGGTTTTATAAAAGATTAATATTTTTTAATTTTTATTTCAGTTTTACAATGCTAATATCGTATTCTATGTTATATGTATAATATAATTTAGAATCCTCGAATCTTTTATTAAAAATGTTATTTCTAAATATTTAAATAAAATTGGCACAGTAAAAATATTAATCTAAAGTTAATTGTTTCAGGAATCTGAAGATGGAAGAAGAAGCCATAATTAAACTAGAAAATAATTTAACAAATATACCTAAACAGGGTTCTTTTGATATAAACAATGTCTTACGGTCTATTTACTTCTTCAGTTAATAACATTTTACAATGGTTTTATGTATTTTAACAACAAAAATAATTCAAATTCTAGAACCTCAGTTTTCTATATTTTTGTACTTCTTCGTTTATTATTTTATGTTAACTAGGATTATGCTAACATAAGGATAAAACAGTTTTAATACCTGAACAGAAATTACTAATATTTCTGTTTTCGAATCTAAAAAAGAGTTAATACAAGGTACAGATTTCATTAATATTTTTAAAATTTTAATATTTTTTCAATTCAAATTGCTATCATTTCAGTGTTGAATCAAAGAATAGCCAATCGGAAGGCCACAATGGGTCTCGAAACCCCATTACCATTTTCGTGTCATTCGCAACGTTACCAATAGATTCAAAAATAGTCAACTCACATGTACTTACGCATACACTACAGCACAGACGAGATATATGAATAGACCTTTCACCTTATGGACTTTCGCGGCCGAATCTGACTGCCATACCGACCTGAAAATTCGGAGGTGATTTTAGCGGCCTCTTCTCATGGATGACGGTCAGTTGAAAAACTAGGCACTGAATTAGTATTGATGGGCAGCCAGCTGCAGTGTGTGCGTAAATACATGTGAGTTGACTATGGAGGGGAATTGAAAAAGCAGTGCAGTATTATCAGATGGCAGACCCGTGCCCAAAGGGAGCTGCCCCACCACTTACACACACTAATGCCAACCTCCTTGTATATGAGTTCTGGCATTTCGTATCTCTTTGAGGATTCGAGAAAGGCGGCGAATGTCAGTCTATCCTTCTTGCTCTTAACACAGCCGAAATTCGATCTATGTAGGCGTATACAATGTATAAGCAAAATACCATAATGAAACAAAAATTTCAAAAATTTTTTTTACGGAAATACACGTTTTAGGACCCCTTGATCATATTTTAACTATTAAAAAAAAGACATTTTTTTGCTATGCTTATGGACGTGCGTTCATATATTTATACTATTAATACTATTGGGTCTAAACAACCGAATAAATTTCACTGTAATTTTAAATTTTTAAATCTGAAAATATTTGAGAATACTGTCCTATTTGTCCTCTTTGTTTAGCAATTTAAAAAAAACGCTGACTCATTAAAATCAATCATATGAAAATGAATGGAAGTTGACACCGCCCCTACTGAAAATAAAGGACTGGAAAATTTTTGTTCTTTCAATGAAGAAAACTCTTTTACTTAATCTTTTTCGAAGGCGAAGGCAAAAAAGTCGATTTCGCCACGGCAACAATGGTTGGACGCGACGCGTGGACATTCCCCCGAAATAGGGGATCGGCTTTTGTTTTCCAGAAACGCTAGCGACAATGTATTTTCCAAGAGAGTCGAATGTAAGGACCACTGAAGGACGCTCAGTCTACGATACATTTATGACAGAGTTTTGGGGTGCATGTGGCCTAAAGAGCGAATGAGACTAAACAGGCCTGGCAACGGATGACGCGATAGCGGACGACCGCGTTGGGTCTCCAGGTAGCGCGTGTCGAGGCATTGATTGTTTATGAATAGAGAGAGAGTAGTTAAAAGAGGCAGACGACCTGACGTCGTACTGCTAGAAAAAATGAAGACTTTGTCCTGAAGGATCTGGCCACGGAGTAGGGAAGGCGTGGGACCTTCCGGTAAGAGCACTGTGAGAAGAGCACAGGACTTACCCCAGAACCGTCAAAGGCAAAATTTCTAACATACAGGCATGTCTCTATAAATTTCAAATCCATTAATCAATATGAATTTGTGATATCATGTCAGCCAATTTCGAAAATATGGTTTCGAGAAAAACTCATTTAAATTTCTGGTATGATTATTAACCGTTGGGTACTCTTCCCTCTAAATGGCTATAACTTTGTTATTTTTACGAATTTTAACGAGTCTACGTTTATTATAATTGCTAAATGAAGAGGACGAGTTCCGAGTCAAAGATCAGTTGCGGGGTTTTAAGAAAGGACAGATTTGCAGTTTTGTTCTCATTAATGTTTGCAGCGTGTTTGCGAGGGATGTGTCCGATATATACATATGTATATAATCAATTCATTTTCCTTCAATAATTCTCCATTGCAAAAATTCTACAGTATGCTTACATTTTTTTATATTTTAAAATTTTCCCATGTTATTAGAAAGTAGATATACGACGAAAGTTATACAACTTATAGTTACTAGCATGTATAACATGTATATGTATATAACGCATGGTCGCTTCGTATGGAAAGTCAATGAATCTTCAAAAAGCGCCCAGGTCCGATTTCGAGAAATGTAAGGTCTATCAGTCACGATGGCTTTTGTCGTTTACTGACGATTCGAACGGGTGGCGATGCCAGCAGGCTTGCTTTCGAGAAATGTAAGCGACGTCAGCGACGCAAGAGCGAGAAGGAAAGCGAGTATCAGCCTGTTCTTCTCGGCTCTTCCGAAACTCAACGAGCTCACGTACACGCAATTGGGCATAGTGTGCGAAAGTGAGGAATGAGAAGTTTCCGGGGCCCCGATGCACAGTCTGATTAAACTGATTTCGAGTCGCAAATACGTTTCTGCCGAGTTATTTTTTTAATAAATGATGTATTACAATTTAAAATAAAAAATAGAGAATTTGCGGTGTACGTATCAATGAAAAACATCCTTAGGAATTTTAATAACCTTGAAATTTTTAAATACTCTTAATCGATTGATTTCTCCAATGAAATTAATCGATTAATGTCCAATGATAGACCCTACAGCTTTAATTCCGTTAAAAAATAATAAAATTTATGTAATTTTATTTTCTGTCTCACTTCCTCTTGTGTTAATTTCTGAATCTGTTGATAACGTTGCGAGTGACACGAAAATGGTAATGGGGTCCCGGGACCCCAGAAACTCCGGCCGAAAAATTACATTACGTGAAACGTCTATTCATATATCTCGTCTGTGATCTTGCTTCCAAAATTTGTTACCGCACCAGGAGTACTCTGTACCAATATCAGAGGTTCCAATTGCTTCATATATTCTGCCACCGCGCAAACACTTGTCACACAAAACACATGGGATACAATTTACGTGCAACAGTGAATTTGTCTAGAGTTGGCATTAACAAAGATTTAAATAATATGCTGCCAAAAATATTTGATTTTACAGAAACCGTTTGCAATGGAATTTGTCACTTCTTAACCATTTCTTTTTTGTGAATCCAAACCGAGAATAAAAGGACATACGTTCAACCATTTTGCGCCAATACATTATTACTATTATTAATATTCTAAAACCGTTGCAAGTTGTTTCAGTTGTTTCCACTATAATGAAAGAAGTGATGGAAAACCATTTTAATTTAAGCTACGATGATAACACAGTTTTTGTATGCATTTCAAAAAGCTTTGATTTCGAAAATTAAATATGTCAAACGATTTAAACTTGAATAAAACGAAGATGACACTGTGCGTTTGCGTGTACCATTGATTATAAACAATGTAAAAATTACTAATAATAATGTAAATATTGAATTGGAAAAGCATACGATCGAACCACAACTACGACTTACAATTAGATTCATACCGTACGAACATACGCACGGTGAAAGGCTAGAACAAAGAAATTCGAAATCTGGCGACAACAAAAAGGAATCGTTTACTCCTAGAAAATGTTAATATTCCAGTTCACAGATAACAAATAACGTAATTAGTTATTTTTATCTACAATCTGTCAAATCATGTCTGTATCAACAAATTACTTGCGCAATACCTAAACATTCAGGCATTTACTTATACGTTAGTCATGAATAATAACATGTAACAAAATATGGATATAATAATTCACGTGGAAACGTATTTCTATACATGAGAATCAGTACGCAGATTAAAATACAGATATATTAACTATACCAGTACCACTGCTTGAAATTCCATGTCGATTGTTGCGAGTCGGATTTCAGTTGTTGTAAGAGCGAGAAGGAAAGGATCACACTCGCTTTCTCGATTACCTGAAATTGCGCGAACCACCACTCGCGTTAGGCGCTAAAGGAAGTTCGTCATTACTAGATGATTGATGCACTCAATTATGTCAAATCTGGCTACGCTGGTAGCAGTTCAAACGCCAACGGCGATGGCAGCGAACGATGGGCTACTTTGTATGTCTCGAGTTTTAAACAAAATCAATTAATAGTCGTATTGCTAGATTGGTATTACAACTGAATGTGTCGGATTCAGAGAAAACAGGAATAATCGTGAATGTTTCGGATTCTGTAAAATAACGCATTGACAACATGGAGGTGCTGGATCCTAGTGTCTCGAGAGATGACCAACCTCTGTGCATCAACGATCACCTGGAAAAAGGTTTCTCACTAATGTTCTATCACTCTGTTCGTTTCAGGATATTATTTCTTTCATGCGTGAGAAACGGTTGTTTTTTTTCAATCGCGTTTATCGCCTTCGTTCACTTGAATTGTTGGAGGCATTGTTTGGAAACAAAAGACTGATTAGACGACGCATTAGTTCTTCGCGGCACTGTCACCTGTCACCTGTCAAACTCCGTGCGCTTTATTTTTGACGGTTATTTTTCGAAAATATACATACGTTCCCTTTACATTTCAAAATTATTAACCGATTGTAATAATTGGCGCGCGAAGAATTCGCGATAAACAATAAACGGAACATATAAATAGAATAAAAACAAATTATAATGATAGATGTTGAAAATGAGAAAGAACCAGAGATTATACAATGTATTATCAGAAGATGTGCCAGGTTAACGCAAAACGACTTCGCACATTGTTGGGAGCTGAGGAGTTGGCATGTTTCATTTGCAATAAGGCAACAAAGAGTATAATTAATATTTATAGATAAGGTATTAGAAATAGCAACTTTAAATACTTATAAAATATAATTAAATAGCAACCAGGTTTATCATTTATCGTAACTCCTTAGCTTCAAACATTATTATGCATTATACATGCAATAATGTCTTGGATATTGGTTGACATTCAGAACCAAAACTGATCAAAGTTAAGTGAGAAAAAAATGCATAACATAACATATCAATATATCGCAAGCTTAGAAACGTAAACATATTTAGCAAGAGACGAGCCTGAACCAGTTCTGAGAAGTGATAGGGACAGCAACCAGCCAATTTCCAAGACAATACTGTATAATGAGCAGTAATAGTAAACTATAAATATATGAAACAAAAATATATACTCTAGCATAACCATATGTAAACGGTAACTTTGGAAAGTTAACTTGTTAAACTAGATCATAATTAATTGATAATAACAGATGAAGTCATATATGTACAGTAATAGATTTAACATTATAAAAAATGCAAACGTTAGATTAATTTATTGCGTAAGCAATGCAAAACCCATTATGTTCTTAAAATAATTGTATTAATTGATTCAATTTCAAAATAATAAAATACAATAGAGTTTTGATGTATATCAATTGCATTAATTAGTATTGTCATACAAAAAGCAGCATATTTATGTGTAATAATGTAATTCTCTTTTCAGTTACCGTGCCAGATAAACCATCAGATACAAAGTCATGCCTAAAAGCAAGGTATACATTAGGTTTTTTAGGATTTCTAGGTTTCGCTCTTGTCTATGCTATGAGAGTAAATTTATCCGTGGCTATTATTTCAATGGTTAATCAAACAGCAGAGATACATCATGATGATGACACTACCGATGTTTGTAATAATACAAAATCTAGTAATGGAATATTTATACCAGTAGGTGCTTTGATATTTTTTTAATATTTACCATCTATATTAATTGTTATATTACAATTACTATTTTATATTATTTTTAATGTTAATTTCTTTAATTTTCATTGATATTCAATTAAATTATTTATTAATATTTTATATTCATTACACGTATTAAGTCACATAACATTATATATAATACACAATTAAATAATTATTTAATATACATATAATATGTTGCTTTTATTACATTAAATATAGAATTAAAGTTTATATACATGGTATAGCATATTGTACGTGTATAGTATTGACACAGATCAAATGCCTGTATTACTCAGATATTTATTATCATATGTATTATTCATGCAGATTTATCACTTTTGATATGTCCTTGTACGCGGCCGGAACGTATATTGCACACCCACATTCTTTGTCTTTATCTGGTTAGTTAAATTTTAATTTTTAGAAAGCTGGAAAATTCGATTGGGATGAAAAGACACAAGGTCTTATATTGGGTGCCTTTTTCCTTGGCTATGTGGTTACAAATGTCCCAGGTGGTAGAATGGCAGAAAAATTTGGTGGAAAGCTAATATATGGATTAGGGGTGTTTTTTACTGCTGTACTAACTGTAATTAGCCCTTTTGCCGCGTATGCAGGATTAGTACCGTTTTTAATTGTGCGAGTAGCAGAAGGAGTAACTGAGGTAAATGTTCCTTGTAAAGGAGAAAAAATAATTACATCTGAAATGCAATTAATTAACTTTCTAGGGTGTTACATTCCCTGCAATGCATAGTATGCTAGCACACTGGATACCTCCTTTGGAGAGAAATAAATTCGCTGCTGTAGTGTATGCAGGTAATTACTTTTTCATTCACAATATACAATATACAATACATTTAATTTATCATATTTACTTTTACGTAGGCATAAATTTTGGAACTGTTATATCCTTACCAGTAAGCGGGTGGTTATGTTCATTTGAACTTTGGGATGGATGGCCTCTTGCATTTTATTTATTTGGAAGCCTTGGCATAGTATGGTATGCATTTTGGTTAATTTTTGTATTCGATACGCCTGCGCAACATCCAAAAATTGACCCTCTTGAAAGAGCATATATCGAAGCTACTGTGGAAAAGAAAGATGAGGTTCATTTTATTTTTGCTACATTAGTAGGATACAGATTGTTTTATTAATTAAAATTTACTTTGCTTATGTCTGAAACAGGACTACGATTTAGATGTTCCTTGGTTATCAGTATTTACATCCTTACCCATGTGGGCTATAACAATAACGCAATGTGGACAGTCATGGGCATTTTATACTCTTTTGACAGAATTGCCAACGTATATGGAAAAAATCTTGCATTTCAATATGCAACAGTATGCATTTCTTTCAGCATTGCCTTATTTAACTTCTTGGTTAGTCGGACTCGGTATATCAAGCTTCGCAGATGCCCTCCTTGTCCGTCAGTTACTATCTCCTTTGGCATCATTTAAGTTATGGAATACAGTGGGTTCATTAGGACCCAGTCTCAGTTTTCTTGGTGCTATATGGGCTGGATGCGATTCTACAGCTGTAATGATAATGCTTGCTGGCTTAGGGTCTCTGCAGGGCGCAGTTTACGCCGGGAACCAAATGAATCATATTGCTTTAGCACCGCGTTATGCAGGAACACTTTATGGCCTTTCGAATACAGCAGCAAATACTTGCGGATTTTTAGCACCGTATATAATTGGAAAATTAGTTCAGGGACATGTAAGTATAATGAAATTTGCAATGATTCTTATTATTTAGGCGAAAGTTATTGTGAGTAAATTGTTACAGGAAACGTTAGCACGTTGGCATACAGTCTTTTGGTTGGCAGCAGGAATAAACATGACGACCAATTGCTTTTACTTGATCTTCGCATCTGCTACAGAACAACCATGGAGTAAAGGTAGTTGATGACAAAGCTTTATTGGACACGAAACATTTAATATAGAAAACAATTTATCGTTAGACCGCATTGCGGTTAGTTCATTTTAGTTACTAATTATTATGTAATAATTTCTGTCAGCTAGGCACAAATTTTTTCTTTCAATTCCAAGTTTATTACAATATTAATTTTACGTAAATGAACAAGCTACACCTTGGTACAATTTATTATATTGATTTGCTAAAATAACACCAAATTAGGAATTAAATGACAAATTTTCATACGCGAGTATTTGTTATAATATTAGCTAAATATTAAATGTACTTTGTATATGACATTCCAATGAAACCATTCACATGACAATATAACTTTTGATAATGATGTTTGATTTTTGGTATTTAAATTAATTTTTTAATAATTAGTTCGAAAGAAAATTAATGTTATATTAAACCTAGAAATAATTTAATTTATTTTAATATCATGACATATATATATATATATATATAGAAGGTGTAAATTATTGCAAATATTTTTTATATTTATGTGCAAAAAGCACAGAAAATCTATATTCTTGTTTACATGTAAGCGTTTCATATGTAATATGAATGTAACATACAATATAAAACGAAGAAATATGATTTCTAAACAAAAATTTTATATTTTCATTTTATAACAACAAAGAGTGATAAATTTTTTCTTTACACTTTTCGTGGTGATAATCAATAATAATATCATACATAAATTTAAAATAAAAATAGAATGATACAAATTTCTTCATAGAAAATACAAAGATATCAAGAAAATTAACATACAAAATATCTTAATAAAGATTACTATATTAATGCACTGCAAACTTTTATAAAACTAATTCTTACGTAGGAATAAAATTGTTGCCTTTCATGTAGAATAACGATTTAATAATCTATACAAAGTCGTTATTTTGTTTAAAAAATAAATATAAATATAATATACGAATACGGTAATAAAATATAATTTACAGCACTTTGTTCGTGTACAATGTTGATTAAAAATTGTGATTATTGCATATAAATTTGTACGATGAGTTATATTTTAAAACAGGAAAATTTGTTACTTTTTGTTGTTTTTTTTTTTGTACTTAAGCTACAAACACTTTTACTTACATGTAACTGTAATATTTCCTCCTCTTCTTCTTCTTCTGTCTTTTTCAGTATTCAGTAATTGTTTTCGAGTAGTCAGTTCACTAAGAATAATAATAATATATAGTTCTATTTATATAAAGTTAACCAATTGTATTATTATTATAAGTCGAACAATTTTACTTTAATTGTCAATTAACTAGGGAAGCAATTTAATGTAGGTGATTGTACAAATATAGAAGAAAAAGAAGAATAGCTATAACTATTATCACTTTTTTGTATTAAAATATGAAAGCTCTGTGTGAAAATAAATCGTGTATGTCAAACTAAAAATACTTTATACTTCGTAAGTTATTCATAGAAATATAAAATTGATAACGTATTTAAATAATATACGAAAGTAAAAACACCGAACTGATATTTATTGATTGTGCTTCCCTTATGTTACAATTGCACAATAAACTTGAATATATAATAATAATAGGAGCATTCTCATCAATAATTTCTCGGCATTCGCTGAATTAATTTCATTAATGTTACTATCAATATTTCGTCCCAGGCTTTCTGTAACTTCTACAACATATGTCTTCCTTGCTCTTGGGAGCATTGCTTTTGCCTTCGTATCTAGCTCATCCCACAATAATTCAATAGGATTGAGACCCGGTAATTATGGTTGTCACACCATTCTTTTAAGGATACCAGCTTGTTGCTATTCGTCCAAATATCCGTGACACGTTATAAATTTTTTAGATGTGTTTTGGGTCATTATCTTCTTGGAAAATAAATCGTTGAAATCGAGTATAAAAAATTAGACATATGATTCAAAAAAAAAAAAAAGTTAACCACTATATCTCTTCTATCTCTTCACTTGCAAGACCCTTGCAAGAACTTTCTTAAACCCTGCAACTAATGCAAGTAACATTTTCTCGCATTGTTTGCAATAATTAAGATATTTGAGTGGACAATTTAATCATACATTATTACAATTGTTTAATTTAATTTTAATTTTTGGCAAATTCAACCCGAACATTTTCACAGCACATGAGGATTAATATACGCATGTTATGTACATACAAGTACACGTAAATGTCATTTATTTTTTTTTTTTTTTTTTTATATAAAAAAAATATATTTAAAAAACAGTTCGAATAAAAATTTGTTTGTAATATTGCTATAAAAATATGGTTTGATATTCTCAATATATGATTTAGAGTAAAGATGTAATATGTTAGCTTTTGTTTAAATCCTCCTTTTTCTTGGCAGTGATCTCAAAAATCATGTCCCGCATGCGGCTTAGATTCGTCAGTTCTTCTCTCATTTTCTTAAGACTCTCCTCTTTTTCTGCAATACTCTCTTCATATGTATGCACTAATTGTGATAATTGTTGAGTCTTTTGTTGAAGTGCAGAAATGTTTTTTTGATTGGATTGAATTTCCGCGTTTTTCGATTCTATTACCTGTTTAATACCGATCATGAATTAACAACTCCCTCGTAATAATAGATTTATACAAACCTACCTGATCCCTTTTATTAAGTTCTTCTTGCATTGTATGGAGGATTTTGTTCAACTCGTCATTCCTATTAGCCATTTCTCTAGTCCTTGCATCCGCATTTTTACATTCAACTTCCAACTCTTTTATTTTTTTATTTAATTCATCGATCCTATTAATACTGGTTTCTAGTTCGTGCTTATATTGTGAAAGTACTATGTTTAAATGATCAATACTGGCACACTTTTCTGTCACTATTTTTCTCAATGCGTCGATCTCCTATAAATGCGATTTTCAATTCAGTTTCAATATAAATTTCATTTTTTATTACCGTTTCAAATTCGTTATAAAAAATATAAACCTGTTTCTTAATAGCGACTGCTTTTTTACTCTGTTCCTCTGCTTCAGCGAACTTGGCTGCTAACATAGATTTCACTCCTTCCAAACATTGTTGTGTGTCGAACAGCATTTGATGCAATCGAGTCGATTCGGCTACTACTTGTGCAAGTCTGTGTTGTAAACTAGTTCCATGATTGTTTGCTGCCTCTAAACTGGATTGCATAGCCCTTTCAGCGTGTCTCATCGCTGCTAGCTTTCATATTGCAAACCGATAATGAATACGGGATATAGATTGCATTTAGAGTAGGATATATCGTACAAAATAATAGTGACAGTCATTAAATTCTTTTTCATTAAGTAGTCACCGAATCTAACCAGAAAAAATAACGTTTCAATTTCAAGAACAGAGTTTCTTTTTAACCTCGAGTAGGAACCTCGCTTTACATCTATTATTCGGTGAGGAAATCAAAACAAAATATATAAAAGATAATCAAGATACAAAGAATAATCTTATCAATCCAATAGTAATATTTTTACGAAGCCACAATGGAAAAGATAATTTAGGATTGTTAGTCTTCTTATATACAGGGTGGTCGGCCACCCCTGGGAAAAATTTTAATGGGGGATTCTAGAGGCCAAAATAAGACGAAAATCAAGAATACCAATTTGTTGACGGAGGCTTCGTTAAAAAGTTATTAACAATTGAATTCAAAAATTTCAAATCATTCTGGAAAAATTATTTTCGATTGCGGGGGTCAATTACAATCATTTTTGGTTATTACACATACTCCCAAAATCCTACGCATTTTCGAGAAAAAAAAATCGGGAAGGTGCTGAAATTTTTTGGCGAAAAAAAAATTTTTCAAATCGTTCTAAAAAAATGATTCTCGGTTGCGAGGGTCAATTACAATCATTTTTGGTGAATAGACATACTCCCGAAATCTTGTGCATTTTCGAGAAAAAAATTCTGTAAGGGCGGAACTTTAAACGTTAAGAACTATTTAACGAAAACTCCATCAACAAATTGGTATTCCTGATTTTCGTCTTATTTTGGCCTTTGGAATCCCCCATTAAAATTTTTCCCAGCGGTGGCCGAACACCCTGTATATAAAACGAAAGGCCTGACTCACTGACTCATCAACGCCCAGGCTAAGCCCTTGGACATAAAAAGTTGAAGTTTTGCACAGAGGCTTCCTTTATGGTGTATACAAGGAATACGGAAGGATATTCCGAAACTCAACCCCAAAGGGGTGGAAAGGGGTTGCAACGTTTGTATGAGGAATATTTTATTTGTGGTCGGATTTACTTGAAACTTGGTTTTAATGCTCTTTGACATAATTAATCAAACACCTATTTCGGCATTTTAAGAAATTATACCCCTAAAAGGGTGGAAAGGGGTTGCAACGTTTGTACGAGAAATACTTTATTTGTGGTTGGATTTGCTTCAAACTTGACCTTAATGCTTTTTGATATAATTAATCAAACACCTATTTCGGCATTTTAAAAAATTCATCCTCTGAAGGGGTGAAAAGGGGTTGCAACGTTTGTATGGGACATATTTTGTTCGTGATCGGATTTACCTGATACTTGGTCTGAATGCTCATTGATACACTTATTTCGCATTAAAGTTGCCTTATTTTCGTAAATGGATCTAGAAACTTCAAATTTAACATGTAAGTACGTAATTATTATCTTATCACTAGACCGTTGCAATGGTGTAGGTAAATACGCCTAAATATCGGTATGGGTGTCGTTATGAAGGTCTTTTGAAATGTAAGATGGCGGCATGACATAAAATTAAAACTCTATAAAGGTGAATGGGGGCTTCAAAGGTTTTATGGAGAAACAATATCTATTTCCGAGGGAAGTAAACGGTTTCCTGTGCGAGCGACAGCTAGTAATAGATAAAACTCAGAATAAAAATAGAGAAAACAAAAAAAGTAGTGGTAACTCTTTGACCACTTATTCGGTATGAAAAATGGATACTTATTCAAGGAGTACTGTACCTTGTATTCATACAATTCCATTACTGCAGACGTGGTAATATCACCTAGTTGATTTGTCTCGTAAGCTACTTCCAATTTTGTTAAAAACGCGTCGAGCCGTTCTTCTTGCGCGAAAGAGAAAAGTGGCGCCATATCGCTATTTGAAGTGATGGACATCTTGCTTCCAAAATTTGTTACCGCACCAGGAGTACTCTGTACCAATATCAGAGGTTCCAATTGCTTCATACATTCTGCCACCGCGCAAACACTTGTCACACAAAACACATGGGATACAATTTACGTGCAACAGTGAATTTGTCTAGAGTTGGCATTAACAAAGATTTAAATAATATGCTGCCAAAAATATTTGATTTTACAAAAACCGTTTGCAATGGAATTTGTCACTTCTTAACCATTTCTTTTTTGTGAATCCAAACCGAGAATAAAAGGACATACGTTCAACCATTTTGCGCCAATACATTATTACTATTATTAATATTTTTGCGAATTGTATTTAACGTTAAAAATTTATTATTAAGCGAAGACGTATTTTACTTATTCGAAGCACGATAAAAATCGTACAAACTCTTTAACAAGTTATACCCTTTTTTTAGAATTCGTTCAAAAGATGTGATTGAAATCAGCGACCGATTTTTGTGATCTATCTTTAATAAGTTGATGATTAAAAATTCTTTAAAATAAAATATACGAATATAGTATTAGAATTAGAGAAAAATGTAACATGTATGTATACTCATGTTACAGTGTTATGCAGTCAATAATGGAAATACAATAATAACATATTTGATTAGTAATTTCTATTAATATCATTTACACGGTGAAAGATGCTTTGAATGTTTTGCAATAAGACTTACCATTCCTGAGGAAATCCTACAGTCGACGCCAATTGTAAAACTTTTTGTTTAACATCTCCATCGCCAGTGAATAGCGCATGTGCCATTGTCATTTGAATCTGTTTTTTTCGACGCAGTTCAGAATATAACGTTAACCAATTTGAATTATGAGCTGCCAGGTCAGCAGTCAAAGCTAATACGTGGATGCATAGATTTGTAGTAGGATTCTGAAAAGTTTAATAATAGAATTGCATCTATCAAGAAGTTAACATTATCATATGGTGAGAAAAAAAGAATACTTGAATAAAATTTTCTGGAAAATCACCAGCAGTACATGTTTCAGAATCCAACATTGGGCTTAATAATTTACGTATCATATTTTCATTCAAGGACTGCATGACTTTTGCTCTAAGCGGGGCAGTTTTAACCATTTCCTGGAATAATTGCATTAATTCTGCTAGTCTCGTTTCTGTTTCCAAACTCAATTCCTGTGTCCCTTGAATGTCGTTGTTTTTTAAATTTATAATTAGCATCAAAACGGAAGCATCCAATTCTGCCAAAACTTCGGCAGATGTTTTGGTACGTCGTGCATCAATTACAGCTACTCTGATCAACGTTAATGCTTTAGAACACACCTAGTTTAAAAATAATTATTTTGATAAATTTTTATATTTATTATAATAGAACAAACAATTTCTTAACGCCCTCAGAACTAACGACTGGGCGTTCACATGGTTAAAAAATAAAGACATACCTGTTCCACAGGAACCCATGTCATAGCTGTTTTCACGCATAAAGGATACAAGGGTACTAAACTATGTAATTTTAATTTTACTAATGATGATAAAAATTCCATTACAAGAGCGACGCATTCTGGATCCGCATTGTCTTTTAATGTAACCAATACATCTTCCACATCTTTGCCATAACTAATTTGAAGAAAAAAAAAAGTGAAACAGCGTTCCATACAAAATGATACAATTAAAATATAAATTATTGAATAACTCACGATACATATGTAAGTAACACACAGTGAGAATGTTCATTTTGTGAAACATCATTAAAGAAATCTATGACGTGTCTCAGTAGCAAAACGTCCTTTTGTTTCATTGCAGTAATGAGAGTACTGAATGTAACAGCAGCAAAATCCAAGATGTATTTCTCTGAAATGTTTGTATTCGAATGCTCTAGTATAATTAAAAGTTTACAACACTGTACACTGATGTTAACATTGCAATGTTGCAATTTTAACAATGTTCGCATAAATGTCTTTGTATTTATTGTCCTCATCAAGGTATACACTGCTGGAAGATTTTTGTAACAAAGATTTACTAATACACCTAATGAAAGTGCAATAATGTCTTCTTCTTTAGACTGTGTAACCCACTGTGTTAATATTGATATTAAATAAGGTAAATGGGTTTCTTGCCAAGAAATTCTTATGCCGTATGTTAATTCTTGAAGTAACTTTAATACCTGTATTCTTTTCTCGCTTGTTAAATTAGCCTAAAACATATTTATATTTGTAAATAAATATTTCTATATACAGGGTGTTCGGTCAACCCTGGGAAATATTTTAATAGGCGATTCTTCAGGCCAAAATAAGACGAAAGTTAAGAATACCAATTTGTTAATGGAGGTTTCGTTAAAAAGTTATTAACATTTAAAGTTGCGCCCATACTGAATTTTTTTTCTCGGAAATGCGCAAGATTTCGGGGGTATGTCTATTCACCAAAAATGATTGTAATTGACCCCCGCAACCGAAAATAATTTTTCTAGAACGATTTGAAATTTTTTTTTTCGTCGAAAAATTTGGGCACCTAATTAGACTTTCGGTAAGGAATTTTTTTCTCGAAAGTGTGCAGGATTTCGAGGGTATGTGTAATGACCAAAAATGATTTTAATTGACCCCCGCAACCGAAAATAATTTTTTTTTCACCAAAAAATTTCAGCACCTACCCGATTTTTTTACTCGAAAGTGGATGCGATTTCGGAGGTATGCGTATTCACCAAAAATGATTGTAATTGACCCCCGCAATCGAAAATAATTTTTTCGGAAAGATTTGAAATTTTTAAATTTAATTGTTAATATCTTTTTAACGAAGCCTCCATCAACAAATTAGTGTACTTGATTTTCGTCTTATTTTAGCCTCTAGAATCTTTCATTAAAATTTTTCCCAGGGGTGAACGAACACCCTGTATATAAACAGAATTTTAAAACATATTATTTTTAGATTTTTAAAAGTTATACAACCTTTTAATTTTCTGTCATGAAAATAATATAATAAAAACTCAAAATAATATAGTTATGTATTTGTTAATAGAATGTAAATGTATATATACCTCCAATAATCTGGCCAATATAGGTGCAAATTTGTAAATGTGAATGAGAGCTTGTCTTGCAGCAGTATTTCGACAAGCATTTTGTAAAACATCGACCGCACTCCAAATCAAAGTGGTCCTTGATGCCAAAGAATTCATAAGTTCATGCAAACTAACATAGAATTCTGCTGCTATGCTGGTTCCAGGGTCAAATATACTTAAATCCAATGATACGCTTATTACCTTTTAAACATAAGTTTTTGTTATTAAAAGATAATCCTTAATTTTGTCAGTTTATTCTCGTTTTTTCAAACAATGTTCTCAAATCATTATTTGTTATAAACTTTCTATACAATATATTTGACTATATTTATTAAATTGATAGTAATCTTGTTCCAATTACTTCTTTTAGGACAATCTTCTTTATTTGTGAAATATATTAGTAAGATGACATTCTCTGCCTATGTCAGTAATTACTATATAAATCATTAAACTTGTACAACTTCCAATAAACGTAAATCATACAGAATTTTGTATTAATAATGAAAAATATAATGGCAGTGACAATGAGGAGAATCGTAATAATAACATTAAGAATAATATATTGATAACGTAATATATAAATTGAAAATAATATATAAAATTGAGTGAAACTTACACCAAGATTTCGTTGTAACATCGAGGCGGTTGTTTCACTTGGATGTTTAGTGTAATCCAATGCAGTTGATATAAATGTCCTCATAAGCTGATGTTTCTCCATTGTAGTTTGCTCGCGAATAATTTTAAAATTTCGAGCTTTAACAAACGATGTTGGCATTAAAACTAACATAGTATGTGGAGTCAGTGGAGCCCATCGCTTCCCGTACTCGCCACCAGAGGGACCGCTCCTCTTGCAAGCGCTCGACAAACCTTCCATTGATGAATATCCCGGCATCTAACCACGACGACAGCGCTACGTGCCAATGCCGACGGAATCCCGATGTAACACTGATGGCGTGGTGTCGTGTATTTTAGCGGGGAATTTAAGATAAGAACGCGGGTTGGTGCCCGTGGAGCGCAGAACCGCTCTGCTTGTCGGAGTGTGGGAATTTTAATAAAACTAGACAAGAGAACTCTTTTGTTAGGTAAACTTCGTAGTTTATTTTACTGGTCCGAAGGCCGGTTAGAGACACAATGACATAAGAAAAATCGTAGCGTTTCGAAGTCACCTCCGAGGTCCTCGCCGAAGTCGTTGGCCAAATCCTCCTAGTCCTCCCATAGATCCTCGTAGTCCAATCAGGGTGAAGGACGCATCAGATCCAAGCGGTAGGCCGTCCTTCCGATGCACACACGCCCCCGCGAATCGGCGTCTAACTTTCCCTCCGTCTTCGGGTGGTGGTGGGAACTCGGTGGAGTCGCGCTTTTCCGTTACACAGCGGGGTGCCTACGTGGGAAGAGAAAATAGGCTCTGCTCCGAGGATCGAGAGAACAACCCTTGAAGGAAATTTATGACTTCCTTAGCGTCGCCAGCATTTCTGGAGTCGATCGACGCTCCTAAGACTAACAAAAGGACAAGGCCTTTTCAAGAGGTTACGTGACTTACAAGAAACTCGCGATTCGTTTCGGGGTCTGCTAATTGGTGTCCTCTTCCTGTTTTCGAGCTCTACCCAAGATCTTTCCCACGCGTGCCACCAGCATCGCGCATCCTTAACAATATTCTCTCAATCACGCATAACCATCCGCTTTTGAATTTCGCTCCTAATTTACCTATCGATTATTATATTTCTGGGGCTACGTTCGCGTGGTCACGCAACAGTGGTAAGAGTCCGCCGACGGAGATAAAAAGGAATTCCCTAGACTTACCTGGTTGAATTCGCCTCCGATGGTCAGCGCTGTGGCTTCGCGGCAAAGCGGCGCTGCGCGTTGTTGGCGGAATTTTCGAATTCCGTTGGCGGGGTCCGGATTCCAGGTAATCGCTTGTCGGGATCGGGACGCAACATAGAAATTTGTCAAGTGTTATACGAGTACGCACGCGCAAATGTGTTTGCGCGCGAGAATTTGGTTAGGAGAATGAATGAAGTCAGTTTGTTAAATTTGTACATTTTATATTATCCATTTTATAACGATACTTGTGGTTTATGGAATTGTAAATATTTATTAGTTATTGTTTTATTTGTACATATTAATGTTCTTTTGGATTTGTATAATATACAATTTTACGTTAAACCGTTAAAATGTGTTTTCTTTGAACTCTGAATAAATATATAGGATTCCGCCATGTTCTTAGTTGCATTATTGGTGCATTCACATGAAACCTCGGCGACACAAAAATTGGGGGAGTGGACCAACTGTATAAACTGTGGTAGTGGCACCGTTCGCTGGTTCTCATTGAAATGCACCATTTCCAACTCGAGGAAAAAGAAAACGACATTGAAGAAAGGTACTCTCGAAGGATCTTCTGAGATTGAAGTCACTTCGTTGTTTCTTCACGGTTTCACGAACAATACCTGGTAATTGACTGATCTGTTGATCAGCGGTAAATGTTTACGTGCGTGTGATTAGAGTTCGACGTTGTAAATAAAAGTGTTCCAGCACCGTGTGTACTGTTGTCGTGATCCGAGTCTGAATTTCAATCTCTTTTAGTGCAATCGAATTTTTTGCCCTACGATTCGGTCGCATTAGGTTAGAAAGACACCGATATTGTCCGGTTCTACGGGAAAGTGTCGTGCGGAACAATTGTTGTCTCGCAAAAAGTGGCAAAAATATATATTCCTTGAATGAGAAAAAGGGGAGTGTGAATAAACCGACGGAGGTTCGCAGAGTCGTGTATCTCTGCTTGTGTGTACCAACCGGAGCTGTCATAAATGTACACATTCTATATAGATTGCACGATCTATGCTCGGTTAGTGGGCCGATTTACTGGAGACAAGTGATCGTGTCTGACGCGCGGCAGTGAATTGACATTAATCATCGTCGCGCGGTGTTGTGCACCAATCGACCATCTAAAGAACTAGTGCCGCATTTCTATCCGACGGCGAGTTTCCTCACGCAGCAGGTTAAGCCACCGAAGATTCGAGTTTTTCATTTTGTCAGGTGTCCTTATCCTTACTACTCCGATACGCATTTCTAATGATTTTTTTTTCTCATAACCCGTCGTGTGCAAAAGAGTCATGTTTACGATCGGTGTCATCTACGACAAAGACGTAGAATGTGCTTGATAATGTACCTATATTATTCGCCTCTTTACGTGTACCCTATCGCATGGACATCGATAAGATCATATGTATCTTGAGCAAACAATTTTTTTCAGACTGTGCCTTTTCTCTGCCATTCTTTTTGGTCGATAAATTTCTCTGGCTTCCCGAAGAACTCGATATTTTAGATATTGCTGACGTTTCACGGGCGGTGACAAGTAGTCGGAGCCGTAACTATTGTGGCACATCGCTTACTCCCTTTATTCGTCTCTCTTCGTCTCTCTCTTGTTATGCTTCGAGAGAAAGAAAGAGAGCGAGAGAACAGAATGAGAGCGAGTGAAAAAAGGAAAGCCTGCGAATGAGTAACTGAATGCGAAAGAGAGTCGTAGTTTAAACGAGTAACGGAGCGAGGAAGAAGAGGGAGAGTAGGGAAGTAGAAGAGAGAAATTGTACGAGTGCGCCTGCGATAGAGAGAAAAAGAGAGGAGAATTCACGCGCGCGCGCGAGCGCGTACACAGAAAACTCTATCCGTCCTTATCGGTTTCTTTCTTTCGCAGTCCCTATGCACCGCTTTAACGGTTTCTCGTGATTTTTCGATAATGCCATTTCGTCGAAGGTTATGAGGTATTGGTTACATAGATAACTTTCGGGTGAGTTTTCGCAGCATGAGACTTCGATGCAGCTTTGCTTTGTCGAAAGAGTGTGTAAGGTTGGTGATGTACGTTCATGCTTTTCATTCGGTTCTCACTCTTGCAAATGTGTTCCTCTTGTCAACCTGTACCCGGACGGGTTCGCGCAATTTGAACCTGTTTCTTCCTCGTCACCGTGAGTTGTTACGCGATTCCGTGATCGCCATGAAGTTGTTGCGTTTAGCCGTTTTATTACGGTCTTAGATATTCGTTCGCGTTGCCTGTTAAAACTGGCCGTACATTATCATTTAGGGAGCCTGAGTTTTATCAGCCGTAACGTTATTGCAAAACAACACCAGATTCGTCGATTCGCTAAGAGCCCGCTATGTAAATTAATTGGATAATGTAATTAACAGGAGCTAAGCTCTAATGGGCTAAACAGCATATGTTATTATTTCTTGTTGGCTAATCTACGGTACTTTTTGTTAGACACGAAAACTAATCGCGACAAAGCAGATAATGAAATTCCGCATACGTGTTTATTGGAGTAAAGATTTGTTTTTATTTTTTTAAGACACGTTCTATTATCGTTTGTATGTTTCACGAACTGGTGATACAAACACTGTTTAAATCTGTTCATTTTATTTTATTAATGTCATTTTTCTTTTGTATCTCGTTTTTTTTTTTTAATTAATACATGCATGTCATGCTTTTCCATAGGATCTCAATTCTGTATAGTTTCTCGAGCAAGTAAGACTTAATATTGTATGTTATTACATTGAATTTTATAGCCGATTAAATTCTACATGGAATTTTGTGGAGATTGTTTACATATTATGAAACTGTATATTTTGTTAATTCAGACATTTATTATAACTTTAAAAAATATATATTTGCCTGTATGTTTATGTACATTTGTTGCAAAGTATTCCTCTTAGATTTCTTTATATTGCTTTGTGTAATGCACAAGAAGTACATTAATTTTGTACTAAATGTTGCAAATTATTTTCATATTATTTTGGCTAGGAATATTAAAACAATTGCAAGTATTATTTTATTCCTTTTTTATACTTTGTTTTATCGTTATTATTTGTATTATTTCTACATTATTGTTTAATTAAAATAGTTAATTTTGTAATTCTAGAATCACCGGGGTTATTTTGTTGTAATTGTAAAACAAGAATTATATACATTATCCTTTTTTTTTTTTATCATGAAATGTTCTTCTGCCATTGATAAAACTTTATTTGAATTGTCGTGCTATAACATATGTTCCACAGGATACTTTTCCATTTGTTAATATTTGTTTCATTGCAACTTCTCTAGATTATAAAATTATGATAAAAATTTTTGTTTGCATGGTTTGATACATCTTTTATTAGTTTTTATTTCAATAAAGTACCTCATAGCTATTTTCTTTGTTAGGTATGTAAAATCAACTTACAGTTTATAAAAATAATTAATAATTCTTAACATATGCTTATCAATTCAATATGTTTGAATTAAAAACGTTCAGTTAAATGTCGATTGTACGGTATGTAAATGAAATATCTATAAAATGCCTTATCTATTATGCATGGAATTTCAGTATAAATAGACATTTATCTTCTGATTTAGGAGTTTAGACAGAAACGAACAATTTTAACTATTTAACATTCGTGTAATTTTCTAACATCAATTTCGATAATTTACTGTTATTGAATTTAAATATTGTATAAGAAATGTATATTTGTAGAATCTAGTTAAAGATAAAATTCAAAATATGCTACTTTACTTAGATTGAAATTAATATACATTTATTTTTATTTATTGTTAACACATTCGCTACCATCGTTCAGTTGGAAAACCATCAACCACAAACTATGCTACATTTATGGTAATTTTATATAATATAGTGCATGTTTTTACATATGTGCAAGTAAAATATATTAGCGGGCTAACAAAGTATTATATTTTGAATGTGCCATGCATATGACATCGATAAAAACTCATACTTTAGTTACTTGTATGGTAGTGGATTAAAAAAATCATTGTTATCACAAATATGTACAGCTGATATCTATCGTGAGAGTATGTCTCGCACATGTGTAATGCATGGTAGCGAATGTGTTAAGTAATTAATAATATATCAATTGTGTATAATTCGTAAATTTTAAAATTATTTTATATAATATCATTTACTGACAGTAAAAGTAGTATGAATTCATGTTTATTAATACGGCGTACAGATTAAATCAAAACTAATAATTATTGTTATGCTTAGGTGATCATGGCTAATCGGGGTACAGCCCAGAGGCCAAATGGTTCAGCACAAGGGAAAATTTGTCAGTTTAAACTGGTGCTACTTGGAGAATCTGCAGTTGGAAAGTCAAGCCTTGTTTTGAGGTTTGTTAAAGGACAGTTCCATGAGTATCAAGAAAGTACCATTGGAGGTAAGAATTCATGTTTTAATCCCTTTGCGGATGCTAATTAAAATACTATTTGAAGAAAATAAGTAAATATAACTTACTTGAAAACTATTTTTTCTGTACTAAAATGTTTCACAGAAAAGTTGTAGGATATGAAGCGATGCATATGCTGATACGATTAATTTTCGTTATATTGCTTTTTCATTGTGATTTAAAGGTCACATTGCATTTTTTAATCATAATGTACCACTGACAAGAGTATGCAAAACTAAGTAAAAGACTGTAAGGTAATATGGGTCTAAAATCTAATATTTAACTTATGTTCAATGTAGAAGATACTCAAAATGTTGCCTATTCTGATCAACACATGCGCGTACATCCATTGTGTATAGTATAACTACATTGATCATGATAAATTTTCATTGGTATTGAATTATTTATATTAATTATTTACATTTTATTGTTCATATTCTGTACTTTTATGCATATCTTACTTTTCGCAATAACAATGTGAAACTAGTACTGTGTAAGTTATATGCGTAAAAGTAAACTGTGGGGTAGAAATAAATTTGATAATTAACATCTTAATAATGAGATTTGGCAACAGTGAGAAGAGAGATATGATACTCATGTATGGTGTAAACAAAGAGAATTCTGTGATAGCAGAAAGACTATATTAAAAAATATCCAAGTCAAAATCAATCATCATGTATATTTTAAGAGCTCAGTAAAATTCTTAGAAAAACACGTAGCTTTATAAAGAAGTATGAACAACAGAATACTGTAAGAACTGAGAGAAATAATAATATCTTAATTGCTCAAGTTAATGATAGTTCGTATGTTAACACACGTCAAATAGTTTGAAGAACAAAATTAGTAAAACAAATCTTTTACAAATCTTATACTCATAGAAATTTCATCCCACCCATATTTCACTGACGAAGTTACATTTACAAATTTCAGAGAAGTTAATTTAAAAAGGCAGTCAAAAATGCACCACTTTTTAATTTATCGCGTCCACGCTCTTATCAAACAGACTATACATTCTCCTGACTTGACGCCTCTCGTTTATTTCCTTTAGGGACATTTGAGAAACGAAGTCTATCGCGGAAAACCAACAACATTTTGAGCATCTTTTGCATTAAACATAAGTTCAATTAATATCTTATTCATTAATATAATGCTGCCTTATAGTTTTTTACTTAGTTGTTTACTCTTTTCATTAGTAGAGCCAAATTTTATATATTATGATTTTAAACACTCAAAATGACCTTTAAATCTCAATAAAAAAAAATTATATAGAAAAAATTAATCATATCGATCCCACTTCATACTTCATAACATTTGTGTGAAACATTTTTCTATAGAAGAAACAGTTTTTGAGTAAATTAGGTGGTGGGTCATGATGGACCACCCTGTTATACATGCACGCGCGCACACACACATGTTATAATTTATATTTAATGTAGTATACAGAGTGTTCGGAAAAATTTTAATGGGATATTCTAGGGGCGAAAATAAGACGAAAATCAAGAATACCAATTTGTTAATCGAGGCTTCGTTAAAAAGTTATTAACATTTAAAATTCCGCCTGTAGATAGGCAATCTGCGAACAGCTGCGTACGCGTGATAGTGGTTCTCATTCACAAAACTGTAAGACTGTCGATACGTCAGTAAGTAGAGTTTCTCATGCTGAATGTGAACTTAATAACTTTTTAGCAAAGCTTCAATCAACAAATTGGTATTCTTGATTTTCGTCTTATTCTGACCCCTAGAATCCCCCATTAAAATTTTTCCCAGGGGTGGCAGAACACTCTGTATATTTGATTATATTCTATAATTTATCTTAATCTTTGTAGCTGCATTTTTAACACAAACAGTATGTTTGGAAGACACAACTGTCAAATTTGAAATTTGGGACACAGCAGGACAGGAGCGTTATCACAGTCTTGCACCAATGTATTATCGGGGTGCACAGGCTGCCATTGTTGTGTATGACATAACAAATCAGGCAAGTAAACATTGACAAAATTTAATACATAATGTAATTATAAATATAACATTTTAAACGCGTAAAAGATTGTATACGATATTCAAGGTAAATGACCACCTAGGGTAACAGTAAATACACAAATGGTTTTTACAACTATATTTATATCTTGCAGCATGCCCTAATTAACATTTAAATATTCTGAGTTTCATACTTATAAGAATATTGATATGTTGGGATTTTATTTCTTAAATAATGTTTATAAATATTTGTTGGTTTTCATATTGGCATTTAAAACGTATATCTGTTTTTCATTATATAATTTTCTAATTAAAACTGCAGGACACATTTGTACGTGCCCAAACGTGGGTGAAGGAGTTGCAACGACAAGCCAGTCCAAATATAGTTATAGCATTAGCTGGAAATAAAGCGGATCTTGCTAATAAGAGAGTTGTAGAATTTGATGAGGCCCAAACATACGCGGAGGAAAACGGTCTTCTTTTCATGGAAACTTCAGCCAAAACAGCAATGAATGTTAATGACATATTCCTGGCAATCGGTAAGATAATTATTTTTCACAAACGCTTCGTACAAGCGGAAGTTTGATGTTCATCGTTGGTATGGTCATGGAATAAGCGAGCAATCTGTTTAACGGCCATTTTTCTGTTTATATATTACTTCAAGGGGATTTGTTAGTATCTATTAAAAAACTTAAAAACATAAATTACATAAATTTATGCATTACCCACAGCCTCGTACGCGTCGTTAAAGTCGTTTCTGTCGACAGTGTTTGTTTTTCTATTTTTTTAAGAAACAATAAAGTTTTTAAATTTAATTTCCAACAAGGTATGTCCATAAATGCTTTTGCTGTTATAGCTAAAAAACTTCCAAAGAACGAGCAATCGGGAAGCGCAAGTACAAGTGGGCAAGGTCGTCGATTAGTTGAGACAGAAGGACAAAAGGCAGCAACTGGCAATTGTTGCAAGTGATTATCCAAATCTGTACGTGTCAAATATTACGTTGGTATATATTTTTATATTAGTTAAAATTTGTCACGTTTGTGATCAACAATGGTGGGAAACATAATAACAGTTAAGGAGTCACAAAACAATTGATATATGCAGATATGTTATGAGTATAATGTTCAGTATAATAATACATTATGTCTACGTATTTTTATAATGCATCAATATATAAGGAGAAGGGACCGATGATGGTCTTGCAATGACAACAAATTCGATATTAAATAGATTAAAAATTTTCAATTCATGGATACTTTATGCAAAATTTCGTATTAGTATTATGAAATATCTGAGTAGATATTGCTGTAGTATATTTCTTGTTACGTTTAATATTTTTATTGCATGTATTCCTGATTTATTTCGATTTTTATATTTATTAAATAAGTGAAAAGGACACGGGAATATCAAAAGTTGAATCAGTGTCCCTTCAATACATTTTTTATTGATTGTATACAATAATTGAAACTCGAAAGGGAAAAGAAGAATTATGCATAAACAAATTTTTTTTTCTACAAAAAATACATCGCCAGTTCGATGTTATCAGAAGAAGGATCTTACCAATAGTTTGGAGCTCATTTATGAAAACCTACTTAAAACAAAAGTTATACAAGTTGTAAGTAACTTAAGCACATTCGTCTATTATAAATTTGTTTTTGCACAATACTATGATGAATATCTACAAATATCCAATGTTTTGACATTTGGTAGAGTGTTTATTTTGAACAAAAATTAATTATTTATATAAAAATTTTCTTGTATAATTATTGTGTTTCACATGGCTTGGACTAACTATTGCAGTAAATATCATTGCACCGTCTAAGTATTTCATACTTTCTATTTTTATTTGTAAATCTTAAATATAATTCTAAACTCTTATTTGATCACTTGTGCAATTTTTGTAAAAACGTTAGTCATGCATAATATTTCCATTTAATTGAGAGTAATATATAATCAAACTTACAGAATCGAATTAAAAGGAAATACCTTCTCTGTTTTATATGTTACACGTTAAATTCTGCAAGACTCTGCTACGAGGGTAGTGATGCTTGTATTATGCTTATAAATATTATAACTTTTCTTATTATGTTTATTTTTTGTAACTTTAGTTTGATTAATACTTATATAATACTTATTTTTATAATATGAAGTATACAGTTCTTTATTACATACAAGAGAGTAAATGATCCTTGTAATATATTCACAATCTTGTTATTGTAAATCTTAAAATGGCATTAAAGGAAATATTAATTTCTTACTCGACAGTTGAGTCTATTAATTCAATGAGTCCAACTGTAAATACTTCGACAAATACCTTTATCTAGATAGTGTACAACTTAATATAAATATATTTTGAACATTTTTTTTATTATTTTATACATTACATTACTACGTCTCTTGCAATTGTTATTAAAATTCTTCATTTACACTTATAATATTATTAATTTATTTTTTAATCTCGAGGTATCATTTTTAAGTAGCACATTTTTAAAATATGTCTAGCTTTGCACAGTAGTGATATATTTTTGTTAATTAATTTGTTTGCGGTAAATTAAAATCAAAATATAATAGGTTCTTTTGTTACACTTGCATTTTATTTTTGGCCGTTGTCTTTTTTTTATCCAAATGTATGTGCTGAAATTAAAACAAATTAATATTAACAAGAAATTTTTTAATGTAATATACAATTAGTTACTACAGGTTTTTGAATGGCTGATAAATCGAAGTATCCAAGTTCCTATTATTATACTGAAGTATACACGTGTTATTTCTTTTTGCAAATGCATATTAGCTTTGTTTCAAACGCACTATTAGGTAAGTTTACAGTCTGTACTGCTTATAACCACAGTTATTGTAATTAAATTATTTTGATAAATAGTATTGTAAATATTGATCATTGGATCATTAATTCTGTAGTAATTAATAAATATTAAATTATTGATGTTGTAATAGAGTTTATATGTTTAAAATTACGAACTAAAAAGAAATATATAATTATTAAGTTATACTACAGTTTCTTTAATAGGTTTCAAGTAGGTGTGTAATCGTAGATACATGAAAAAAAAAAATCGAAAATGTTTTGGCATTTAGTAACAATCAAATGTACGGTTTTATGATTATTTTTGATTTCGTGATAACGATTTTAAAGAATTATGAAAATTGCATTAAGTTAATTGCAGCCTGAAAACGTAATTCTTTGATTTGAATTATGATTTTAATACTGTGTAAATGTACATATTGAATAAAAAACGCATACTATATATTTATCATACATTTTTATTACAGTACTTTTTTTTTATCGCGTTACTTTGTCTGCTACACATTTTTATTTCTCAGGAAGAACACGTACTTAGTAGTGCGATATTTTTTTCATGAGTTTTTCTCCAATGAGTACATTAATTAAAAAATTATTGTTGTTTTTGTCGATATAATTTATTAACAGAGCACTGTAGGAGACACACTCTACTTTTTGTTTACAGATATGTACCATAATCAACAAATATAAATACACAATGAGTGTGTCCTCAATGAATTTGAATGGATATGAAACAATGGGGAAATGCCACTATATTGGAATGGGAGGTGAACTGTGCAGGACGAACATTTTGCCTGAGTGATTTAAAAAATGCGTGTATTACGTTGCATTCGACGATATATCATCTATTTTGAGTATCAGATCTATCGAAGAGCGAGAGAGAGAGAGAGAAAGAGAGAGAGAGAGAGAGAGAGAGAGAGAGAGAGAGAGCGAGCGAGAGAGATATGGTGAAGCTCCCATTTGTAATTCTAGTAGTAATGGGCGATGTTCGTTATATATATACACATACACACACATACATGCATACATATATATATAAATATATAAATATATAAATACGATTATACTATAAATCATATCTAATAAATATGATTTATATAATAAGTAATGTTAATGGTAATAAGTAATAATAATGTTAATGGTAAATAATAATAACATTAATATTAGTAATGATAATATACATTTAAAACATACAATGTACGATGAACTTTTGGCACGCGAAACGTCTTGTAAGATAGTAGGCCATTTCTGCTGCTATAATTACCTATGTATCTACTTTCTTAGTTTGTAATCATGTATAACAAATTCTTGCTCCGAAATATATTGTATATTAATTTTATTCGATAATTCATGATAAATTATAAATAATTACACAAGAGAAAAAATAAACTTGTGAATATTACTAACGATTTTGTTGCAATGTTCGCTTTCGTGCATAGTTATTTATCACTTTACAAATAAGTCTGTTATTATTGCAATGGAAGGAGCCATTAAATCTGTGTAAAACGATTGCTTAATTTAAGTACATTATCGAATTCATTTATTCGATCTAATCTAACTCTGTTTGAACATTCTATAATGTTAAATATTTATTTCCACGTTGTAATTTAAGGGGAAGTACGTGGAATAAATGATCCATAAAATACGCTCCAATTATTAAATTTTTATTCTGATCACTAATGTAAGTAACTTTTTTTATGGATAATTATATTGTATCTCCTTTTGAGGGTCTCTTGTATACTTGACTCAAGAGAATTTGTATATGTACGCCAGTTTATGTAGATCCTTGCCAACTAAAGAGCATACGATGATTAATTGTCAGTTCAATTTACTCCTATTTTTCGATACGTGCGTCAAGGTGCTTGACAAACGCGCAGAATCATCATGTCGCCAATCGCATAATTAATAAGGCCGGAAACAGACGAGCAACTTTTTCTGTTGCGATATCGCAGCAATTCTATGTTTTTCCTTGTTCTGCAATTAAAACAACGAAGACAGACGCACCTCTCTTTGCGCTAAAGATACGTCTATGGTAGCGGACGACAGGTAGCAGTGACGTCAGCTTACGCATGCACAGAAAGGAATCCCACGAGGGAAAATTCCAGTGCGCATGACCAAAATTCCACGATGTTCATCACTGATTTAGACACCGATTCCCGCTCGAATACTTAGCTTTGACCGCGACCAACGCTGCAAGCGCAACGAAATGCAACAGAATGCGGTAGTAAGATAAATATTTAAGTAATTAACAGATTTTTCTGTCACCATCGACACGACGAGACAGCGAGAAAAGGGATACCAGGAAACGCCATCTGTATCATACAAAAATCTGTCATAAAGCCATTTTTACATTTTCATGCTGCGATCAAGGGAGTCGGTTTAAACTGATTGTTTTCCATATATTTTTTATTCCAACTTACAAGGAACCATCGCGAACGGTCCGGCTTCGATTTTGATGAAACTTTGTACACTTATAAAGCAGCCAAAAATAATCGACACGTATTTTTTTTTAGCTGCGGTAACTCGAGTTTAAGGGGTGAAACCACCCCTTGAAGTTTTGGCTCGAAACGGCTATCTCGAAAACGGAAAGACATACAAAAAAATTGTTAATGGGCGAGGTTGATGGTTTCTTATGTACAATAACATGGTGTTAAAAAATTTAAAAAAATACAATTTGTTTATAACAAAAAAAATTTTATTAACTTAATTTTTCATTTTATTGAAATTTTCATAATGACAAAAAATGACGAGCATTTTATTCCAAATCCATTGGTATGCGATTTTTTAAAATTACCTCTTACAGTTTTGTAGATTTTGATGATTTACATCTTGCGCGCACATCCATTATGGTAGTAGCCGTTCTAACTTTGATTTTAATGAAGCACTGTAGGCTTGCACTAAATCAAAGTTAGAACGGCTACTACCATAATGGATGTGCGCGCAAGATGTAAATCATCAAAATCTGCAAAACTGTAAGAGGCAATTTTAGAATATTACATACCAATGGATTTGGAAAAGTTCGGCCACCCTTGGGAAAAATTTTAATGGGAGATTCTAGAGGCCAAAATAAGACGAAAATCAAGAATATCAATTTGTTGATTGAGCCTTCGTTAAAAAGTTATTAAAAAATTAAATTAAAAAATTTCAAATCCTCCAGGAAAAAATTATTTTCGGTTGCGGGGGCCAATTACAATCATTTTTAGTCAATACATATACCCACGAAATCCTACGCACTTTCGAGAAAAAAATTCCTAATCGAAAATGTAATTTATGGCCAGAAATGTTGTCCGAAAATTTCATGCGGATCTTTAAAATGTCATAACTTCTGAACGGATTGAAGGATTTTAATTTTCAAAAATGCAAACGACGCGTATTTTAATCAAGAATACGTAGACATCGCAAAAATATGCAAAAAGTTGATCCTTGACTCCGCAAAATGAGAAAAACCCCATAAAGATGGTCCAATCTTCAAACAGCCATAATTCCTACAATAGTGAATATATTTCAATGAAACTTTTTTCTGAAGTAGAGCTCATAGGTACCTACAAAAAAGTATTGGCCAACGTTTTTGTAGGGCGTCAAACAAAATTATTAAAAATGAAAAACGAATTTTTAAGAAAAATCGACAGGGCCTAGTGCCTAAATTTTTCAGCGAAAAAAAAAAATTTCAAATCGTTCTAAAAAAATTATTTTCAGTTGCGGGAGTCAATTTCAATCATTTTTGGTCAATATATATACCCCCGAAATCCTACGCACTTTTGAGAAAAAAATTCGAAAATGTGTGAAATTTTTTAACAAAATTAAAAAATTTCAAACCATTCTGAAAAAATTATTTTCGGTTGCAGGGGTCGATTACAATCATTTTTGGTCATTACACATTCCCCCGAAATCTTGGGCATTTCGGAGAAAAAAATTCAGTACGGGCGGAACTTTAAACGTTAATAATTTCTTAACGAAGCCTCCATCAACAAATTGGTATTCTTGTATTTTTCCTAATTTTGTCCTCTAGAAGTAGTGCAAGCCTACAGTGCTTCATTAAAATCAAAGTTAGAACGGCTGCTACCACAATGGATGTGCGCGCAAGATGTAAATCATCAAAATCTGCAAAATTGTAAGAGGCAATTTTAAAAAATCGCATACCAATGGATTTGGAATAAAATGCTCGTCATTTTTTGTCATTATGAAAATTTCAATAAAATGAAAAATTAAGTTAATAAATTTTTTTTTGTTATAAACAAATTGTATTTTTTAAAATTTTTTAACACCATGTTATTGTACATAAGAAACCATCAACCTCGCCCATTAACAATTTTTTTGTATGTCTTTCCGTTTTCGAGATAGCCGTTTCGAGCCAAAACTTCAAGGGGTGGTTTCACCCCTTAAACTCGAGTTAGCGCAGCTAAAAAAAAATACGTGTCGATTATTTTTGGCTGCTTTATAAGTGTACAAAGTTTCATCAAAATCGAAGCCGGACCATTCGCGATGATTCCTTGTTAGACTGCTGGTCATCGTCGAACCACAAAGTATAAAATTAGTCTAGAGTGAACGAAAAATAGTGATTGCGATACAATATCGATATTTTAAATATACATACACATAGGTACAGTCTTCTCTATTCGTTCTCTAAACTAAATTATAATATTTATAGGTTTTAAATTATGAAAATGTTAGCTTTTTCAGTTAAACTATACAAACTTGTATAGGTTACCGTTGTAAACAGACCTAACCCAAACCCATGATTACAGAGTCGTGTGGTAAGTTAATTTTTATTAGAAACTTCAGTTATATTCTTTTTTTTTCCAAAACCCTAGCCCACTCAAAATATAGATCCTGAAAACATACCGATATTATTCGTTTATGGTAAACATAAGGTACAAAGTCAAATAGTAACTATTTGAACCAATTTTTGTTAAATTTATTTAGATACTTATAAATATTTATGATACAGGCTTTGCATTCCAAATTCAACTTTCTGCAATTCAAATTTATCGTTTTGCGCCCGAAATTCAATTTTTTACAATTTAACCTTTTCTAATAAAAATAAAATTTAATGCAAATTCATTATTAAAATACTCCAAATTTTACTATACGCAATACAAAGATCCGTATGAATTACTTACTTAATAGAAATTACTAATTCATTAGATATGATTTCGTATAATAATTACGACAATTTTGTGGAGATAATAGTTAAAAAAGTGTTATTAATTACATCTATCAAATACTTTTAATTCGAAAAATCAACTAACACGCGTTCCACATTAAATTTCTTTTTTAAAAGAAAGAATGGGATTCTGTTGTTGGAGAATTCGTCGATAGAAAAAAGTAGAGTACGAAAGAAGAAAATGAACTTGATTTGCAAAAAGGTGAATATGATCTGCAAAATGATTAATTAGGAGTACAAAATCTGTAAAGTCCAGTCCTTCCTAAATTTATTATATTCTATAAATATTTCCCACGAAAACTACCAACCCAAAACCTTATTAGAAACCATCCACCTTCTTGCTGGCAGATTTTCCATTAGTCAGGCATAAATCTGGAATAATCAAGCCGTCGCTTTGTTCCCGAATCCGTCTCGAAGCATTCGTGATACTAAAACTGGTCTCGGTACTATTAGAATTCGAATTCTGCAATTTCGGCGTAGAAGTCCTCCCCTTTAAAAGAACGGCTTGCTCCGTGCTCTTGCTGGCATCTTTAATAGATATCGAGGACACGTCGCTGAAGTCGGGTAGACCGTAATTACTATCGAATTGTTTCTTGGCTGGGGAAATCGTTCTTTTCGCGGCGTTCATCGGCGTACGGTCGTCGGAGTTGGACGAGGAGCTCAGAGCGCTGGCTTCTCGAGTCTTCTTCAGCGTTGTGATCGCCCAGTCTAATCCCAATTTCTTTAAGGCAGTTTCCATCTCTTCAGGCGACGAGGGGTACCTTACATCGGAAGACGGCGTGCTGACTATCTGGGAAATTCCAGACAGACCGGAAAAGCTGTTAGAACTCGTAGACGTCATCCTATCTTTCTCATTTCCCTCCAGCTCGTTAGAACCGGGCACCAAACGATTGACTCCATCGCATTCCGACTCCTCTTCCCCCCTTTCGGCCTTCGGTTTTACCGGAGCTCGAGACTCTATCTTTTTTGACACTTTTGAAGAATCCCGAAACGTGGTAGCTTCCTCCGAAGACTGTTTCGAGGTCGACGAGTCGTAAGATTTTTTAAAACGGTTACTTTGGACGTTTGTGAAAGAAACTTTGTTTATTTGGGTGTCTGTAACTTTCTGAGTAGATAGTGGACTCTTGGTTACTGTGTCCGGCGTGTCGAATTCGATTATTGTTGATAGCTCGTGGCCTGAAGACTCAATCTCGGTTCTAAAATTAATTTGCAGTTAGAAAAGTAAATGGGGATTTAATAGGGAAAAGAAAAGAAACAAAAATGTTTGTTTTGTACCTATACGGCCCACTAAGCAAGCTCACCGGTGGTTTGCTTCTTCCGTTGGATAGCATGCCAGTTTCCAAAGATCTTGGGAGCTTTGGAATGTCTGACAATAACGGAACGAAATTTCTGTCTTCTTTCGACTAAACGATGCATAATTCAGAATTGAATTAAAAATTTTATGTTAAAATATAAGGGTGAACTTGATTTACAAATTGGTGAGGATTAATTTAGAGTGTTCCAGTTACCTGTTGGTTGGATTGTTTCAATGAAATATCGGTTTTTGAGCCAGTAGTGTCCGTTGACGTTCGTGTTTCGTTTTCTTTCGTTGCAATCAAATCATTCTTGAAGCTTTTACTCTGCTCCAAAATTTCTTTCGACAATTTTTCTATCACCACCTCATCATGAAAATCTGATTTATCTTGAGAATTAGTTTTCAAAGATGTTGCCATTGTCTGAGGTTTGTATTGTATTTTATACCTATCGAGGTGAATATTCACTCTTTCCTCATTTATGATCTTTGGCTTGGCTTTGGTTTCCTTCGCTTCTGCTTTCGCTTGTGCACTGTGAATAATATTTTTAGGTGTTTCATCCGGTACCTTGATTAAAACACTTTCTTTATCTAGATCTTTCTTCTCCTCGACTTCTGTCTTATTCTTAATAACTCTCTGCGATTCAAGAAGCGTTTTTGTTAGTTGGTCGTGGATAGCTTCTATGTTTTCAACAAGATTCTTAACATTTTCCAGATCGTTGGGCATCATTTTCGGCGATGGTAATTGCATCAAACTGGTTTCATCGCCTGCACTAATTACAGAAAACTCTACACCTGAAAGAAATTATGTTATTTCTATATTTTATTATTCGTTTTTACAGTATAAAGTTTGTATCCCTACTCTTAATATTCCCAACTCAATTTTAAAGGTCAATCAAAGATACTATAAAAAGAAGTGCATACAGGGTGTTCGGCTACCACTGGGAAAAAATTTTAATGGGAGATTCTAGGGGCCAAAATAAGACGAAAATCAAGAATACCAATTTGTTGATCGAGGCTTCGTTAAAAAGTTATTAACGTTTAAATGTCCGCCTGTAGAACGGCAATCTGCGAACAGCTGCGCACGCATGATAGTGGTTCTCATTCACAAAACTGTAAAACTGTTGATACGTCAGTAAGTAGGAGTTGCGCACGCAGCTGTTCGCAAATTGCCGTTCCATAGGCGGAACTTTAAACGTTAATAACTTTTTAACAAAACCTCGATCAACAAATTGGTATTCTTGATTTTCGTCTTATTTTTGCTCCTAGAATCTCCCATTAAAATTTTTCCCATGGGTGGCCGAACACCCTGTACGAATGTGTACTAAATATAACACTTTTTCCCGATCACTCTTGATACCTTTCTTTCCGCAATGTTCTTCGAATTGTTTACTTTAAAATTGATTTTAACTTGCCTGCGAATAAATTGATTTTCGATAACCGACAACAGATTGGGTCAATAATTTTCGTAACTTTTTCAAGATACTCTGGATAAAAACGTACCTTTCTGTTCATTGCGGACTTTCTCAATAAGATTCGTCAAAGAAACAATCCTTTCCGTGCATAAATTTTGCAGATCCTCGTACTTCTGCAGTATCTGAGGGCAATTCTTCAGCGCATAGTTCCGAATATTATCAAACCTTCCAAGCGTCAACTTGCATTCCGGATTTTCGCACGAGCAGACCTCCACAGAGACGATCGGTTGCTTCGAAAATCTCGTTTGCTCGGACAGATCCCCAGAATTGGATAAATTCGTCGACGTCGAGCCATCGTTTTTCGAAGATTGAATGCTGCTATCGTTGAGTTGGAAATCCGCGGAGGCGTATCTGAGCATTCTGTTGATTTTCGCGAGTCGCGGAACGTTCGAAGGCATGCCCATTGTTCGCGGAGAGGGAGTTTCCGGCGTAGAGACCGGGCTCACGTCCTTTTTCAACCGTCTCAAGCTCTCGTTCGCCGAGGAATCGAGCATCTCGAGGATAGAAATATTGTTCAGCGCTTCCAGTATGTCTCTGGGTTTTATCGGCGGAGGGCTTGCAAATGACGTCGAAGTGTCCGAGATTTCCCTCGTTCTCATTTGCCTTCCCCGCGATTCGATGGAATATAATTTTTCTTGAGCCTCGATCGAATATATTCGAGAACTCTGAGTGCTCACGTCCACGACCTGGGGCGGGTTCACCTTAATATCGAGCCCACCCTGGTTCACGTAAATCTTGATCTTCTTGCTGGGCGTGTTCGTCACGGTTTCCAAGTTTTTAACGCCGTTACAGCGCGATTTCGGCATGGTCTTCGAAAACTTCTTCGCCGGGGACAATTTTTGCTTCGCGTCTTGCTTTACGGGGGTTTCTTTCGAACTTTGTTCATCAATTTCGTTGATTACGGAACTAGATTCACTCTCGTCTGCTGGAGCGATAACCGTGATTTTTGGTTCCAGCGGATGGTGTTTCGAGGTGTTGATCTCGTTGTCGATTGAATTGGATTCGACCTGTTTTTCTTGTATCAATTCTACTTGAATGCTTTTGTCCTGAGCGATGTCCTGTTTATCTCCAGTGGTCGTTTGCACGGCAATCTCCACCCTTTTTATCGGGCTCTGCTTCTCCTCGGTCTTGTTTTCATTGCAAGATGTGTTTATTACTTTAATCTCTGGAGAAAGTGGTTTTTGGATACTCGATTTTTCCTTTTCAAACAGAGGCTTCACTGTCGCATTGAAAACATCGTCCGGCAAATCTGCCCCGAATTCTTTCAAGAGTAGCTGTTTTTGTTTTTCAACCTTCTTCAACATGTCTAATATTTGTTCTTCGCGTAAATTGTCATTTTTCACGATGTTCTCGTCAGCGTGGTCCTCCCACACAGCATTCACGTCGACATTATCGTTTTCTCTTGGCTTAAGCGTAATTTGTTTTTCTATTGGATAGGACGAACATTGTGTCAAACATTCTTCGTCCAATAAAGCTTTCATGGTACGATTTATCTTTTTTTTGTGCTGGTTTTGTAGTACTTTTCTTCGTTCCACTTGCGTATTTGTATCTTCCTGGTTATAAGATAATATTATAATCAAAATTTATGGTCCACGTAGGAAGTTTGAATATACGTTTTGCTTTCCAAATTAACCCTTCTGCTAATCAAGTTTTCCTAAAAAAATTTTCTCTTGAGCCGTTGTAATAATGATACAATTCGTCGTAAAGTTATTATTCCGGAATAAAAATTTTATTGTACGTATGTAATAATACAAAAAATAACATAAAAGCATCAGTTAGTTGTGTTTTGATCACTAGCTTGCTAATTACGAATAAAATCAAAAAAAGAAAACGACAAAATGACATTGTATTACTTCGTTTTTCGGTCACTCACAAGGTGCAAAATGGTTAATTTGGAGTGCAAAACCTGTAGAATATTATGTTACCAGATAGTGTTTCGCGTGGCTAGCTTTTAATTTACGTTCCTCGCAAGCCAGATGATTTAAATTCTGGACCAGTGCCTGATAATCGCGACGGACTTTCTCCCTGAGCACAGCGTCTTCGCCACGTTTCTGAGCCTCGGATTTACGATTCTTTGCTAAATGAAATTCGACAGATTGCGCCTGTTCAATTTCTTGCGCTAAATCTATCGCGCTGGGCTGTAACCATACACGAAATATCTGATTAAAAATTATTGTACTGAAATGTATCATTGGAACGTAAAATATATTTTATGACTTATGAAAAAATATTTTGATTTTTTGAATCAATAATACTGTCTACAATAAAATATTTTATTTTAAAGCTTTAATATCCACTGTCGCGTATACATTGCAAAATTTCGGGTATCCGAATATCACAAATTTTCGAATATCTAAATATTAGAAACTTGTAAGTACCACGAGTTTTTTAGTACTCGAAATCAAAGTGAAGTTTAGAACCCTAAAAATTTTAACATTCAATTACTCGAAATTTTTCGACCTAATTCGATTCCCTAAATTCGAATTCCTGTCTATAGCCACAATAATTATTATTCCTTGTCAACAAATACAAACCTCGTTCCACACGTGTATTTTCTCAACCACTCCGGCCGGTTTATTATATGTATTACAATGATGCTTGCTATGATCGTACAACTGTACTTTATCGTTCACCGATTGTCTTATACATTTAGAATGTATAGTATCAGGTACGAACGACGAATCTTCGCTAAACGAACTAGAACTGTCGCTTGAACCGTTGATGATCGAGTTCGAAGTTGATTGCACGTAATCTTCTGGATTGTACCTATTACAAATCACCAAATTTTTTTATATACAGTCATAAAATTATTTTTTCGATTGTACTAGTAACATTTAACATGTTAGTTACCTGTGACCTACCTATCATCTGATAGCGAGTCACGCCTTTCTTCTAAGAGAATTTAGCGACACTATACACAATATTTCGGTAGATAAAAAAAAGAAATTTAAAAAATCTAAATTTACAATATAAAAAGATATTCAAAATTAAATCGAAAACAATTTCCTAGGCTACATTTTATGAAAAGGTTGCAGTACTCGATGTGTTAAGTACATTGTCACCTAAATTATTTTATATGTAAAGTATTATAAAACTATACCTCGAGATTTTATCAACTTTTGTCTGTATAGCACTCGAAACTGACTCAGTTCTCCCAGAATCTTTGTTCTCAGACTCTTGCAACTTATCACATTCAACAATAGCCACAGGTTTCAATGTTGAAGGTTCTACAATTGAACTTATACCATTCCTTTTTGTAGTTTTCGACTTTGAACGTGGTGAACAGGTTTTAAAATCGCTTAAAGCGACCTGTGAAAAATAATTTTACCGAACATGAAAACTTGCGAGTTATATTTTTTGATTTTTTTAAAAACGAAAACTATACTTTAACATAAGATTTGGTGATCTTCCCAGGCGATTTTCGAAAAAAACCCCTCCTCTGCTTTTTTTTCACACATCTACTTTGACTATTTGCTCCGTCGGTTTCCACCTGTGCACTCTCCTTCTCTAGCATCGCGTCTCTAGGAAGTTTAGCCACCATTGTCGACCTAATGTTTTCCAGTTCCCTAACTTTACGCAATCTATCCTGGTGTAACCATTGCGCATTTTCCTCCTGCATAGATTTGACCAGGTCACAAACTTTACAGATCAAAAGAATATGCAAATTTCTTACTTGCGTGTTACTAATCAGTCTAGTTGCTTCTTTTCCTCTTTTAACTGCAGTTAATTTGTTTTGTTTCTCTCTTTCTTGCAACAGCTCGTTATGATTTGGTTCTAAAATTGCAGATATGTGCGCCTGACCAATATCAGCCATGTCTTCCTGATATTTCTGTTGGATCTCCAAGATTTTGCCATCGTACGCTTGCTTGGAATTAAGTTTGTCATTGTTGTCTAACTTTTTTAGCTCTTGCCTAGCTATTGTCTTTGCACGTTCCAACAGCCTGTCGGATATTTCTTTAGATTGCTGTCGTACCTAGAGAAATTTCTCAATAATATACAGTAAATAATATAAAGCATTACAATGCATTTGTAAATATTATTCTTTTTGTTGTTTTCAAACTTTTAAATTATTCATTATGTCTACCTGTTCTAACCGTAACCTCCGACGTCGATCACGCTCATTTTTCTTGATTTGATCTAAATCAGACAGCACCATTCTTCCGCGTCGTATGCTCAAAAGATTTCCGTTTACAGTGACATTGACAGACATAATTTCTTAATATAAGATTACCTGTCATTTAAATAAAACTACAATTAAAATACGCCTTTTCGACTCGAATTTAAACTAGTAAATTCTCTTAATATAAGATTACTTGTTATTCGAATAAAATTAAAATTAAAATATGAATACGCCTCCACGAGTCGAATTTAAATTCGTGAGAACAGCCATCCTCGAATCTGGCCAATCAACGAATTATTGTCGGTCGTTCACGCGACCATAATCAAAAAAACATATTAAGACTTGTTTTTATGTGGCAGTAGAAGTTGAAATATTCAATGCCGCGGAAATTATTTAGTGACAATTTTACTGTCCTTACAGCTCCTTTTACGTACTGTTCGACTTTGTTAAATTTATCTAGTTACTTTGGTTACTTTTCAATACTTGCACTACACTGTAAAATATGAAAAATACGATTCAAGACATCAGGATCTTGCCTAATGACTTTGAAAACTCCAAAGAATCGTTTCTGCGGTTCAATATGGAATACTTTTTTCAACTATTAATATTGCAAAATTTAATTTCCACGGATCTTATCGTTCATTTAATCACAGAACAAATTCATCGGATTGTGTTGTACAATCGTTATTTGAATTGCGAGCATTTACGTGACTTTTTTTTATAATTGTCGATATGGCATTGGGAATCTGCCTGGTTTATAAATATAATCGATAATCGACATGAATAATTTTTTCTTACAAACGGGATAAATATATGGATCTCTGTCGACTTTATGCAACTGTGGCAGCTTGTTGTATGGAGGAAATAAATAGGCGAGACAACAAGAGGAAAGAGAAGGAAAAGGACATGGGGAGTGACGTTTCATATAATACTTTCATACTGGGCCTGCTGTAATAAATTACTCATCGGTAAGGTAACCCCTAACTAACCTCAGCAGGCCCTGCATTAACCTTTTGACTACGGCGCGTCCTAGGAAGAATCAATCAACATAGATGGCGCGATCGTCGCATGCCTGACCATAAAAGTACCCGGAGATTTAAGAGACCATTCTTACGGTTTAAAAAAATAATAAATGCAAATAAATTGAAATATCCAATTTTTATCCAATCCCATGTCGAATCAATTGGTAAAACAGTAAAAGGTGTTATAGTAAAAAAAATGCAGAGAGCGTAAATTTACGCTTTTCGTATAATATTGATAGACTTGTGAAAGCGTATATATACGCCTTTAGCAGTCAAAGGGTTAAACGCCGGGATGGGACATTTAATGGTTTTTTTTTTTAACTCGTTTTCATGCTTCCTCTGCAGTACCTTGGGCTGGCGCCCTATAACCTGCACTTAAAAACGTTTGTTAGGTTCTGGAATGTTTATGAGGATGCGATATTGTAATTTTCCTTGGGTTAGGGCTCGAGGGAAAACTTTCAAAAACCTCGTTTACATGCATGGAAATTTAATGGTTAGCCGAGGAAGGTCTTATAAGAAAAGGTAGTAGGTCGAGCACTTGCGAGAAAGGTCGAGCTCACGTACACGCGGCCCATGCAGTAATATGTGTTTGCTTTTCCCGCCACTCCGTTAGGCGCGAAAGGAACTTCATCGTTATTAGTGTTGCACAATTATACAAAATCTAGCCACACTGTTGACAATATATTTTTTAGTTCGGGGAATCCCTAAATCAGTGTGACCAGATTTGGCATAATTGAGTGCATCAACGGTAACACTAGTAACGACGAACTTCCTTACCGTCTAACATAGATATGATTTATGATTTTTAGTATGGCCCGAAGAGGTTATGTTTCATTCGTTTTTATAGTAAAATATTTTTATACAGGGTATATATCGAGTATGACAGCCACATGTTTATATAATATATTCTACAAATAAAATTAGAAAAGAAACGGTACTGGACGATTTTTAGTGCAAGTCACTGAATAACTATAGATACCGATTTTATGAATAATTGACTTCGTTTTCGCAATGTAATCCCAAATCTGTACCAGTCGAACATCTTCAAACTCGGTTACAAAAAGGTTGGGCTGCCCGGATTACTTAAAATCGGGTTACCTGAATATTTGTTAACAACGAATACCTATTTGGGAACATTCCTAGCAAACGGACCATACACCGATCGGGGTGATAATACGTTATTCGATTCGTCTGATTCAGTACATTATTAATATGCATTTCATTATTTGAGGAAATTCGTTATTTTTATTTAAACTTGTCGTAAAGTTGCAATAGAAACGTAAGATTAAGTATATTTTAACAGGTTCACAGTTAGAAATAAATGACTGTCGTTACTGTATTCATGATGTAAATTATAAATGCCACGTAGTCAAATGCTAATTTGTTAAACATGAATGCGTAAAAGTCATTTTTTTATGCACATACTATGCAGGAGTAGGTTAGGTAGACAGTATGTGCAGCAACAGTACAAAATATTGCACCCCCCCGGGCTTCTAACCTAACCCAGACTTAATTTAGCTACAGATGTCTTAAAATTAACATGTATGCCAACATACAATTATGAGCAACGTCATATTATTATATAACTAAAATTAAATAAAAATACTGTTTTACAATGGTCTTATTTTATAGGACAAATAATGGTCGATTGGCTGTACGAACCTATCGAAATATACTAACCTTACTTTTTTATTGCAACTTTCCGACAAGTTTAAACAAAAATAACGAATTTTCGCAAATAATGAAATGCATATTAATAATGTAGTGAATTAGACGAATCTAATGGCGTATAACTCACCCCGATTGGTGAACGGTCCGTTTACTAGGAATATACCCCCATTTGAGCTTGCCTAATCTTTTGCAAGCCTAACCTGAATTCGGAATTTAGATGTTTATTTTGTTATTTGTTTAAACATTAGAGCATCTACACTTCTTATTCTGCGACTGTACGAAGACTATGCGTAGATATTTATATTATATAATGAAGGTTTTTTATTTATTTGAAGAGAAATTATTTCTCTCGATTTGTGCTTACAAATTTTAAAGAATAGGAATTCTACTTTAATTACGTGTAAATATATTTCGAAGAAAATGTCATGAAAAGACTAATAAAATTAAATTGAACAAATTTCATCCTTGTGTTGCTAATACTTTTGTCTATCACTATATGTTTATATTTCTAATGATTGCTATAGTAACGAAAGATGTAAACAAAGTAGGCTTTGAAAAAATGCTTTCTTTCGTAAGAAAGTATATTTCCACCTACTTTCTAATTTTTTATTTAATTTTTCTCCAAACACTTGTCGCGAATAAAGAAATTTTAAAAGTATCTGAATTGTCAAAGTGTAAGAATAATGAATATTTTGATAATACGTTGCTTTCCTGTATACAATGCGATACCAAGAAAAATCTAAGACCGTCCGTCGATCGTAAGTTTAAAATGATTTTTTTTTAAAAAAAGCTAGATAATTTCATGTTGAATTTATTTCTTCTGTAGGATCACGATGTATATGTAATGAATTTAGTAAACAAATTGGTTTGAACAACGGTTATCCGTTATGCCTGTCTTGTGGTCCTAACGCAACAATTACCATAGACGGGCGAGATTGTATTGCGTGTAACAATGCAATGTGTAGATGTAGTACTAATGAAATACAAAGTAATAATCGAAACATTACAATGATACATTGCCATTTAAAATTACTTTATTATTATTATAAACTTGATCACAATATACATATATTACCACATTAGAAATTAAACTATTGAATTACAGATTAAATTATTGACTTTTGCTATGTTATAATTTTACAGTAGATAGAAATTTGGATGGTACATTATTAAACAGTATGTACTGTCTGCCTTGTCCTGCTAATACTTATCTATCTTTGGATGGATTTAAATGCTTACCCTGCAATGATCTTGAATATAATTCGTACATAAATCATAAGTATTTGTCAAAATATTATGCACGAATACAAGATCACTGTCCATATGGAAATGCTTCATTTTCTCATGGATTAGACGCAAATACCACGTATATAATAAAACTTAAAAATCAAAGCATAGATAGTTACTATTTCTCAAACGAATTACAATCCGCAATATATTTTTGTAAGGTAAATAATAAAATAACTATATATGAAATAAAAAAAATAATATAAAGATTTTTTTAGAGAAAGTATAAATTAGCGTGCGAACATTTATCAAACATGTGTGCCCTGAGTCTTTATAGTAATAAAATGGCTTGCACATTATTTATGCAAATACAACCACCTGTATGGTTATTTTATAATAAAAATGAAACGACAACGGTACTGAATACCAGACAGATAACACAAAAATATAGTTTATCAAAGCACGACGGTGTATGTAACATATATTTTTTAAGAATATATTCATATAAATTATATGATATTTATATGAATATCATATTTGAATATATTATATTTGTTTTAGGACAGTACACTAAATTTTACGTTTGTCACATTTCATTTAGATGGTAACTTGAAATCGATCGATACACCTGATATACCATGCAATTTATTGAAATATATTAGATTTGGCGTAAACATGAACAGGAAATGTAAATTTACGATAAAAAATTTATTAAACGCAGAAGTAGAATTTATATCTCCTTATTTAACATTTATGGACAATAAAAAGATTTTAATGCATGCCTTGCCTGTACTCATTAAAAATATTAACCAGGTAAGTAAAAAACCAAAGGAATAACATTTAAATAACTGTAAGAAAGGTGTTTTCCAATTTCATTAATTCATAGGTATAATAGACAATGTCAAAATGTGGTAATAAATATATTGTTCTGTACAATTACTGACTTGGGATATCATTGTATACAGTTTTTAATTATTTTCTAGAATGAGAATAATATATTGAATTGGCAATTTGTGCGAAAATTTTTCCTTGTTGATAATATTAGTGGATATAAAACATCAAATTTCACAGATAGTAAAGTTGAAAACGTTAGTACATTATCAGTATTACGCTATATGAAATCTTTAAATGTTATGTAAGTTGTACATCCTTCTGATCAATATTTTTAATATTCCTTAAATTTAATGACTATTAATGTAAAAGTAAAACATCCTTTACAGTATTAATATTCAAAATGCAGAGAATAGGAACAAAATATTTCCACCTTTATTAATTGTTGAATACACTGAATTAACGCATGAACAGATAAGCAAAACTGCAGAAGTCACGTTAAAGTACAAGATACAGTTTATTTTGAATGATCGTAATACCGATTTTAATTTTAAGGTAAATATTACAATAATAAAAATGATTGGAAACAATCTATTTAAGCATTATTACCATTGATATGTTACAAACTATAAAAATACTTTTTTAGATAATTGTTGGAGTTTTCTCAGCATTAGCTTTAAGCGTTTCTGGCATAAAAACATGGAATCATAGTAAACAACGTTATGCCAACGTTTCATATATAACTGTACTATTTTGGTTTTTTATTTATGCTATGGGCGCTGTAGGAACTGTAATTATTTTGAATCTGATCAGTTTATGTATATACTTATGTATATTCTACAAAAGACAAACAATCCCATATATTCTGCTTTTTGATGATATTAATGAGAAGACTATTAAAATGTTTACTACAATAGCATTTGCTTTTAAAGTAAGTATTTACTTACAAAATAAAATAGGAACGTAACTATTATAATTTATTTGTTTATACAAGCATTGATAACTTCTTATTTAGTTCATAGAAATGCTTGGATTTATTTGTCGGTATTGGAATATCGATATATTTTTTATTGATTGGGAGCAACCTAAACCAGCATATAATCAATTTAAATACGACTCTCCAGATATTTCTTTGTACAAGTTACAGGCGAATAAATTATCAGACAATAAATATAAATTTTCACAAACGACATCAGAAATGTTAATAACTGAATGTAAGATAGCAGCATATAAGTAAGATGAACACAGTAGTCATAATTGTATTTCTGAATCTTTTGCAGCTGATAAACGCGAAGATAATTGTTCAGCTGCGTATTCGATATTAAAAAATTCTGCGGAAGAAATAAGTAGGTATAATAATTTTCATCGTTTGCCTGTTAGTATTTGGCGAACATATTTTATTGCTAATCAGTGGCTAGAGCTTCAAACAAAGCGAAAAATAAATGTATTGGTACAATTAGTCGCTGTTTTAGGTATTTTTCAGGTAAATTGAGAATCTCTATTAAAATAATAATTTAAAAATTAAATTTAGAATAGAGAGTAATCTTTATATTTTAAGTAGATTATACAGATATATCCATGGGTTATTACAATACCAGAATTAATACCGAAAATTCCTGAAGAAAATTCGAATTTTACTGTGTACTACACAATGTGCACTTTAGTATATGTTTTAATATATTGCATTCAATGGTTATTATTCACAATATTCTACGAACGACATGTTACAAATAGAATGCAAAAATTTATAAATCTATGTTCGGTCGCAAATATCAGTGTATTCATTTTACCATTTAATTATTATGGTTTTTATATTCATGGAAGGTAATACATAAAGCAGCAGTTTATAAAAACATAATAACTTCAATTAACTGTTATTATTATTCTTCCATGACAGATCAGTACACGGTTATGCAGATACAGATTTACCTACTCTAATGAACGATTTAGAGAAAGAGAAAAATAATTTATGCGCGCATAGAGGTCTTTTACCCGGAACGTCTCAACAAACATTTATATTATCTTTAGCAAAAACATTCAAAATTGTTTTTACCACACTTTCAAAACAAAAAAAGGTTGTACGTATTACATGATTCTTATTTAAATTTCACTTACATTTTCAAAAATATATCATATGTTATGTTTATCTTTCTTCAGAGGTCTAATAACTTTCTAAGAACGTATTTCTTTTCCACAACAAACTGGGAACAAAGTTTTGATAGACAATTTAAATTAAAAGAGTTCTTATGTAAATTTGTGGATCATTATTTCAAAGATGTGGACTATATTATTAAAGAACAACATTTCTTTGAAAAATTATTTAATACTCTATTTTTACATAAGGCAGAAAAGTCGATCTTTTATATTGGTAATGTTACTTATTTTAAGGGACAATAGAATAACATTTTAAAAATCGTTTAATTACTATCTCATTTACAGATAATAACCATTCTTTCGACCAAGTATTATTTTATGGCAACGAGTGGTTGTTAGCTACTTTTGAAATGTCAATATTTACTTACATGCTAGTATTATATGAAGATTGCATATTAGCTGTTATAGTTACAGTATCGATATCAATGTTACTAATTGCAATTGTCAAACATAACAGGACAAAGAATTTAGGTAATAATATATTATTAGACAAAACATTTTTTATACGATAATATCAAAATCAAAACAGTTTTCTCATATTTATAAGCGTTGTATTTAAGTCTTGTATAATTCTATTAATATTATGTTTGTTGAATAAAAATTAATGTAAGGGCTAATTACTACAGTAACATAGTTCTGTTTTACTTTACCATTTATTTTGTACAATATAAGATACAATATATATACAATAATACCAATTACTTTATTTTACTACACATACAGTTATAAAATTAATGATGACCATCAGAATGGTGTTCTTCATGATGCCCATTACTATGATCATTTCCAAGATATTGTTCCGCGGCTATTGTTAATAAAAATGCTGGAATTCCAAGTTTCCAACCTCTCAATAACCCATTTACTATTTGTTTAAAAAAAGATGGTTCTAAAGAATGGAAACGCCAAACTTCATTTCTCAACCAAGGATCTTTCAATCCTTTTTCGGCTAATTTTTGTTGAACACGTAAAAGCCTTGGTACATCTTCTACTTTGAATGCGTCAGGACTTGGTACTTTAGGTAAGGCATGTCCGTGGCCTCCCATTTTCTTAACAAAATTTAAATTATTTAAGTTTCAATGTATTAATGGAATATTTGACATACTAACGTGTAAATATAATTGTGATTATACATTATATTTACATGTTTTGTATATCAAATATTCATACACATTATATAGAATGTTTTCAAATAATCTACCAAGCAACAATTTGTAAAGCAGAGCCGTCCAACATAACCTTTATGACTTAACGATATAACTTCGTTGTCAACTTGTCACGTAAGAGGTTAAAGGTAGTTTCACATGACACAAAGTCACCAAATTTAGTTCCACGACATCATCGATTTTTATACTGTTGTGTATTTGCCTTTGTGTTTCTTACCGTAATGCGGTCATATTTACAATTGTTTTCACATGACGGTAGAAATTATGACTTTTACTGCCGTGGTCGCCGTGGAAGTTCCTGACAGTGTCACAAAGTGATAGCGTGACAGTTTTTGCAGCTTTTTTTATGTACAGTTCACATAACGTTTATCTAGTCACTTTGGTTACTTTTTAATTTTTGGTGATTTTAAGCATTAGTGAGCATCGGGACTTTAAGTACTCTTTCATCAATATACATATTTTCTCTTTTCCGAATGGTATTTTATTTAAACAACAACTGTGAAAATTACACGTTTGATACTTGTACTTAGGAACAAAATTTTCTTTTAGAATTGTTCCCTTTGCTTGTTTAGCCTCTTGCTTACACCACAGACGAGGTATACGAGTAGACCTTTCACCCAAAGTATTTTTTCGGTCCATTTTTCTGGGGCTCTAGAGCCCCATTACCATTTTCGTGTCATTCGCAACGTTACCAACAGAATCAGAAATGAATTTTAATCTCTTCCATAGTCAACTCACATGTATTTACGCATACACTACAGCTGTCTGCCCATCAATGCTAATTCAATGAATAGTTTCTCAACTGACCGCCATCCATGAGAAGAGGCCGTTAAAATCAGCTCCGAATTTTCAGGTCGGTATGGCAGTCAGATTCGGCCACGAAAGCCCATAAGGTGAAAAGTCTACTCGTATACCTCGTCTGTGGGAATAGTTTATGCCAATGAATTCTAAAATATTGATGCTTCAGTTTTGCCAACCAATTCATCTTTGTTTCTAGTTCCAAAGTCTGTTTCTTTATTTAAGACTAAATTAGAATTAAGGCCATAATGTACGTATTGAGAATAATAACTTTATTATTTATTAATGCGTTCTACATAAGCCGATGCTAGACTGGTCACACCCGAAAAGTTGTACGGTATTTATATTAGCACGCACCTACAGGAGGGCAGCACGTGCCGGCTTATATTTAAATGTATGTATACACTCAACAGTACGAATTTAGTGTTAGAGTAGTAGAGTTATTTAACTGTGATTATTCTGGTACATAATGATTTGAATAAAATTTAACGTGGTGAAGGGTATAAAAACCTTATATGAATTGTTCTGCTTGCTGTTTGATTATATTATAACGAAATAGACTAAAAAAAAATAATAGACAAATTTCGAAAACGATGTATGTCCTGAGTGTCTGGGTTCGTTTCGAGATCCAATTTTGAATGCTTTCGAAATAATTAAATTCTCCCAATATTTAGTCTTAATTCCAGACACTGTAGTGCTAAATTCGAATTCCAGTGTAAATCGATAACGTAGGAAATGACACGAAAGTGGTAAGGGGGTTCGCGAATCAACATTTATTTTGTACATTGTCTGTGGTAATATTCAAAAGTCGACCAATTAATACTTTCAGTGTTAGATAAGTTTCTTTTTGTTAATTTTATATTATTTTTTGTTTAATTATTATTGCATAAATGCAATAACTTTATATCTTAATAAAACGGTACACGAAAGTAAATTTAATTTGCAAAAAGGCGAATATGTTTTAGAAAAGAGTTAGTTCGTAGTGCAAAAAGGTGAACATGATCTGTAAAAGGGTTAATTCGTAGAGCAAAAACTGTAAATGCTTCGAATGTAGGAATTCATTGAGACAATTGTAAAGGAAATCGTTTACCAAAAATAGCGATGTACTTAAACGGTTCAGCATCCGGCGGAGGGTAAATAGTGTAGGTCATCTTTCAGTTTCCTTTCTTTTTCTTGCTGACATTTACACCTTGAAGTCGGCGTTGGACGCCACTCAAATCGTAGCCGCCACAATAGAGGCGGCGTGGGAGCAAAGCTTTGCTGTGACCGCATCACCATTTTCCCGTAGGCTTTGACGGACCTACAAAAGCGCCGCCGCCATGTTGATTTACTGGCAGGCAATTGTCAATGAGCCGAATTGTTAAGGAATGTCATGTCCTGGTTTCCGTTGAAAGGTCGATAGGCCGGCCAGGAAAAGACGAGGCTTCTTTGCCCCGGCTACTTCACTCTTTTCGCCTGCGTGTGGTCCAGTATCATTGTCCGAAACAGGTTGCCGGTGGACGAGATCGCCTCTACTTTACAAATACCGTGTGAATTGGAAAACATCAAAAGAGACACGCTTCCTAATATCACCAATAATAATCGGTAGAATCCGTTGGATCGGTAGAATTATAGAAATTGTAGCTCTTGCGGTGCCCGATTCTAACCTATAAATGAGAATTGTAAACTACACGCTATATATTTTATTTTCATTGGAAAGTAAGCAACTAGAAGTGAGTAGGTAACTAGAAAATAACGAACGTAGAATAGAAACGAATTGACACAGAAGCTATGTAAAATATAAAATGAAACTAATTTTTTTTTATATAAAAATATGAAAAATTTTAAAAACTAGTATTTCAAAGATACAACTTTTATACCAAAAAAAAACTTTTTCTTCAAAATGCTATAGTCTTTAAAATTTTTCATATTTTTTGTTTTAAAATAGATTCAGTACCAGTGGAAACCAACGGGCTTCAAAACAATTTTCGGTATACAAATTTTTGTTTTCGAAATGCTATAGTTTTTAAAATTTTTCATATTTTTCGTCTAAAATAGCCAACCAACTATAAGAAAATATTTTCTTTAATGATGGATGGTAAAGAATACTATTTAATAAAAAGATAATAAAAAATGAAATAAAAAATATCTTCGTATAGTTTAAGGGTGTGTTTTCGTGTTCCTGTGAGTCTAGTAGAGCTTTTAACTCTACGAAAAAGATTAAAAAAGAAAATCTTGAATTTTAACGGGGAACCTCATGTAAAATGAAATTTTTGAGCATTTTTTTTTTTTGCTTAAATTGGTAGGAAATTTCCTCAGGAATACGATAAAAAAGTTAGAAAGTGATCATTAACAATTGTTCATAATCAAAAATCACAATTTTAACAAAAGAAGAATGTCATGCTGAGCGTTTTTGCATAAACTAACTATTCTATTTTGATTTTTTTGTTTCAGATCATTTTTGTGCATTGTACGCTGCACGGCGAATTTACAGGATGCCATTTTCAAGCCACCATTGCACCATTGTTATTAACAATTAAAATTTATAAAAAATATTTTTCTTTACATTATAACGTTAATAAATGATACTTCAAATTTTAAATGAATCTGTGCATTGGATTTTTCAGAAAAAATTCTTGAAAAACAGGCCATTTACATGAGGTTCCCCCCTTAAGTGGCTCAATGTTCGGTCGCACAAGTACGTAGAAATGCAAAGCATTAAATAAGAACGTCGCAGGGTGATAGATGGGTCGCATGCCGATCGTTCTTGTTGGCAAGACGGCTCATTAAAGTGTGTGTGGGTCCAAGTCTCGGATCTGACTCGCTTTTACAGCCGCGAGCTCTGCTGTAGCGAGCCACGAGCAAAAGAGAGAGAGAGAGAGAGAGAGAGAGAGAGAGAGAGAGAGCAAGTTATCAACCGCGACGAAGGCAGAGGCGAGAGGAAAGAACGAAGCTCGAGCCTTCGAGATCTTAGCCCGCAGTTAATTGCCAGCATTTAATGAGCGTTCTTTGACGCGCCGCGCGAACCGCCGCTGTAACACTCGTAATGGCCGGTGCTTTTGTAACGACTGGCTCGTTCGTACCCCTGTGTACCAGTTCGAACTGCCAATGTACGCACACCTACCCAACCCACGTGTCCTCGCTTCCCTTCCCTCGCCATCCCTTGCCCGACCCGGGTAAATGAAAATGGCCACTTATTGTCAAGTTCGACAGACTATCGTAGCTGGACGCTGAGCTACCGACGAAAACCACTCCGATAATTGAGATATTCGATCGCTATACTGGTAGAGGGAAAGAGAAGAGAGGGACGAGTGCGTTTTATATCTGTCAGACAATCGAAACCGACACCATTTTGTATTTTAACCAGCCACGAGCGCGTCAAACCAAACCATACTTGCAACCAAAGTTATACCTATGTTTTTTCTCTAATGCTTGGCACCAGTTCTAAACTTCTACAAATTATTTTAAGATAAAGAGCAAGCATGCACCAGTTTTTGTTCGAACGAGTTTTAAAAATTTTCTTCCCAAACCTTTCGGACTTGTTTAGACTCGTACGTAGGGGGGGACCAATTTCTGTAACTAATGCAGTGCGTTATGTAATTCTGGCATCCAACTGACCACCATTTTACATTCTAAGCAGTAACCAAATTCAAACGTAACCATACTTAGAACCAAAGTTATCACTAAACTGCGGATCTTTATGCAAATTCACATTTTGATTAATAAAATTAATGAAACGGAAGAAGCTTCGCAGGGGGCTGTCTCAACCCCTAAATATAATAATTCGTATCTTACTTTAAGTATTTCTTATATTTTTGTATATTAAATGCATTCTGTAGTTTTTTGAGGATTAAAATTTCCCATAAATGAATAAACATCCGCAATCTACTCATAAATATATGCATTGTCCCACTACTACAACCTTCTTGGGTCCACCCTCGACACACAACGCATAGTATCCAACTCTTTTTTGATTTCGAATTCAAATATAGCTCGTTTAAAAATATACAGAGGTTATTTTCTTCGTTCTCTGAAGTTGAGAGAAGTAATCGAAGTGTCCAGTTTTGCCTCAACGTTAGATAATGTAATAAGTGCGAGGAATT